CGCACATTTCCATCATGCGCCTTAAAACATACGTTTCGATAACTCGCTCCAAAACAAATGCTTCCGTCACGCACTGCAAAGCGCGCCCTAAACCCACGTTTCCCTCATGCGCACGCCCCAAAACGCACCGTTTCACTACACGGCCCAAAAGGCACGGTTGCATCCCGCACCAAAACTAATGCTTCCATTACGCACACACAAAACGTGTCCTCGCGCGCGCTCCAAAACAAACGGACCCAAATTCAGCCGCGCTCTAGAAAACACAAACCCCATCACGTAAGCCCATATTCATCCACCTAAATGCACACAATCTCATGCGCTCCCCCCCCCCCACACACACATACACAGTTTCAGTTGTAGATATGTAGATATGATAGAGCCCAGTAGGCTCAGGAATCTGTACATCAGTTGATTGACGGTTGAGAGGCGGGACCAAAGAGCCAGAGCTCAACTCCCGCAAGCACAACTAGGTGAGTACACACACACACATACAGTACATAAACAACAACACGACTTAAGAGCAGGGAAATCATGCCTGACGACCCTCCTGGAGTTCTATGATAAGGTAACGAAAATAAGGCAAGACAGAAAGGATGGGCAGATTGCATATTTCTGGACTGCCAAAAAGCCTTTGATACAGTACCACACAGAAGGCTACTATACAAAGTTGAGAGGCAGGAAAGAGTAGACGGAGACGCACTATCATGGGTAAGGAATAACCTGAGAGAGAGGTGTCAGAGTGACAGTGAGGGGCGAGGAGTCGGACTGGTGTAGAGTAACAAGCGGGGTGCCTCATGGATCGGTGCTGGGACCCATTCTATTCCTCATTTATGTAAATGACTTGACTGCAGGAGTTGATTCTTTTATGTCAATTGTTACGATGATTCTAACTGCTAACCCTACTCCATAATACTAGCCCCCCACATAGAAGATCATTAATTCATAACATCAATGTTTGCAGATGATGTAAAACTAATGAGGAGGGTTGAGAGAGATGAGGATTGTAAGATTATCTAGGATGACATACAGGTTGAAGAGATGGTCCGAGAAATGGCTGCTGGAGTTCAACACTAGCAAGTGCAAGATGATGAGAATGGAGACAGGAGCCAGAAGACCGAAAAGTCAGTATACGACGAAGGGAAATTACCTCCCTATAACGTCTAGAGAACAAGACCTGGGAGTGGACATAACACCAAACCTAACTCCAGTGGCTCATATAAATAGAATAACGTCGGCCGCATACTCTACTCTGACAAAAGTCAGAACATCCTTCAAAAACTTGAATAGGGAGGCTTTTAAATCAATGTATACCGCCTATGTGAGGCCAATTATGAGGTCTTAGAGTATGCCGCCCCATCGTGGAACCCTTATTTTAAAAAACACATGAAGCCCGAAAAAATGGAGAAGTTTGCAACGAGAGTTTTTCAGTATCCGAGTAGTTAACAGATGCTTTACTCTTGTGCAATTGCACAAGAGTAAAGCATGTCATTGCAGAAGATTGTAGTGTGTCAGTGCACAAGAGATTTGAGTGTAAGTATGAATGTTAGTAGTATGTTAGTATGAAAGTATATATCATATTGATGAGATGTATAACATATTAGTGTGAAGGTGTATACAATGCTAGGGTAAAGGTGTATACAATGTTCGGGTGCCAATGTTAGTGTTAAGGTGTATACTATGTAAGTGTAAATGAGTGTAGGCATGTAAGCGTGAGGTGTGCAGGACTGACAGAGGCGGGGGGGGGGGGAGAAGGCGCGTCACACTGACCACGCCCAGAACACCTGGACGGTGGCCATATATACACACATGTATACTGACACAACTCAAAAATATACAACAGATGAAAGCCACATCAAAACTATTTCATGTTCATTATGTGGCGTCCGTCGTGGAAACACCGACAGATTGACATTACGAACACGCGCACTCAAGCGCGCCCTGTGTCGACTGTTCACTTAACACAAACTGACTATGTGCTGACCTATCGTTCGTGTATATTATTGCCTGTTTGTCTGCCTGTCAGTCTGACACGTCAACACTTCAAGCCGTCACCCCAAACACAATAAATTAGCTCCCCCTTGATTATGGTAACAACCCCATTGATTTTGTCTGAGACTCTTCAAGTGTGATGAAAGAATCTCTCTTCTAAGGGAAAGAAGGGAAGCAAAGGGGTGAAGAGGAAGAGGGGAGGGTAAAGAGGCGCCTGATAGTGTACCACATTATCCTGGGTCACTCATCAGCCTGATCTCCACAGTTTTGAGCGGTTGATGGCTGACCCTCTTGTCATTAACACCCTGTTTAGCATAAATTTAAGAGATCTCCAGATATTCATTAGAAACCATATATAACCTACTATTATATTCTTGTTTTACTAACAACATCCAGGTGTCCGACGGGATTTTCACTTTACTCCAAAGGATTTCAGATTTCTTGCACTATTCCTGAACAAAATATAAATTTGATTATAATGACATCTTGCGGGAATAACTTTGTGGAGATCACTTTGGGACCGCCACCCGCCGCTGGAGACGGAATGAACGCCCAATCCCACCGTCAGCATACCAGCCCTTCCTCCTAAGGTTTTCGACGTATACGTTACCTATACGCCTAAGGTACTGTAGGCGTCAAAATGCGACGTTGTTAGAAGGACGGGTGGACCGCCGGGGATGACGGCCATCCTCCCTCAGCAGCCTCATCGCCAGGGATAGAGAACAGATAACGCAGACTGCCACTAGGCTATCCATACGCTTGCCAGACTCAATATACAGACCGTTCTGATTTGCCACCAAAAAAAATGCAATCATTTAGCCTAACAAGTAATGTTCGAATACAAGCAACCCACCTATTGAGTCCAATGCATAAAAAATGTGAATATTTGTGCCCGGTTACTTTTCTTAATAGGGTGCATTTGAAAGTTGGCTACCATCACTTAAAAAAACGCGATTTACTGCTGGAGAGGACGGGTTGCAGTACAACAAAAGAAAGAAAGTTTCAATATTGTGGACGACCGAATGGGCAGTTCATCAACCACTAATTATTCAACTATATACTTTTGACTCCTTTCTCATACAACATGTGACAAAGCCCACTCGAAGTAACAGCATTCTTGATCTTGTGCTAACATCAGAAGAGGGCTGAGTTACAGCGCTATTAGTCCTGTAGCTATCAACGTTCCTGGTATGAGTGTTTACTTAGTTCCGGGATGAGTTTTGTCGCTGTGTTGAGCTTTCATCAAAGAACAAATGTCCTTTTGGAGGTGAGGTCTCATACAGTAGTCGAGATAGGGTACACAAGAGACGTACAACTTTTTTTTAACTGCAGCTTTGTGCAACTTTCAAAGACTGGTGGATCCTAACTCCTAGGTCGTTTACTTCATCCAAAACGCTATGCATGTTAGTGGCTTTGCCAGAAGGTAAAAATATAAATCATATATGTAATCTTACAATCCCATTGTCCCTTCTTGTAAATATATATTATAATTACTGCTATTATTCTCATTCTGGTGCATGGTAGTGTTGCTGATATGCCAGGTCTTACAATTAATAACATCAGACAGCATTTGCCAGTCTAATGACTATTTATAGAGTTCGTGTAATTAGCTTTGCGAAGCCTCAACATCGTTTTCGATTCCTACTTTACCACATAACTTAGTGTCATTTGTAAATTTGATGATGTGGTTTGTAATATTCTCATCTATATCATTGATGTATCCTCATCAAAAGTTCTAGAAAAGTCCATATATACTACGTCTAATAGAAGTCCTTTGTCTGAATATATGGTTTCCGTTTCCAGCAATGTCAGCTGGTCAGTGAGGCAAGAGTTATTTTGAACAAAACTACGTTGTCTTAATTTTACCAGGTTGTACACTGTGAGATGGTGAATGATTCCCTCCCTTAGGATTCTCACCGTGAGCTTGCAGATATACGGGATTAGGCTGATTGGTTTGTTGTTTTCAAATGAGCTCTTTCTGCCTTTTTTGAACATTGGGGTGACATTTGCATTGCAATCTAGAAGTTTCTCTTGATCCATAGATTTTCCGAATAGGAGTCTCAGTGGTAAACACAGATCCTGAACTAGTTCATTTGCGATTTTGGGTTGAATTACATCCTCACCTGAGCTTTAGATTCCTTAACTTGTCAATGCTCCTGAATGTTTCGCACGTTATGGGTATATCCCTAAATCATTATCTTTACCTGCTTCAAACATTTGTATGGGTACTGGGATGTTGTCTAATCTTTCTGGTGTGAACACAGATATAAAGTATTCATTAAGAGTGTTTTGACTGTCATTTTATCGTGAATAATAACTTGGCAGGTCTCATCTTTTAAGACTCCTACAGTTAGTACACGAACGCTCTATGTTAAGATCCGTACACAAACTGTGTCGAGATTCGTACACGAACGCTTTATGTCGAGGATCGTACACAAAAGTTCTAAATCGGAGATCAATGCATTAATGTTTTCTACAGATTCATACACAAACGTTTGTAGACTAGTTAAAAGATTAAAGTTTGTTCAACTCATAAAACGTTTGGGGAAGATTTAACGCAAGAACGTTAAATGTCAAGGTTCACATTTAACGTCGAGCGGGTTCACAAGGAAACGTTTTCAGTCACCAGACTCACCCAAACGTTAATAATAATTGGGTTCACTTCAAATCTAATTATAAATTGGCTGTGGGACTAAATTACGTCCAAACGATGATTTAATTTCCTTATGTAAGCCAATTTATATGTAAATAACTAATTTTAAAATGTGATAGACCTAAATACTGCACTTTGTGTGTGTTGCTCGCACATCCAGTGATTACATTAGTGTATGACTGTATACTGTGCATTTACACCTGGGGGAATTATTTGGCTGTACACAGCCACCTGCAGCCTTCAGGTGCTTCATGTACGTCCCCTAAACCACACTCGGCTAACACACAAAGTCAAACATCAAAATACAGCCTGTTCAAAGGGGAAAAAAACAAAACAAAGAAAGCTTTATGGCACTCACCTTAAATGTTGATTCCGTCCCGTTTGGCTCTTTAACACAAACTGTTCACTTTTAATCTTCAGTCAAAACAGCAAGTGTAATTCTCATAACACAAGGCTGGTTGTGCACACATGAAAGCCTCTCCACAGAGTATCGACCGTGGGACTCGTCGAGGGGCAAATTGTTGTTGGGCAAGTTGGTGTGAGGGAGGTTATATAGAGAGGGCGAGGGGTTGTCGAGGGTCGCCAGGCGCTGCGCACGGCGACGCTACGGTACACACGCTAGACACGTGAACAGGGACCCCGGGGGCACCCTCACCGGGGCCCTGGAAGCCTCTCTCTCTCTATTAAAACACCTACGACATCACTCTTGTATCTCTTTTTTACTGCACAGCCGTCTGGGATGATGGTATGGACTTTTCATCTTCACTTTGGTTTAAACACTTTACAAGAACGATGCCTTAATAAAAGGAACTCCTTCGGGTTTGACATACACGGCGCAACAGAATATTACATATCCAAGTATAGTGAATCGAGGCATCTTGTCACGCACATTGTGAGCTGGAGAATATGATGCGTATTGAGGTGCTTCGTATTACGGATGTAGTTGGTTGTGACGGGAGTAATCTATGGCAAAACCGTGTCCTCTGAAACAAAGAAAATACACCTTTGTATATCATTTGTTTTAGCAACAAAAATTTAATATCCTTGCTGTTATTAATGTTAACAACTATTTCTGTACTGTTCCTAAACTTATAGATTCCATAATGTAGTAGTCGACTATGCCTATCATCATTATAAATATCCCCCCCTTTATACTGTATATTTTTATATTCCTAGTACATCTCATATATGTTAGCTTACGTCTCATTTAATATTGTTTACCTCATTATACATATAAATAAATTGTATCTAAATTATCCTAAGTTTTGCCCGAAATGCTTTGCGTAGTAGTGGCTTCATATTTTAGTGCCACCCTGTACCTACCGCTGTACCTTTGTCTCGTGTTCTTTGTGTCCACGTTGTTATAAGTAAAGTATTATTATTATTATTATTACTACTATTATTATTATTGAACAAATCTACAAGAGCCGTGATGAGAGTTTGAACCTATGCGCTGGATGTCCCCAGAGCTCTAGTCAACTGCACTTCTACATAGTCAAAAGAATTGCAACCTGGGGTGAGTGCATCCAGCTGCACCCACAAGGACCCCGAGGCTTCCACTGAAGCCAAACCGGGGTTTCACACAATTCCCCCCCCCCCCCATGCTCTCTGGCTTTGTCGTCCAGTAGTTCTACCTCAACAACCCAGCGGGTTTTCTTCCTATTGGGAGGTGTTGAACATGCTGCTATGTCGGTATATCCACTCACATGAGGAGTGTTGCTGCCCAAAAAACTTGCCCACTCGGGGAAAAATTAAAACAAAAATAATCATCAACTTTTATTATTATTATTAGGTCATTATTATTATTATTTTCATAATATCGAAGGGTAACAGGAAGAAAGTAACACGCTGGTAACAACATATGACACGCTGGTGTCATATGTTGCTTTGAAACCATATATATTGATTGTTTTGGCATCCGGCTTCACCTTCTTACTTAGCTGTTCCAACCGTCTACAACTCTGTTCGTAAAATATAGAACTTTCATATTTTTCCGGCACTTTTGTTTCCTTAACTTGAATTTATGGCCTCTTAATTCTTCTTGAAGTTGCAGGTTTCAAAAATTCCTTCCCAATAGTGATAATTCCTGACATTATTTTGTACGTGGTGATCATATTTTTTTCCCCTCTAGCTTCATGTTTAACTTGTTTAACGCCTCTAGCCTCTCAATCCTCAGAGCTTTTGGTTTATTAGTTCCGGGAGCTATTCGTATATCTCTCGGATATATGGGACTATGTGACTAAATTATACATTTTATGATACCAGAAACGGTATACAGACAGTAACACCGTTGACGTGATTTTCACGAACTGTGGAGGCCTAAACAAAAACATTATAATCTCAAATACAACTTACTCGGATAACAAACTTACTGAAGAACCAAAAAATTTAAATTCATATATAACTTTAAATATATACACACACACACACACACACACACACACACACACACACACACACACACACACACACACACACACACGCACACACACGCACACACACAGACACACACACACACACACACACACACACACACACACACACACACACACACACACACACACACACACACACACACACACATATATATATATATATATATATATATATATATATATATATATATATATTTATATATATATATATATATATATATATATATATATATATATATATATATATATATATATATATATATATATATATATATATATATATATATATATATATATATATATATATATATATATATATATATATATATATATATATATTTATATATATATATGTGTGTGTGTGTGTGTGCTTAGGATGGGTGGCATTCTCAGACGGACATATTTTATGCATACTTTCTATGCTTCTGTGTTTAATATATCTATGGCTTGTGCTGGAATGTATGGCTCGGGAAAGTTTCCCATTGAATGCTGGATAAAGTAAACTATGAATATTCATAACATACGTCCCTCTTAGAGGTGGTGTAAGGGAGGAGGCTATATAAGAAGGTCTGTGCTAAACATCAAGACACTGGCTGCTCACTCATAAATTGCGAATCGTCCTATCCAGGGATAGTTTAATCCAAATTGACTGTTGGAAACACTCACTGAAATTATAAATCCCTGCAGATGGTGCGAAGATTGATTTGGTGTAGCTCACTAGGCGACGTACGAATTACACGGTTCAACACCATTGGGTCTGTTCAGTAACTGGTTGGGTGTTAGCGCAAACATCGCTCCTGGCTGGGGGAGACCTGGGGTTAGATTCACGAAGAAGTTACGCAAACACTTACGAACCTGTACATCTTTTCTCAATCTTTGGCGGCTTTGTTTACAATTATTAAACAGTTAAGGAGCATCGAAGCACCAAGAGGATGTTTATAACAATAACAACAATTGATTGGCAAGTTTTCATTCTTGTAAAATGTTTAATAACTGTAAACAAAGCCGTCAAAGATTGAGGAAAGATGTACACGTTCGTTAGTACTTGCGTAACTGCTTCGTGAATCTGGCCCCTGGATATGTCTAACAGCACTGGAAACTTGACTGATTTATTTAAATGATACTATATTTTGTTCTATACAATTTATTTGTATGATACTTTATTTTGTTCTATACAATTTATTTGTATGATACTTTATTTTGTTCTATACAATTTATTTGTATGATACTTTATTTTTTTTATTTGTGAGTAAATCATTTATTTTTATGTTCTAACTAATGTCATGGGAAGAATTCTAAAGGAGGAAATCTAACATCTCAGGAGTGCACAGTCTTGCACAATCATTACAACATAGTTTTGTCAAAACCAAATCCCACCTAAGAAGCCTACTAGCGTTTGTGTAAAATAGAACCATACAGACAAAGGACTTCCAGTAGATTAAGTGAACATTACCGTCTCTGCAGCTCTTGATAAGGTACCACATGAAAAACTGACGCCAGAAGCTACAAATACTGGGAATCAACGTTAAGTCTTTGGAATGGATAAAACTAGCGATAAAAAACAGAAAGTATAGTCCTAAGTAGAACGGAATCTGTCTAGAAAAATGTTCAAAGCAGAGTATTGCATTAAGGTTCAATTGTAGGGCCAACCCTTTTAATAATACACATACAAGATATTGATGATTTCACTAACCACATTAGTCAAGTTCGTATATAACACAAAGCTCTACGGATAAATGGAAACGAAAACGAAATTAAAACTTTGTGAAACGAGCTACATGCGCACCAGAAATTGCCAGTGGACTTTAATATTGAAAATACATGGGCCTTAGATGTAGGAGAAAACATTGCACACCACAACAACCGCTAAAAACACGTCCCTGCGGGCAGCGGGGTTGCAAAAGACAAGCACCTCGGAGTAAGCGCACTCGTAATAACTACACTGACAAAAGCTCAGCGCAGAGCAATAAAAATAATCCCAGATCTAAATCAACGCTCGTTCTTCATTAGGCTCAGGGCCTCAATACTAACAATTACTATTACTATGTAATTAATGTTGTAATTAATTAACTATGTAATTAATTTTGTAATTAATTAACTATGTAATTAATTATTATTACTATGCAATTAAAATTACTAGTACTAGCAATTACCATGTTTACAAACCAGACATGACAGGGCTGATATCGTAGAATCCTTTAAAATACTGGACAAAGTAAAAAACGTTAATCCAAACCACTTTAAAAGATAAAATGTAACTTTATTTATTTATTTATTTATATATATACAAGAAGGTACATTGGGATTGTGAGGATACATAGCATAGTAATTACATTCTTGTAAAGCCACTAGTACGCGCAGCGTTTCGGGCAGAAACGAAACTCAGAAACTTTAACTCACTTAAGGGGAGCAACAGCTACACAGTCAACAAGCCACAACGTAGGACACCCATGGAATCGCTTATCTGGCAAAGCTGTGAGTACCATACCAGTACGCCAGTTCACAATACAACTAGAAAATATCCTAGTTTTCTGTTCCAATCGAGGTAAACCATTAGGTAAACTCAGATAAATGAGCATTGAATTTAACATTAATCCCTAGTCTATTTTTTTTATTGGTACTTATTGTCCATTGTATTGTCTACGTGTGAGGGCTGTGCTGGAAGAACCGCCTCAGTTCCAAGTTTTAAACAACGTGTGAGCGGTGAGAGATAAGGAGCAACAAGATGTGTACCGCCTGAGGTAGATAAGATGGGCCTTTATCACCACACCTCTCTGGCCAGCTAACTGAATGGCTGACTGACTGTCTGATTGGCATGCTGACTGACTGGCATGCTGACTGACTGGCTGGCTGACTGACTGGCTGGCTGACTGATTGGCCTGACTGGCTGGCAAGTATATGCCAAAGACCTGACAGAGGAAATATGATCCTTCATATCAGTTTGCTGATAATACAAACTTAATGAGGACAATCAGAACAGAAGTAGGGGGGGGGGTGTGATTGTAAAGAGATCGTGACACACTTTACAGTGGGTCTGAAAAATGGCAATTAGACTTTAACTCAGTGAAATGCAAGGCTACAAAGATAGCACCTGCCGTGGTGTCATTAGACAACCCTTGCTGTGTCATCAGTTCAGTCCTAACGTATTCCAGTCCAGTGGTTCAGCCACTACAAATTACCTCAAGCCCATCATCACTCAGCAAAAATCTGCTATCAGAACTATAACAAACTCTTCTCTTCGTGTGTTATCTTCAGACAACACACAGCCCCTCTGTTTACGTCCCTTAACATGCTAAACATACACTCACTCTACACATTCTCATGTGCTATTTACGTGTACAAAACCTTGTTCCTAAATGCTAATCTTGATCTGAAACTTTTCCTTAATAGGTGTAATAGAACCCGTGAGCACCACACCAGATATAAATATCTCTTTGATATCCCCAGAGTCAAACTAAATCTGTGCAAACACTCCATGCAAATAAAAGGACCCAGTCTTTGGAACACACTCTCTGACGAATTAAAAGATTGTTCAACCCATCATGCCATGTTCAAAAGTAAAACCAAAAAACCTAATTTCATTCTCATAGTTTCCTACATTGTGCTTCAACTCAGACTGCATCTTGTACTATCCACTTCCCCAATAGTAGTTCTTAAGACATATCTTTACCAGTGTAATCACCGCTGTCAATTTATATTATTTGTTGATATAAAACCTTACTACAATGTACCTTTTCATCTTACCTGATAAGTTAGATTAAGACCTGCCCAAAATGATATGCGTGTTAGTGGCTTTGCAAAAATGTACAAATACCAATCTTATGTAATCTCACCAACCCATTATACCTTCTTGTGAATAAATTATTATTATTATTATTATTGTTTATTAAAGTTCAGGAGTAAAAAAGTTAAATTCATAACAATAAAGTTTAGAACCTGCGAGTTCTTCCGTGGAATTTGTGCCCAGTCATTCTTGCACTGTGTACAATTACGGATTTCAGACTTTCTGCTTTTTGTGATAATAACTGCGTTTTCTTGACGGATAAGAGAAAGTGATCATCTGTGTCATTTGGCTACTGCGACTGGCTGCAAGGTACACACTCCTCCAGTGTTGCCAGGTCCCTAGTAGCTGGCGTCCTTTACCACATACCCAACTCTCTTGTGTAACCAACCCATTGTTAACTTTATTAATGTCTCAGAAACACTAATAGGGTCTTAATGAGCTGCATATCTGAGTGGTAACTATGGTCTGGCCTATCAGTTGCCATGGAGATGCTATCTTTGAAAACTTTAGTTGCGCCCTGTTCCTCGGAGGGTACACATCTGTTACATTAAACAACGGGTTTCTGTATCAAACACGACAATAGTGCTCAGAGAATTGTGCTAACACAAGAGTCGCCATCACATGCTTTGTAAAGTGCAGGTAGATGTGGACACTGGTGTAGGATGTTTAAACATAACTCGCATTGTCAACCTATCGGTTATAACACGAGCATTGGTGTATAGAACACCAGGCAGAGAGCACCAGGTACTTGGGCGAGGGTGCTAGAGAGCTGTGTTGTGGCGGGGTTAAGAATGAGGACGACAGGCATCAGGTCTGTGCCCATCCCTACGCCCCGTACGCAGGTGGGTGCTGGAGGCCCACCTCAGCCCTTGCCCAGGACCAAGTTCTACACTAGCACTGCTCCTACAGTCAACCCACCCCACCAACCTGCCTTCCCCAAACAACACGTCGCTCACAGCTCCAACAAAGACAAGAATGTAACACTGAAGGTAATTTATGAACACAGTCCGCCGCTGAAACAAGATGAAAGAGCTGAGGTTTCTCAGCCAAGTAAATCTAAGAACGAGGACGAGTCGGATCTTTCGGCACAAACTTCAATAAATACGTCTGAGTTAGCTACAAGCCGTAGCTCAGCACCTAGAACACCAGCTAGATGTGCTCCACCAAAACCACCCAGAACTTTCAATCATCAAGTAAATCCTACACAAGACACTACACATCGTAATAAAATAACTGTGATCTCAAACCGCAAGATTCCAGACCTACCCAAATCAACACCTATCCCGTCTCGCCCAAAACTTATAGACATTCTTTACAGACCTAGTCCTTCCCAGAAGGCGGTTTGTGACTCGAAGTTTACTGTCCCTCGAAATTCTAACTCAGATCCGAGCCAGGCTGAGACAACAGTGTCCTTACTGAGTACGGAGCGCGAGGGCGCCCTAGGCAACGTGAGAAATCAAGTGGCTCCAGCCTCCTTGACGTCTAAGGATGGTCAAGTATATGCTACCACTTTACGGGCAGCAGCTGGTAAGACACGGACGTCACAGTCAAGTATAACAGAGTGTGGTGGTGGACGTGGCGCTACACAGATAAACAGTTCACAGGGTGTTGATACGAGACTCCCTAAACACAGAGTGCCTAACAACCGCAATGTCCCCTTCCCTCCTCCACCTTCAGTACCGCCACCCAGTGTTCCTTCCACTGCTACTTCGAGTCCAATTGTTCAGCCAGGAATGTCGTCACGTCCAGAAGTACCCGCGCGTCCAACCGTTGCACAAGTAGCTGCGATTCAGAAAAGAAAGAAAGACGGGTGGCCAAAAAACTGGATGAGTGATCCTTTGAGGATCTCCTCCAGGTCTCGAGGAACGTCCATTGGCCCTGCTTCTACCGCCAGAGCTGTCGACCAAGACCCCGTGTACACGCCCGAAGACTTCGAGGACAATTGCAAGGAAGTCTTCAAATGTATTAAAGTCGCAAAGGATCATATGATTAAAGGACGGTATTTTCAGGTTAGTGAATATTATTAATATAATCCAAAACTATACCCTCGCCTAACTGTGAACACACGGCATCCAATATGCGACAAAGATTATACCTCTGTATTTACATTCAAAATTATATTTGTTTATTTACATTTATGGTTGTTATATTTCTGTAAAAACATAAAGTTGGATTCCCACAGGCAGCAAGTGTGTTCCAAGCGGCGCTGACGGCGATCGACCGGGTACTGAAGGCACAGGTGTTGAGCATCGTCAATGATGAACACACCAGGCAGAGGTTCTTCCACCTGCAGCAAGAGGTGTTCATTGCCAGGTGGGAGCGAGGGGGGGTCGTGGAGGAGGCGGGAGTAATTAAATGTACGTCCATTCATACCGTCTGGGGTAGTCACACACACACAAAACACATACACAACACAACACAAATGTGCATGCACAGTGTGTGTGTGTGTAGTTGCGTTTGCAGGTGGTTAAGCTTCGTTCTTTGGTCAAGGTAAAACTAGGTTAGGCAAGATAAAGTTAGGTTAGGCAAGGTAAAGTTAGGTTAGGCAAGGTAAAGTTAGGGTAGGCAAGGTAAAGTGAGGTTAGGCAAGATAATGTTAGGTTAGGCAAGATAATGTTAGGTTAGGCAAGGTAAAGTGAGGTTAGGCAAGGTAAAGTTAGGGTAGGCAAGGTAAAGTTAGGTTAGGCAAGATAATGTTAGGTTAGGCAAGATAATGTTAGGTTAGGCAAGGTAAAGTGAGGTTAGGCAAGGTAATGTTAGGTTAGGCAAGGTAAAGTTAGGTTAGGCAAGGTAAAGTTAGGTTAGGCAAGGTAAAGTTAGGTTAGGCAAGGTAAAGTCTGATTAAACAAGCTGGAAGCTAGATAACTCATTGAATTTACATAAGCAAGGTACGATAAACTAATATCTTGCTGGCTAGCATATTAGACATATTATGGCAAGTTATACTCTTATGCTTGGAAAACAGTTAATGTTTTATTATACTTAGAGCAAGTATTAATACGAAACTTACCTCTGATATATCGATTATGACATCCGCAAACAATACAACTAAGCGGGCGATGAGTCACAATAACGTGGCTGAAGTATGTTGACCAGACCACACACTAGAAATTGAAGGGACGACGACGTTTCGACTTGAGAATGGTCCAGGACGGACCGAAACGTCGTCGTCCCTTCAATTTCTAGTGTGTGGTCTGGTCAAAAATACAACTAAGCATTTTTAACAAGACATTAGAAAAAGGAAATGATTAGCTATTTACTAACATGCAAAAAAAGGTAATACAATAAGTAATTCATTATTATACGTGAAAAAATGTCACAAGAAGCCTACGTTTACAGGCGTCAAAATGGCCGCCAAGTGGCCTTTAAAAATTTTACACAAACCTCGTAGATCTATAGATGGAGAGTGTTGTGTTGCAGGAAGGAGACTCTGAACGGGTTCAGCGATGCTCAGGCAGCGGCGAGGCCCATTGGGGAGGTGTCCACCAGCGCCCAGGCTCCAGGGGCGCCGCCCTCATATGACGACGTTCTCAGGGAAGACCTCTCACTCTCACGAGGTACTGATCCCGGGGTTGATGGTGGTGTGTGTGAGAGTGAGAGAATGCTTATTGTTTGTGATGTGATAGAGTTCACAATTGTGGTTTATAAGCAAGTCTGTGCATTTTATATATATATATATATATATATATATATATATATATATATATATATATATATATATATATATATATATATATATATATATATATATATATATATATATATATATATATATATATATATATATATATATATATATATATATATATATATATATATATATATATTTATTTATATTTATATGAACACTGTACTGAACGAGGTGAGAATAGCTTGAGCTACCTCATCCGTTTGTGTGTATTTATACCTCAATATACTTATTTAAATTCAAATCAACGGTGAAGCAGGATAAACAAAACAAGTACTTATTGCTACACACAAAATTGGGTAGAGTAGTAAAACTTATGTAATGTAAGAATGAACTACACAATTCTACAATTATTGCATGGATCCTAATGATGTCATATTATTTTGAGATGAGTCGTCAGGGGCGCCATCAAGACTACCATCTCAACCAGAGCCAGCGGCCGTGGGTCAGAGAACAGTGCAGGGAAATCGAGGAAGACTAAGACGGAGTGCCAGATCGCTTACTGTTGACGTTACGTCTCGACCAGGCCCTCCACTGCTTCCCCAGCCGGCCAGATCTTCTTGCGCCACGTCCTCTTCCCTACAGACACGTCAGGCTGGAGTGGAGGTCCTGGTAGACACTTCAGCGGACCCACCTCACCCTCCTCCCTCGTCACATACAGCGCCTGTCAACCTCACCTTCCAGCCCCTGGTTCCAACCCAAGTATCGCCTCCAAGACCCAAGTCCATCATTCCCTCCCTAGAGAAGCCTATTCCAGAAACCTCTCCTAGACAACCTGAAGACACAACCTCTTGTCCGGGGTCCTCTCACACCCCCACCAAAACACCAGTTCCAAAACCAAGAACTTCCAGTAAAACAAGCGAACCACCTGTTGTTGAATCAGGTTCGCCGCCGCCACTTGACGAAGCTATCTTTTATCAGGCACAAGCTATAAAAAAGATTGAAGAGCAACGAAAAACTGAAGGCTCAATGGCGGCTGTGGTAGCCGCAACAGCAGAGCCTACAGTCAACGAGGTAGCAGCAGAGAACAGCTCACCAAGTCTAGAAATACCTAGCAGATCATATTTGATAACAGGTTCAAATTGGAGCCAACTTGATAATAGTCCAAAAATCAATGTAAAAGATTGTAGAGTTGTTGAAGACGGCGGAGACAAAACTTTGCCCTCGGGTGAAGCTGCTGCCTCTGCTCAGAGAGCCCCAGGTTCCATAACATCACAATCTTTTACCTCTCACAGCTTTAGTATTAGTGATCCATTCACGAATACAGACCCATTTTCCCAAGTTGATACTAACACAATAAAGAGTGATTCTGTCTTTTCAGACGATTACCAGTCACCTTCAATGTTGGTATTTAATAACATTAACTCGGTCAGTAAAACAGATACATGTAAAGTGCCTGTAACAACACCTGCAGATGCAGGTGTTCTGCGACCATCTGGTGAAGCTGGCTTTGAAGGTTATGCCACGCCTCTTGGTGTCAAGCAGGTAAACCGGACCTGTACAGGTTCTCCCCAAGATGACCGTGGGACACCAGTTCTTGCAGGGGGGAGTTCTATACTCGAGGCGCTAGATGTTGCAATCTGTCGAACTCCAAGCCATAGGAAAGTTACACCTCAGAACTCCAAGGGTTCCATACATTCACGCTCCTACTCTCAAGACACTTTATTGGATTGTTCATATGGGGCTCTGAATAATTATATAGAGTCTTCCAAAGGTATATGTGCGAGTCGAGCATCAATTATAGAAGAATTCGATCCGCTCTTGTCCAGCTCTTATGATAACAAGAGTCCAGTTGTGTCTGCTGACCACAAGAAAAACAAAATTCGTCATGTTGAAACACATGTGAAAGAAACTGAAGTGGATGTTGTGACAGAGCACAGGGTCTATGAAAACAGTGAGGTATTCTTGCCTGAGAGATTCAGCGAGGAAGGAGCAATGGCCGCCGCTGCAGACTTGTACTACAGTACAAGGGGTGGGGGCGTACCGTATGATCTCAACGAGAAAACAGGATTGAGGGGCTTGCCTGCTGACATTCCCTGCAACAGCACTGGAGTGGGGGGCTTGCCATTTGACCCCCTCTACAACAACACTGGAGTGCGGGACTTGTCTGGTGACCCTCCCTGCCACAATACTGGAATACAAGACGTGTCTGCTAACCTGTACGACAGTAAGGGACCATCTCCTGACTCTCCTAACGCGATAGGCACCAGGTCATCCGTCTCCTCTTCCACGGGTTCTTGTGTATCGTGGCCACCTGAGCGTGTCAAGAATGCGTCGTGGTCGCCCCAGCCACTCACCCCGCCGTCAGCAGACACTTCAGGAGATGACAGTACACGGATGCCATGGAGCTCTGAAACAGGGGAGCCGCAGGAAACCGGTGTGGGGCGCTCAGCCTTCTATCGTCCTCTTGCCACTCAGAAGGTGCGTTGTAAAATTATATTTCTTAAGATATTCTCTCACTTCTGAATTTTTTGTTAAGCAGTTTAATAACTGAAACAGGTGTCATTGGGCAAATTTATTATATATATATTTTTTGAAAATTGTCAAGCAAATTTATTGATATCAAGTTCCCCCTTTTTATGGTCCCTTTCCATGTGACAACAAGATATAGTATAGAACACGCTATGTGACGTCACGACAAGGTATTGACCTCCTTGTAGATGACGTAATATGGTATAGACCCCTGAGCCCGTCCTCAGACCAAATCCATTACCATGAGAAACCACACCCCTCTTCAAACCTCCTGGATAGGTATCAAGGTATTTGTAATGGTCTGAAAGCATATTACGGTTCCACTAATAGTCTACTTGTAAACTGGCAAATGAACCTTTGTCCTAAACAAAGATTATTCTCAACTTATAACTTTATTGTATTAAAAATCGTTGCTTTAAAATAGAAAAAGTGTATGCTAAAAACGTTTTTCTTTAAGAATTTGGTTTTCTGTAAACTGCTTTCTCTGGTACACTGAAATCCAGATTTCACATTATCTTCAATAATACAATGTATTAACGTAACCAAGCGTAATGAAACCTAACTATGAATAGTATAACTATGAATAGTGTACCACTATTCATAGGTAATACCTCTCCCTAACCATGGTTAGGAAAGGCTAACCAAGTGAAAGGTTATATTAATAGTCTTTCCCAATCCATTCCCTTGAGCGGATCTCCTCGCTGAGGACAGGTTGAGACCTCTTCGCGACCTCTTTTCCATCACGAAGCGGTATTGACCCCTGGCATGTGACGTCGTGACTCGGTATAGACCCGTGGCATGTGACGTCACGAAACGGTATTGACCCCTTGCCTGTGACGTTATTGCATGGTATTGACCACTGGAGGGAGGGGGGGGGGGTAGAAATAGCCTAAGTTACTCTATCCCTTTGAGATGTATTTCTTTCTTGTCTCAATAAACATACTTGAACTTGAACTTGACCACTGGCATGTGACGTTACGATGTCGAGGTGTTTGTGTACACTTTTAATGAGTGAACAGTGTCGTATATTCCATCTTGTACGCATCGCTGTCAATGACGAGTCGTAGCTGGGTAGGACAGCTGTGTCGCACCTCAAGACCACCTCGACAACACCCCCAATAAGACTGATAAAGAACTACATTTATAATGGTTCAGATATGGGGAAAAAAAAAAAGAGTTGAAGAGGGCAACGCTGAGCAGCGACACTCATGTCCCTGAGACTACTGAAAAGTAGGCGTCGAGTCGTTGCAACAGCACGACTCGTTGAGAGTCGTGTTGTACTTGCCTAGTTTTGCTTGCGGGGATTGAGCTCTGGCTCTTTGGTCCCGCTTCTCAACTGTCAATCAACTGGTGTACAGATTCCGGAGCCTACTGGGGCCTATCATATGTACATTTGAAACTGTTTGGCTGTACACTCTGGCTGTGGCTAGTCCGCGATGCACAACAATCTATAGAGGTGTTTATTACGCCCAAATTAAGGATCTGGCTGACGTCATTTTAACAATATATTGAATTTCAGAGCTACCTGCCTTAGGAGTATGGAAAATAATGTTTTTTCAGCATAGTGGTTTTCTTTCCAAGAGGTATTGATACCATAAATATTATACGCCTAAAACAAGAATATAGCATTAGGCTTCATATGGTTCCTGTACAAAGTCGTGCTTCACTCAGTGGCGTGTTATTGGTTTTTAGCTAAAAGAGTAAGCCAAATCACAGAGAGAAAATGTAGGCCTGTACGTACTTAAATTGTATTAATTTTAATTACATATTATTGCATACACAAATAGCCATATATTTAGCTTGTAAATACATGGTGTCAATACTTTACGTAATGTATATATGTTGTTTTGCATTGGTTCTTGCTTTACGTTATGTCCCGGACGTTACTACCTGTTATTGCTACTGTATGTTGATCGTTTATATAATATAGTGTTCTTTCTCAGCCTTAGTGAATTGACTGTTGTGGTTCTACACAGCTTACATTGTCAGGCCGGAAACCCAGGCGACGACTCGTTGTTCAGACAGACGCCTACCACTAAATGCGGCGTATATGATTCCACTCGCTAACTTTATAAGTGCAGCATACGCCAACATCTGGTCGTCTCACGTCATATGCAACGACTGTGTACCGAGATATGTTGTTGTCGTTTTAAATTTACCTGCTCAAAACGAAGGGTAAATGTAGCACAGGCTATAGTGAGCCCGTAAATACCGTGACAAGAATATGACGACCTTATAGCTTGGTCGAGCCTTCCCCCCTCTCCCAAATCAGAGCCATGAGCGAGACCTATCCAAGCCGTGGGCACCCATCCAGCCACTGTATAGACCCAACGGTGTATATCATCGCTTTAACTTTCCTATTACTATTTACTCTTCAGAACCAGCAATAGTTCACAGTCTCACTGTGAATCAGATTATCGTCACATTCGACTCCGTCATCGTAAACGATCAAATTGCAGCTATTACAAAGTGTGTTGGTACTGTGGCAGGTGTGTGTTGATGGACGGGGGGAGAACCGGGGCGGAACGGGCAGTGAGGCCGGGCTCAGAGACCTCCTAAAGATCACTGAGGGAGTCAAAATCTTTTTCATCTACACTGACGGGGTCGTCACCTCGCCCTGGAACAAGCCATTCCTCGCTGCATCCAAAGGTAACTCGCCCTACAACACTCTTCATCACTAACCAAATGTAACTCTCCTCGCCTGTGGCCTGCACCGCAGTAACCAAATATAACTCAGCAGTAGGCCTCAATTAGGTGGATTTTTAATTTAAAATCTTCTCTCGTACTTCCTGGGGAGCTGATAGACGCACGCTCCTCTAATTGCATTATGGTGTCTAAAGTCGATTATGGCTGTCCTGCCTACTCGTCTGAAGTAAACTCTCACTGTTGTCGGCAGACACCAGCATGGCGTGGTACGTGGGGGAGGGTGTGGTGCTCAGGGTCGGCAGCAAGCTGTGGTCGTGTCAGCTCCACAGCAAGTCCACCCTCGTCTTGAGGACCTTGTCTGGCACTTACATCTTTAAAGACGTTGCTGGCAAGCATAACTGTGAGTACCTCCCTCTCTCAACTGTTGTATCTCCCTCTACTTTCTTGAGAGTACTTCCGTATCAATTCTCGCACGCGAGTGCCCCCATCCTGAGATGCTGTTAATTCCTATAAGCCTCCTTATACACATCATGAAAGATAACACTATAATTAAGAACATTTAATTTTTTTGCCAGCTAAGTGATGCGTGCTATGTGCTAATTACTGTGTGTTGATTGCTAGGTGCTTTTGTCTTATAATTCATAATACTTATAATTCATAAGAGACTCTGACTCTATTGATTAACTGTTTCAGCCGCTGGTTGCCGAGATTAGGTGTAAGAAAATAATTTTAATTTTAAAAGCGTGAGATTATTTAATAGTGAGCATATTGAGAGTACATAAGTGCGAGATTATGTGAGAGTATATGAGAATAATAATGAGCGCATGAGATTAGGAGACAGCATATGAGAGCAAAAGCGATCCAACTGAGCGCTGAGGCGGTGTTGCAGGCCAGGCGGTGGGGATACAGGTGCCAAGCAAAGTGAGGAAGACCCAGCACCAGCTGCTGAGTAATATCCTACGGGAGAACACGCTCCTGGAGGACGAGCGACCCACCGGACTCACCAAGGGTAAGGCACACACACACTCCTAGGCTCTGTGTACCCTTTACGAGGTCAGGCATTATACTGGTGAGTCACCTGTTGTAAAGTCGCAGTCAACTCATCCTGTCACCCAATACAGTTGGCGAGGCTTTTGCGAAATCTACCAATCCGTTAAAAATGCAACGCATTAGTAAACATTAAAGAACCGTAATATTGACGGTTTAAATATATATCACCCTCAACAATTTTGGCGAGTTGCTTTGGATTCGTTGTTTCAGGTTAGGAAAAATCTTACATTTTTTTTTAAGGAGGCAAATCACGGCCTGCATACTCATGCATCATCCATCATACGGTCAGGCCCTCACACTCATGACCCACCAGTCGTAAGGTCAGGCCTCACACTACACTCATGACCCACCAGTCACAAGGTCAGGCTTCACACTACACTCATGACCTACCAGTAACAAGGTCAGGCCTCACAGATCAGATCATCTGGGTACTTCTAGAGCTCATATAATATGTACTGGGTATTAAAAAGATACTTCAAGAGTTCGCCAGAACTTACTGTTTGAGTCACGTGATGTCTGGTGTAAGTTTGGGCGCTGAAACCTGCTCGCTTTGTCAACAATGCGCTAATGTTTAAATTTTATGTTTGCCCCAAAACAATATGTAAAAAAAATAAAAAAAATTATTAGTGCGAATTGAACAAACTATATACTATATCTTTTCTCAGTACTTAATATTTTGGGCATTTTTTTGGCTATTTAAGGATCATAATTACTGACAAGATTATTATTACAATGGTATTTGTATGAAAACCTGTTTTCTTCAAGAAATAAAATTGTATGTAATTACTATGTTCCAAAACTTTTTTTTTTTGTTAATTATCTTTTACTGTACTCATAATTCACTCTGGAAGCAAATTGGCAGTAGATTTGTTACATTTTACTTTATTATTTTGCTTTCAAGATTGGGAAGAATAGAAGACAATAGTGTTACAATAATTATGCACTTCTGTGTAATATATTTCGGAATAAAGCTAGTCAATAACAATTTTAAAAAAGCAATTAGCCACTGATTTGTATTTCCAGTTGACTCAAAATTCGGCTCTTACAGTAGAAAGTGAACCTATAAAAAACATTTCTATGTCTAAATACACATACAAATCTAGATTAAACCCATACAAATGGGTTTAATGTTACTGTATACTCTCTAACATCATTGGGATCTCAGCCATCTCCAAGGGAGCATCCTCGGCAGCATCCCGGGTCAACCAGTTTGTTAACGACAAGTCCAGGACCACCAACACGGCCTTCATCAGGCAAAACTCCATCAGAGCCTGTGAGTAACTCACCATTCGGTTTAACATTATATGCCCTGTATTTGTTTTAAAGTGTTTTATAGTGATGACTTTCATCACTATCATGATTTTAGTAAAATCAATAATAATTGCAATAGTTGTAGTGGGAACAATGTGAATTTTGACAGGTATGAAGTCTAAAGCAGGTACAATATACAGTAGCTATAATAAATACTTTATCTTTTTCAAACTGTTGTCATGTAGAGTTACCCAAGGGTGAGATATAGCCAAGGACGAGGTACAGCGAAGGGCGAGGTGTAGACATGGGTGAGGTACAGCCAAGGGCGAGGTATAGCCAAGGGTGAGGTACAACCAAGGGCGAGGTACAGCCAAGGGCAAGGTATACCCAGGAGTGAGGTACAACCAAGGGCGAAGTTCTTTCGCTGATTTAGCAAATAATGCATTTCTTTGGAAATGAATTGGACATGTTTCAAGCCATCCTCCTAAAATGATAGTACTATGGGAACTATTCGGTTGTACACACCAATACATACTGATGGACCCAAAGTTTATGTTTTATACTGTTAATTTGTAGAGGGCACAAAAAGTTAAAAAACAAACTTAAGCATTAATAGGCCTAGTATAGCAGATATATTTAAGATTTTAGGACTAGATAGTGTATATTAGGCCTTGGATTGCTTGGACAGGATAGGTTTCTCTAGTTATGTTTCCAGTTTTGAAGAATGCCATTTGTGCTAATTCAATAATACATAACGTGAACTTTATTAGGGTTCCAACAGTACACATTGGTGTTTGACCAAACAGTTGCTATATGTATCTGCACTATTACTTTAGGAGGATGGGTTGCAGATTTAACATAGTATACATCTTAAAAAACATGTTTCTGTCTTTTTGCTCAGTGAGAGGCATGTCTAGAGGTCTGAAGACCCTGGCAGAACGAACAGGGAGCACCATGCCAGTAAGTGTTCCCTTGACTGTGGTAGTCACCTTACGCTTCTGTTACAATTAACTATAATGTGATGTGGTAGACCTTGCAATGTTTCGTTAAAAAGTAAACAAAAAAATATATATGTATATTGAGGCAATTGTCGGTTGCCTCAAGCTGATGGTGTGTCTCTTCTTTCATGTGGAACTGTACTTCGCTGCATAGACGGTTACATCGAGATGACTGCCCTTTAGTTTCCTATTTAGGGTTTTTCTGAACCCTAAATATTTTGGGTTATTTGGGTTTACAGTATATCTTATTACAGGTCTATGTGTATGTTCTTTATTTACTCCTTGCTATTAATAAGTCTATCATATTTCCTTCAGCTTGGTCAACTTCATCCATGGATCATTACTTTTCTTATAATTTTTGTTTCTTTACTTGGGTGTGTTTTTATATCACCTGCTGTAAATCCATAAGAGCTGTGCAAGGGTTCGAACCCTCATCACGGCTCCTTCGGATTTTCTCACTGATGCAGTCACATTAGTGTGATTTCTCTTTCTGTATTCAAAGAGGAGCTTCAGAGGTAGAACTTTCCTAGATGACAGAGCCAGAGTGCATGAGGAGATTGTATGAAAATCTTGGTCCAGCTTCAGGAAACCCTCATGAGTTCAGTAGAGCTCCAGGTAGCAATCCTTTTACTATGTGGTCTAGTCATTAGTGTGTACATGGGAACACTCACCGCATAGGTTCAAACCCTCAACACAGCCCCTACGGATTTTCTCAATACTGTACAGTACAGTACTATTATTATAATATTATTATTATTATTATTATTGAAGAGAGGACAAAAGGTTGCAAAAAGCAGCCTCTTGGTATTAATAATAATAATATTGTCCCAGAGAGCAGGTCTACAGCAAATCACATGTCAAAGGGCCCTCACAATGAACTCAGCATTATTATGAGGGCTCTCACAATGCCAAAGAACCTCCCTTGAAGGGTGAGAGGGGGTGGGGGTTACTTACGTACGTGCATTGTTATAATGTTAATTTGTAGTTTAAACAAATAATGTTATATTTGTTTTTGACAGGACTATGTAATTTTGCACAATGTTCTTAACCTTAAACATGAGTTATTTTTGCACTAAATATATGATTTGCATCCATCAGGAGCTGCCACCAGAGTACCAAGAACTGCAAGAGGCTGCCAATGTTCTTCAGTTCTCTCGCACTGCTAAGGCAGTTCAGTACATCTAATTTCAAGTTCAGAGTGACCATTGATCTATTAAAGAAATTACAATTTTTATTCTGTCCTGGTATTAATGTTGTCATCCACCTTTATATTATGCTCACAGTGTTAGAAACATAATAATGATTGGAAAAACAGCCCTTATAACTAGATATTTATGCATTATGCCTGTTTTATGGTACATTAATGAACAAAATATTGCTCTCTCCCTCACCTCATCAAAGTAGAAAATTAGCCAATACTGTAATTATGATTGAAGCTCAATAGTTAACATGTTATTTCTTTGCAATAATAGGCAAAACAAATTAGATATAATAATGTGTATACTCTGTATAATGATTACAATCATGACCATGTACTCGTTACAATGATCTACCTGTTGTCAAATATTAACAATATCTAAAATATTAATGATTTTCCACACAATTATGTAAACTTCATTTACTTCTTAATAGTAATTAAAACTTATCATAATTTCTTTTAGTGATCAGTTGTATTTCTATACCTGTATATTGTTTAAGCTAACATTATTTCCTTATGTAAAGAAATCACTCATCCATCAAATTCAAGTAAGTAATTGTCAAAAAAAGGCACTAAACCGGGAAGGTTATGTAGCACCATCAAATGTGCAGGATAATCAGAAGGCGCTAAATATCACCAAGGATGCAAATACGAGAACAGAAACGCATAAGGCGAACAATATCAAAAGTATCTGAGTAACCAAGAATACTATCGAGGGACAAGCGACCGCGGGGGACGGTCGGAAAACAAGACACACGCTCGTCCCGGAAGTCAGGACATTCAACAAGGATATGCACGACCGTAAGAGGGACAATGCAATTTGGACAATAAGGAGCAGAGTGGTGCTCCATTAAGTGACCACGAGTTAAGCGAGTATGGCCAATACGCAACCTCACCAGAGCCACTTCCCATCGCTGGTTACAGTGATAGGAGGACAGCCAAGAGGACACACAACTCTTAAGAGTACTGTACGCAGTTTGTTTCCAATAACAGAAGACCAACAAGCCTGCCAACGGGTAAGGATGGAGGAATGGATAACCGGGTAAAAATCAGAATAAGGAATACCTTTACGAGAGATGACAAGCGGATAGCTTTCCTGGCGGCAGCATCTGCACGCTCATTTAAAGAGACCAATATGGCTGGGTACCCAACAAAACTCAACCGACTTAAATTTACTGTGAACAAGAAACAGCCAATGCTGGATCTCGACAACCATTGGATGAACCGGATTAAAGGACCCAAGAGCCATGAGGGCACTACGAGTCAACAACAACTACAAAGAAAGATTGACAACGAGAAAGCAGGAGACGCCATCAAACTCAATTAACTTTTATTTTTAAAACGTAGGCTTCATTTAGATTGCTATTCACCTGTTTAGTCCAACAAATATTATGAAGATTTGTATAAATTGTCAGAAAAAATGTGGTTCTGATAATGACAATGTCTATATGCTAGGCTGTTATTGTGACTTGTGTAATGTATTGTAATTTCATGTAAACTTTCCAAATTACAGAATAAATGAACAACCATTTATGAATAACATTTCTGATTTGATAGCTTACATTAGTGGTGGTGAACCTATGGCATGTGAACAAGTTTTGCTGGTATGCAGTGTAGTCCTTTGATTCATTAAACTCCACCTATAATAATAATAAAACAAAGATTATCATTACTGCCAGCCAGGCAGATCAGGGATATACATATCAGTCACGAAAGCAAAGCAGACCTAAACCTGAATGAAACCAGGACCATCACATTAGTGATGATCGAGTTTCATAGGAGGAACTAAAACAGGCTCGCACAAGCCACAACCAGTGCAACATGGGATGATGTGAAGCTTCTGAAAGAAGAAGAGTCCAAAGCACTGGATGGCACAAGGAATCTAACTCCAGCAGCAGGTGCCAGGAAATATGCACATGCTATCAAGGGAGGAAGGAAATTATGCTCCCCACTCTCTGGGGGTAAAAGATCCAATGCCAAAGGAACTGATCTCTAAGAAGTGTTAAAAGGCACCCCATAGACCCTCCTTGGGGTCTGTCAGGGCCTGGTGATTACTGTCATGATCTGAACAGCTAACTAGCCCCGCTGGCTCATATGGGGTGCTCTTCATCGCGTGTGCCGAGTAGGCAGCACGTTTACAGTACTTTGAAAAAATTAAGGTGCTCAGAGCAGGCTACTTTATTGGCCTGAATGTCTATGAATGGAATTCGATTCAGGTTTGGATTCGGTTCTCACTATGTCAAAGCACAGTAAGATTATTGCTATCAAGGCATCACTCCCATCCCTTTATGATAAGAGCTGAAAATTTATAGGTAAAGTAAAATTTATGACCATTATGACTGCAAATGGTAGTAAAGTTGCATCCGTTCTCGACTCGCAATACGGAATTCTGGATTTGAATCCCAGGCAGGACAGAAATGGTTGGGCATGGATTCTATCATTTAATGCCTCTGTACACCTAGCAGTAAATATATAGGTACCCAGGAGTTAGTCAGTCTGTTTCAGAGTTGCATCCTCGGGAGGGTCAATAGTACAACCCAGGATGGGGGAGTGGAGCAGACCTCGATATATAGTAATTCGAACATGCATCAACCTGTCCTCGGGGAGATCCCCTCAAAGGAATGGATTGGGTATGACTACATAATTTGTACTATTATCTTCTTCTCTATCCATGGTTAGGTTAGGTTGAGGTTACTTTAGGTTTCACTACATTTGGTTACGTTAAAACGATGTATTATTAACGACAATGTGAAATATGAAGTTCAAAAACCGTTTCAGTGTGCCCATGAATTTTGTTTCCAGAAAACCAAATTCTTCAAAGAAAACATTTTCAGCACACACTTTTCTATTTTAAATCAACAATTTCTATTACATTAAAGTCATAATGTGAGAATAATCTATGTTTAGGACAAAGTTCATTTGTCAGTTTACATGTAGACTATTACTGGAACTGTAATATGCTTTCAGACCATCACAAATATCTAGATACCTATCTAGGTGGCTTCAAGAGGGGTGTATGTGTCTTAAGGTAATGTCTTATTATTATTATTATTATTAAAATAATAATTATTATTATGAAACAACTACTGTAAAGTATATGGTCTGAGGAGATTGTAGGGTCTATGACCTGAAGAGACTATAGGAACCCCATCCTTCTTTGCTATTTCCCAATATTGAGCAGCCGGAGCGCATCCGATCCACTGATCGTCATCGCCCCTAAATCAGCAACAACTTACCAGTTTCTCCCTAAAGCCTCTACTTGTCACTTCCATGCACTCCGGAGTTATCTGATTATGGACTAGACCCAGACAAAATTGTTTAATACTAATTAATTGTTTATAACACTAAATCGAGACAATGAATAATTTAACAGTAATGAAAGTGGATTGGTTACAATATTTTCTTTACATATTTAAACTCCTATGGTGTTCATTCTTTACCATTTTTCTACTCAAGATTTGACATGTATAAATACTGAATAAATTATGAAATATAGAAGAGGTTCCTAGGGAGGGAGCAAAGGGAGTTAATTACACACGCAAGATCCTTGGTCAAAAACAATTTTAATTTAAGAGACTACCGTACTAGCTCAAGAATGTTAACTGCCCATTTTTATTAACTGATCTATGACTATCCTGAACAGTTATTTCATCACCTATACTGACAAAAGTTATTACTGTAACTGCTCCTCTGTGGTATTGCTACCAGCTAATAGTGAAACTATACACACTGTATATAGAACTTAAATCAAGTGTTCCATATGATATTCTCATCAAATACATTGTCATGGCAAAATAAATTGAAGTGTGCACTATAGTTTATATTATGAAAACACAAACCAACACCTCACCAATGCAAAAAAAAATTCCAATTCTTTATGCACATAATGATTAAACCTATCATGGTGGAAGAACACTCTTGGACAATACAGTACTGGCCCATTACTTTAACTTTCACAGAAAAATCTCTCCATGTTAACCAATCTACACATTAGAAAATGAACGGACGATAACATTTCAGTCCGTCCTGGACTATTCTCAAGTCGATTGTGGCGAGGGAAGGAGATGATGGCAATAAATAGGCAAGAGAGAGGCGAGGAGCAAGGCAAATGCCTATTTATTGCCGTCATTTCCTTCCCTCACTACAATCGACTTGAGAAAGGTCCAGGACGGACCGAAACGTCGTCGTCACTTCATTTTCTAGTGTGTGGATTGGTCAGCATACTTCAGTTATGTTATTGTGACTCATCGACTGCAAATCTCACCATGATCCAACAGGTACCTCAGTGTACAGCCGACCAAGAAATTAACACAATGTACTTCTTGGCCCAATTAGTGAAATAGTTGGTAAAGACTAAAAACAAAAATATTTTAAGACACCATTTCTCAGAAACTTTTATGTACATTTTAAGTGAGTAAAATATGGCTGTGGTTGATTTCCATGGACCACCTAACACCCCAGAAATACATTCAACAAAATCTTAAGGATTTAACTAACACAAAGACATTATATAGATAATGTTTCATCTGTGATCGTTTCAAAGTTAAATAAATATTTAATATGTGCATTTTACACATTTTTTGTTCAAGTTAGACCAAAACTTGGTATAGTACCTCATCTTTGACTATAATGTTGATACATGTTCAACAGTAAGTATATACTATACTGTTCAATGACCAAAAATATTAATTATATATTTTCAACCATGGTTCTAAATCTCAAATTTTACTTGAAAAAGAAAACTTTATTATCTTATCACATAGGATGATTAATCTTTTAACACTTATTACATACGATTTAATCTGAAATATCTTCATACATCATTCATAGAATATACTATATACAAAAACATTTTATAAAAACTTTGTATTGTATCATGTACCCATAACAGTATCTTCAGTATTGACCACCCACAAGTGATTTCTTGGGCAACACGTCATATAATGGCCGTAATATGCTTTTAGAAACTCATTAAAGGAACAGTGCATATTTGTTTTAATCATTTATCTATCAACGAGTAGAAATTTTAGTTTTAACACCAAAAAAGTCTATCTAAGCTACTTGTTACATGTAATATTAGTCAGTCCTAACAGCACATGACAGTCACATCTCTTATATGGATACATACAACTCCCCTGCTAAGTGCTTATACAGCCACTGACAAGAGGAATTAACGCCCTCATCCACCACCAGCCATTGGAGGAGGATCTGGCCCTCCAGAACCATGCAGCCGACCCATTCTTCTTCTTGGAGGACCAGGTGGTCTGTGGTAGTAATAACTACAATTAGATCCTATTGGGAATACCTATTAACTCTCTGAAAACAATACTTTCCACCAGAAATAATAATAATGCTGGTACAGTATTGTATTTTACTTATGTATGTCAAAGATGATTCTCTGGTATGAATGTGAAAACCAACAGTTATACAAGTAGAAGTAGATATGAGGAAGTAAGGAACAACAATGTTGCACTGCAATCCCATGTGTGTGCATTATATATGAAAACTAAGTTATCCTTTATGCATTTAGAATCTTAATGCTAAGCGATAAAGAAATTAAATATAGTGTACTTACGGTCCTCTACCACGTGCATTGTAACTGCTTGTAAATCCACCCTCCCCATCTATGCCTGGGCTGATTAATGTCCGAAAGCTGATAAAACAAAATGCTTATTTAGAGATACAAAATTGTTTAAAAGTTAGACAATGCAAGCTATTAAAAAAATAAAAAATTAAATAAATAAATAAATAAATAAATAAAGATGCCAATTAGAATGCAAACCCTAACCTACACAATAATCAAGATTGTCCAAAAGAAAGAAAATATTTTAAATGCAAAAAGAAAGAAAAAAGGGAGGTCAACCAATTACAGGTTCTATATATCACTAGGATTGCACTGTACAGTATATCATTTGTTAAATCTCATCTACAATTATAAATCTCATTAAGTACTGTTGCTAAAGCTGCAGTGTCTAAATATCACTTAAGAACTTTTAATAAGTTTCTATATATTTATAAATTAAAAATTTTCTCATTTAACTTTTAAGTACAGCATTACACCATTAACTTGTATATTATTCTCTTAATTATTTTTACATTATGCCTGAAATGCTCTGCATATTAGTAACTGTTTTGCATTACTGAACTTTTACTTTCAAATTCTCCACTTTTCATGCATCACTGTATGTACACTTCCATATATATAATATAATAAATTATTTTAATTATAATAATTTGTCAAAATGGAAAAAATACCGTGTTACTCAAGATAGACAAATTAGTTTTTGTGAGTGAACATTTATTTGAGGCATGAAATTTACTGAGTAGGGCATTCAGAACAGTAAAATATTGCCTGGTTAATAATATTTCACTGCAAAAGTGGATCCAAATAACACCAAGATTTCATGTTGACTAAACCAAAGATTTAACAAAAATTACATTGTTTAGTACAACAGACACTGTGCTGTACAGGGTACTGGTAATTTACTTGTGAAGCATGAAATTAGGACAATGTTGTACTATACTGTATATCAAGCTTTAAAAAACTTACAATAAAACTATAAAGTTGACGAATCCCCAGAAAAAGTCAGTGACCGTGGATATTCCCCATCCTCCCCCACCTCCTATGGTTCCATCTGTGAACAAGAAAAAAAAATTATGCAGCACATACAATTTTCAAACATTTATTAATCACATTTAAAAATAATGGCACGATAGCAAACATTGTGCCTTTTATGATAGAAGCATCATTGAACTATCAATGTACTATGAGCTGATCTGCATAATGAAGCATTGCAATTTTTCTCTGGATGGGAATGGCAGTAACCTTGCGAAGCTACTCCGAGGTGACAGTTACTCTGGAATTAAAGTAATAAGGTGTGAATGTTCTATGTGGGTTAATTGAATAATGTAAAGTTAAATAATATTTAAAATCAGTCTTTTGACCAAGATGTGGGCTATGCACAAGAACAAACTGGATTCTAAAGGCAATGCAATCTCTGCTCATGTTAATGCATGAACCCCTTAACACCCCTTACAATCACTTGCCAAGAATATTTAACTCATCTCAACATGAAGACACCAAACACAACCACTAGCCTATCTTGCCTGTAACTAATGTCATGTCATTTCCACTGAATCTGCTTGGCCAAGGGTTGGTCGAAGACAACTACTGGTGTCTGACCTGAATATAGATGATCAATAACATTTATCACATCCTTTGAGTGGTGGATGTACACTCTGAAGGCACAGTAGGAGCAGACCAGTGAGGCAGACGGCTACTATACGATTGACAGCTGGTATGAAAGTGTTCATATTGTCTGTGACAGATCTGTCTTATGCTCTGCAGTGCATGGTCTACCCTCAGGTGCTCATCCTCCCTCAACAGCCGTGCCTACCTGGGAACACTACATAAGCAAGTGGGATAGCCACTTTCGTGACGAGGCACTAAATCAGTGGAAAGTGGCCGATGGTACGTACTGCATTCACATTTCTTGCCTTTTCTGATAATCCTGTAAATGTGATGCTCCAATCAACCCCTTTACCAGAGGATAGATGTTGGAGCAGGGAGATTATGTGACAGTATCATGTAAGGACTTCTTGTATTTTGGTTGTGATCAATTTCATTGACATTAACAGTTGTGAAAATAATGCCAAACATTGCAAGAGGGCAGCCAACTTGTTCTTTATGAAGAAACTAGAAGGTAGTTGCAAACATTGCAAGCTAATGAATCATGACCACATGATTGGAAGTAGAAGCAACACAAGCGATGAGGAAATTAAATGTCTCGAATTCTCACAACCTATTGTCAAACACTGAGTGTCACGGCTAATCCAATGGTCAGTTTATGAAGAGAGCATTTCCTCCACACACCATTTATCAACTTCCGTCATGATTTCAACATCAACAACCTGTTGATCTTCTAATTTATGCAAAATCTCATTCTCTTTCATGACGAGCAAACCTCTCAGACAATACCCATGCAAGTATTCATCACTATAGGATCACGGCTTCAACACCATAACGACACCCCTTACCATATTCATACCATAGTCGACCTTATTCCAAGCTCCACTTAATGGACGTGGCAAGGCCCTAGACACCAATATACAGTTTACCGGCGAGCTGTGGCCACCAAACCATGGGTTGGCTAATGAATACTGACCTGACGATATATAAGGCATTCTGTTGAGCCGTTATGACGAAGGGAGAGAAGAGGGAGGCGTGTAAGGTAGGAGTGTGAGGAAGGACTGTGGGACGACAGGGCGGCCGACCTGCCACCAACACCACGTCATGTTTACACCCGCGGGAGCTGCCGCTGTCCTACCCACCTCCCGCTCTCCACTAATCATTTTACAGCTTTTATCCCTCCTGAGTTTTGATTGGTCAATCTGTCAGAAATTGTATGTTTTCGAAATATAATATTGAGAATTTACTTGTCATTGTTTCTTAAGGTATTTTTACGACGAATTATAGATGCATGTGTATATATATATATAATTATATTTATGTAAGGCAGAATAATATTAGGAAATAATATTGGATTTACAGTATTTTAAATTGTCATAAACATTTGTGATTTGGAGAAGCTTATTTGGGTATTGACGATTCTTTTGTGCTCTTAAGATGTAAGAGAGAATAAAATTGTTTCCTAACTATATATTTGATGTCTTGTTTTTGAAGAAGTGTAAGAGCGAGGGCGTGTGTAGAGTGAGGGCGGCATATGGGCGTGAGGTTCGCGAGAGTGGAGGTGTTGCGCGCGGCGGCAGTGGTGCCAGATTGGGCTAAGAGTAGTGAGTTGGGCTACTTTGAAGAGTTCGGCGCTCCTAAATTATTAATCTCGCTATTTGCGAATTTTTGGGCTAATTTAAAAATAAGTTGGTCTAATTTGGGCTACTAGTGTTAAGAAAGCCAATGACTTATTATTTATGTATTTATAATGTAATGTGTGTGTAGCTCAAGCTGATTAAATATAAGTTCTATATAATATAAGTTCTATATAATATAATTCTATCTAATATAATATAAGATTAAATATAATTATCATGCCCGAAACGCTTTGCGTAATAGTGGCTTTAGGCATTGTATGTACTAGCTCTACCTATAAGTCAACCAATCTTTGTAAAAATTTATTGTATGTATGTACCTTACCTAAATAAACATTTTATTTTTTATTTTTTATTTAAGTCATTGATTAAATATGTCTGCAATTTACAAGAATGAGGTTGTGGATGCAAATACAAGTGTTTTACACTCCCATCAGCAAAACGAGCAAGGAAAACCTAACACTCCTAGAAGCAACAACACTTGAAACCATTGATTCCTTTATAAATAACTTACGGCCTCACGAGCAATATGCTTATGCTGATGGGTCTTCAAATGTCAACAGGTCATACTGCAGAAGCCTGTAGAATATACAAAGACAACATAGACAAGATATTAAGTCACTGCACATTCTCTCATGTGTATTATACATATATAAAACGCTAAACTATAATGCCAATCCTGATCTTAAAAGCTTCATAGAAGGTTGTAACAGAACCCATGAGCACCACACCAGAAATAAATACAGTTTTGATATTCCTAGAGTACGTCTTAATCAAACTAGAAATGCTCTGCAAATCAAGGGGCCCAGAATGTGGAATGACCTTCCCAACCATGTTAAAGACTGTCCCTCTCTCAACCAGTTTAAGATAAAAACTAAACACTACCTAATAAATTCCCTGTAATCTACCTCACTCCTCTATTGTCAACCCATGTCTGTTATTTTCTTTTTTTTTTCTTTTTTGTAATCAACACTGTTTGTCAACCTATTGTATTTGTGCTGCTTTTTCAGTCATGTTCCCCCTTTTTTTTTTTATCTTTATTTGTATTTGTTCTCAACATCTTTTATTCTTTATGCTCAATTAGTATTAAGTTCTAGATATTAATGTTTTTCTTGCCCGAAACGCATTGCGTAATAGTGGCTTTAGGCATTGTATGTACTAGCTCTATCTATATATCAATCCATTAATGTAACATCACTTATATGTATATACCTTACCTGAATAAACATCTGAATCTGAATCTGAATCATCTGAATATGTACACAGATCACAAATGTGAGACCCAATAACTGGCTTAGCTCCACACATGCAGAATTAGCTGTACTACAACTTTCCACTAACACACTGAAGAACAGTGCAGGAGTAATTTTCTGTGTTTCAAAGTCAGCTCTTCAGGCCCTTAAAACCCCGACATACAAAATAGATACTAGGAATGTTGTAACATCCATTATAAACAATATTATTAATGCAAAGAGCAAGAGTTTCAGTCTCATTTGTATGGATACCATCTTACATAGGTGTTGTCCAGGGCAGCTAAAACTGCATGTGATAAGCCTGAAATTGAGTTGATATGGGCATTCCAATCTCTGTTGCAAAAGCCGCAATATTTCAGAAAATTAGGGAAGACAGAGGAGCAGTTACTGACACTCAAAGGCCAGAAAGCGCGAATATAAAGAGCTGTGACATGTTTAGAACCAAGAATTATATGTACGGGCAGCATAAAACATCACTAAACAATGTGACATTGTAATTGCCAGAATTAGGCTGGGATATCGATAGTTATGACAGGTGGCTGGAGGTAATAAATCCCCCAATGGTGAACATTCCAATTGTAAACTATGTGAACAAGAGATAAGACATGCTCTCCAAGACTATATCTGCGATTGCCCTGTTAGCAGTGATTTCAGACCAAATGGTACGAGGTATTTTGAGCTCTGTAATTAATTCATACACCCAGGAATATTGGAAGATATTCTTGAGCTATACCCAAATTTTGATATTGGGGGCTAATAGATCAGACTTACATTTTATGTTCTTCGTCAGAGCTGATTTGTTTTTGTATTGAGGCTGGTATTTGCTCCTTTGACTCCATGTACGACTAGCCATCCTGTGAGATGGGAATAGTAGATGAACTTATAGCTAGTTTTTTTATCTACACTGTGTAATCTTTCATATAGAACAAAGTAGCAGCACATTGCTATGTATACCTAAGTTTGTTAATAAAAAAAAGACGAAGATCTTCTTGATAATTTTGTATTGTGAAGATGAGGAAGGATTCCACACATTAGGCAGCAAATAATGAACCTTTTTTATTATACATGCAGTGATAATATTAATATAATCATTAAATCAGGTAGTGCTTATCTACGAATTAAAATATATTATTCTGAAAAGCGTATGAGTCGCTCAACAAAATATTGGGCTACTTTAATTCCAAATATGCTACTTTTAGACGGCAAGTTCGCTACTTTCAGCCATTGGGCTCTGGCAACGGTGGCGGCGGCGGCTGAGTCGTCTGCAGCGCCGCGTGAGGGTCGTCACACCGCCTCGCTCCTCCTCACCTTGCCCCCCCAAGCTCACCACCACCTCACATGGGTAATGTTCAGGCTTCTGGGCCGGGGATGCCGGCACCACCCACGCCGCCCCATCCACCGCCGCCCACCCTCGCCGCCCCGACGCCCGAGGACAAGAAGGCTGAGGATGGAGAGGGTGCGAGCGATAACCCAGGCACTATGGAAGACCTACACAAGAAATGTAAAGGTGAGAGCATGTGCCGTCATCGGCAGCTCTCGTCTATTGTTGTTCTTGGTTACTCTCAAGACAATATACAAGTCGTAGTTGGAGAGAGAAGAAAGTATGATGAGTCCGGCTTGACTGTGAACCCTTATAACGTAGATTATTTTATAATTTACTACCTTCGTGTTGTCGGGGACAGGAAGCCGTCAGTGTATGTGGATTGCATCTTGGGGATGTGAGTGTGTTAGAGAGATGGTACCTGGGATATGTAGAAGATGTAATAAAGGAAAAAGGTTTGGAGTCTACATTACATAACTGACGGCTGGGAAGGCAGCGCCCTAGAGCTATCAGCTCGACCTTTGAGGCACAAATGGTGAATGCAACAATTGCTTAACTCTGGGTATCTATTTACTGCTATGGGAATAAAACATTAGGAGAGGATATGTGCCCAACCATTTCTGTCCTATCTTGGAATCTAACCTGGGGTCCTCAATTGTGAATAAAGAATTTGCATTTTGTACACAGTAGAGCGTGCATAATGTCTGTTAAAAATGATTATCACAATATTACTGAATCAATATTCATTTTATATATACACTACACTGTCACATTATATATATACACTATACTACAAAATACTTCATGAGTGAATGATAATCATCGAAGCAGTCAATGGTGCATATGGCAACTTTGCGTTCTGTGCACTAGGTACATACAGGTACTGATTTTTTTACTGATTCTGTCTTGTGTGTGTGTGCTTGCAGACAGTGCATGCACGTATACATTTTGCAAGTCTTACTGTATCTAGTGTGTAACCAAGTTTGTGTATTGCAAAGTCATCAAACTTTTGCCACCCAGTCTCAAAAAAAAAAAAGACTATATACCGGCATTGTTGGTGTGAAAACTTTCATCACAACCTTCCCTTCCTGGCCAGATTTGACAAGTAACTGTGATAGCAGCAAGGCTAAAATTAGCAATTGGTGGTTTCTTACCCGATTTCACCAAGTATATGTTGAAACGGTTCAGTACAGTTATGTCTGCGAGGTGAAAAACTTTCCTGGTCCAATTTACAGTTTTCTGCACATTCTACAGTACCCACCATTATGTCACATTTATCAACCAATCTCATATTTATATTGTAGTCATAACACAATTTGGTTTTTATAATTTTGTTCTTGTTTGCAATAACTGCATGTACGTACTGTATATTCATCATATCCAAAGTACCAAACTCATTCTTGCTTCTTATCATAAAGTCAAGAATGCCTTCAAAATATTTCTGAACTTTTTCCATTTTACCTTTCATACTTTTCCACTTCCTCGTCCTGATTTTGGTTCTCTGGCTTATTGTCTGTAACTAAACCTATAATTTCATCATCAGTCATGTTTTGTAAGGTTGGGGCACCAAGCAAAGTACCTACAGTGCTGTAGTATCAAACTAAGTTTGATGGAATACAAATTTTGTTCATTGCCATTACATGTGCAAAATATATAGAATGTGAATTCTCACCTCCAATATTAAGTCTTTAACACGGATCTTTTTCATGATGGCATTCACACTAGTTGCTTAACTTGCATGTATCTGCTGTTTGGCAAATAGAGACTTCAGCATTAAGGAAACTGTCATGCCCTGCCACTGAACCAAACTGGTACTTTTGGTTGAAAGACATGTAATCTTAACTTTGATCTACAGGTATGTGTTGACTCTGTACTACATTTTCAAAAAATTTATTATTCTTGTAGATCGAGGGCTGCCTATACCATTTGGTAGCTGTATATTTTGACACTATTTTTCTGCAAATGCTTGTGAGACATCAAAGTCTTTTTAATTTTACTTTTCTTTGCAGATGTATTCCCAGTAATGTTTGAGGGGGGAAAATTTATGCTTAATAAAGGACTGAGCAACCACTTTCAAGTTTCACATACTATAAATTTCTCCACCTTACAGCCACCTGGCTACAGGTAAAGTATTTTTTGTTCCTTCATGAATATCTGAACTGTTTGTAGATATGATCAAATTGATTAGAGCTGTACTGTGCATTTTGATTTTAATTTTGAAACACTTGCAAGTTGCAAGTGACAAGTGTTATACTTTGATGACACACTATTTCAGTACTTGATAACATTTAGTGATTTACAGCATAACAATATTAAAAATTATACAAGCTTTTAAAAAATTACAATACAGCTGAATTTTGAACTTCTTAACTGGCTGTTGACATGTCCTTGTGAACCTCATGACTTGAAAGATTATCACAAGACTGGAGTTAACTAACACTTGCAATGTAAAATTTTTTTTCTAACTGACAGTTGCAATATAAATTATTTTCATATTTAAGGCTGCTTAATTTTTTTGCCCTATGATTCTTCATTTGGTAAAACTTTATATAATGATTGTTATGCATTACTATTATGTTTTGTTTAGAAGTAAAGTTTAAATTGTAAATTAAACAATTTTTTTAGGTTTGGTGCAACGTTTGTGGGTACTCAGCAGCTGTCTCCATCAGAAGCATATCCAGTTATGTTAGGGGACATAGATCCCTCTGGTAATCTCAATGCTAATATCATACATCAAGTATCATCAAATATTAGAGGAAAATTTGTAGCACAAGTAAGTATCTTATTCCCTTGTGATCATTTTGAGGTTGTGTAGGTGAAAGAAAACCTTGGCTTCGTTTACAAGGAATCCCCAGAAATATCATTATTATTATTGATATTTTTTATTCTCTGTTTTACTTAATGTCTGATTAATATCTGTATGAGCTTGAGTTTTTTAATATTTAGGTGATGAGAAACAGGTTTTCTTTTGTTTTGGAATATAGTCCCTAGTTGGCAAAATACAAATTAATTTTAAAACAATCTCTGGGGTTGTGGGCATAGTTATCTGAAAAAAGAATAAGCATAGTTGTATAAAAACCCTGACACGTGTTCTGATGTGATTAATTTTGGTAGTCTAATTTGCAATTACTATTCAAGGCAGTTTTATATTTGAGGAAATTTGTTTTATGTAGGCCTATGTTACAAGTACAGTAAGCCTATACGTGTATGTTCAGACTTTGAATGTTGTTTCGGTACTGGCTATTCTGGCTGGCAGAATGCCAATTACAATAAATAAAAAAAAGTAAAACAAAGTAAATAAAACTACTTCTGACCTCTTTATGGTGTGAGAGCTGTGGGATAAATTCTAAAAGAATGAAAAACTTAAACATTTAATATAACAAAAATGATTAACAACAAATTAAACAATTCCCTTATGATACTTGGTGAGAACACAAAATACAATGGAAAAGAAATATAAATGTGTGACAGTTACGTTAATGGGAAAATTAAAGGTGCAAAACAGTGTACTTTATACAAGAGCTGCTCGAGTCTACCGACACCCCAGGAAAGCCTGAATATGATTTTTATTTCCACAAGGTTATATTGTGAAGAAGCATAAGGTCGTTTCATGATGCCTATGTGCTGGAAACAATGGCCAGGTGCGCTCTCTCTCTGTCCCATGCTGTGACTACAGGGGTACAAAACAATCGAATCTGCCCATAGTAGGAAAACAGCATGTCAAGGATTTGGGACTAATGATGCCCGACAATCTAACGTTTAGGCAGCATAACCAAGCAAATATTGCATCAGCCAGAAAAATGATAGGATGGATTATGAGAACCTTCAAATCCAGGGATCCCATCACAATGGTTGTACTTTTCAAATTACTTGTGCTGTCCCGTCTTGAGTACTGCTCGGTACTCGCTTCCCCCTCCAGAGCAGGAGAGATTGCTGAAATAGAGGGAATACAGAGAACATATACTACACGCATAGACGCGATAAACCACCTAAATTATTGAGATCGTCTCAAGGCTCTCCAAATGTACTCGCTAGAAAGGAGACGAGAGAGATACCAAATAATATACATGTGGAAAATACTGGAGGGCTAGGTCCCAAATCTATTCAGTAAAATAACAAAGTACTGGAGTGAACGATATGGAAGAAAATGCAAAATAGAACCAGTGAAGAGCAGAGGTGCCATAGTCACAATCAGGTGCACAGTCAGAGAACACTGTATAAACATCAGAGGTCCGTGGTTGTTCAACGTCCTCCCAGCGAATACTGTATAAGAAATATAGCCGGAACAACCGTGGACATCAAGAGAAAACTAGATTTTTTTAAAAACAAGTGCTGGACCAACCGGTCTGTGTGGTGGGTATGTGGGCCTGCGGGCTGCTCCAAGCAACAGCCTGGTGGACTAAGCTCTCACAAGTCAAGCCTGGCCTTGGGCCGTGCTTGGGGAGTAGAACAACTCTCAGAACCCCATCAAGCAGGTAGCATTGTGTTCACTGATATCTGAACATTGTACGTGGTCTTTATCACAGTCATGATCATCTATGACACTAGCAGTGCAAAATAATTGCAGTTACTTATTTTATTCAACATTACTAAGTGGTGCTGTGAGATGCTGTTGCATGTGCTAGCCTTTGTCGCTGTCTCAGTACCGAGGCTTTTTCAGCCAATATGGCTGCTGACAAATTTTTCCAATGTGGGTTTTGTTTACTGGAGTCCTGAGGTAGAAGATGAGCCCCATTGGAGTCTTGAATCATTCCCTATACCTAAAGGCCCCTTAAGGTGCTATGTGCAGTGCAGTGGTTAAACAATTAAGAAATTTTATTTAATTTTAACTCTTACAGCAGTTATCATCAATTGTTGATTCACTGGGTAATGTGGTTATCATATGAAGATAAATTGTCTGGGTTTTACATGTATGATGCAAATATGGGTAGAATAGGTCTATGTGGATGTAATAGTTTACCTTGACCCATGAAAAAATTCTGCTATTTCATGGTACAAATGTGGTTATTGTCATGAATGTTACTAGGGTAATGCAGTTATCATATTATAAATAATTATTATCTGGGTTTTACATATGTGATACAAATATGGATATAAAAGCTCTGATAATGTAAATAAAGAAAAAAGTTATAAAACAATGGAAGGATAAAACATGAGGCGTCAACAGGGTCAGGCACAAGGCGTTGACAGGTGCCAGACACAGCCTTGCAGAGCGCCTCCACCCAGTGAAATGATATATATTCACTTTTCATGTTTTCCTTACTGCACACAAGTAAATAATTCTATAACGAAAAATTATTTGTTGGATTTTTTTTTATATATATTGATGGGTATGACCATTTCTATGTAGTCTAAGAGTTAAAGTAATATTTCTATAAAGGAACCCAAATGAATAATGAATCTTATTAGTTTTGTTTGCATTAGTTTTGACAATTTTTAACTTTTGAGCTACTTAAGTCTGAAGTAATTTATTGTGTTGAGTAACAAAACACACTTGTATGCATTCTGTAGATTTGTATGCATCCTATATCGCATAATTGGGAGAGCCGTTTTGCGTTGTTGAAGGCAATACGGAAGAGGTCTTGGTTTTTTATATAGATGTTGTTGCAATTGTTCACTATGAAATTTGAAAGTGTAGGTTAACTAACCATAGGTTAAATATGATTTTTTTTTTTTCAGATCCAGCAAAGTAAATGGCAAGCAACACAAGTAACAATGGATTGGCGTGGTGCAGACTGTACAGCCTCTTTGACGTTAGGCAATATTGACTTGATTAATGGGTCAGGTGTGGCTGTCACTCACTACTTACAGCAGGTCACCAAAAAACTGGCCTTAGGAACAGAACTAGCATATCAATTTGGGGCACAGGTTCCTGGGGGCCATATTGCAGTACACTCCATTGCTGGCAGATATACTGGTGAGTAATAGAGTATGTTGTGTGTTTACATAATTGTTTGATGTGCTGCGGCTACTCGCTCCTTTTGTCCTGTTTTACTCTTTCCACTGTTCTCCACTCATGCACCTAATGAAATCATGAAGAAATACTGTATTCAAGATAATCAAAGGCAGGTAGTCATTCAAGAGTTAAAGTACAAGGTAAGCATTAGCTCTTGAGTAAAATAATCAATCAAAGCATAGATTGCAAATATCCTTAAATTTTTAAATAAAACAATGGAGATAAATAAAAATTTTAATGGTTAGGTATTGAGTATTTATCAAGGAATGAGATATGGTTGGAAAATGTATGGCAGTCAGAAAAGGTATTCTGGTAGAATGATATACTTTTAACAATTCAAATTGCAATGGTCTATTCATAAGTACTGTATTTGTACATTTATAGTTCTGTTAGTTTGTAGGTATTTACAGTAAATGATTTGCCTAAAATCATAATAGCATAACATGTAATATCTATAATTATATACCGGTATACTCAAGATTTAGAAGCTACATTTATCAGTTTTAAAAATCATTACAGTTGTCAGATTTGAGTCTGAAAATCTTTGCAATAACTTACACAAATCCTTACAATAATGGCTGAAATAAACACCCATACATCATTTTAAATAAGTGTGCATTTGTATGTACATTAAATAAGTGTACATGCAAAGTGACATGTGCTCCTTACAGTATTAGCCAGATTATTCACTTGGTCAAGCCAAATTTACACATTTTGGAAGACTAATTCAGTGTACATTAAAGTCCAGCTCAGCACCTTACTATATACAGTATTTTGAAGCTTTAAATATTCCTGAACCATATGGAGAATGCAGATTATAGTTTTATAGTGTTGTGAACTATATTGTTGGCAGTATTATTTGTGCATTACTAATAGTAAAATATTACTTCCAACAGGTGACAACTTTACTGCCTCTGGGACACTTGGTGGGGCGGGCATTCATCTATGTTACTACCAAAAAGCAACAGAACAGTTACAGTTTGGAGTAGAGTTGGAAACAAGTTTACGAATGCAGGAGTCGGTTGCTTCTATGGCATATCAGTTGGAAATTCCTAAAGCTAATACTGTATTTAGAGGTAAACATTTATATTTTTTAGAATATTTAGAAATTCGATAACAAATTTGTAAATTTTACTTAACATAAGGAAACATTTCAGTAGCATGGGGTAAAGGTGTAATTGGAGGAAGAGAGGATAGGGTGGTGGATCACTTACTGATTCCTTTTGTGACTTGGTGTGAGTTTTGGTGGCCTGTAACTGCAAGAATTGACAGTTAGGTGGTGTGCATTTTAGTAGATTCTTAGTACTAATGCATGTATTGTTGTTCATATTTTTTGGAATTTTTATATATGGTCTATGAAGTGACAAGAGATCATTGTCTAAGTATTAAGTGGTGACGATGTATAGGATAGTGTTATTTTCAATTTTCTTTTAAAACTACCTACATTGCTCTTGTATGTTCACAAAAAAATGTAGTCACTTTGATTTAACTGTGTGGATATAACTTTAATATAGTTCTGTAATTGCTTTTGTTAGCAATAATGAGATCTTTGTGCATTTTTTCTTGTATTTTGACATGTGCTTAACACTTTTACAGGAACTCTTGATTCCAACTGGACTGTTGGGGCCGTAATGGAGAAAAAGCTGATGCCACTTCCCTTCACACTGGCTTTGTCGGCAATGCTCAACCACCCTAAGAATCAGTTTAAACTTGGATGTGGCTTTATAATAGGCTAATGTAAGAAAAATGTGTTGTATAGAATCCTGATTGACATGGTCATTCATCCACAATGCTTTCCTGCGTTATTGAGCAAGTTGAGGTCTCCTGGCAGGATTCATGAAGTGATGAGTACCATTCATAAATATTGTATAGAGGAATTTGAATGTACATAGAAATATGGAAGCCCATTGCCATAATTTTCCTGTGCATTGCTGGGGAGTTTTACCGTGACCAAGTACCATGTACTTATTAGAATAATACACTAGTACAGTATGAACCATTTAATTTCAAGGACAATAGTTTCCCCTACTGCAGAATAGTGCGGGTTGGATTTAATATTCCCCTTGTTCATCCTGTATTATTCGTGGCAGTATTATTGTGCCCGAACAGGATAATAATGACTTGGAAAGTCTGTTGCCATTCCTTTTGAACAAAACTAATTTTTTTATTGTGTTCAAAGTCCTGTTAAATAGCTAACTTTTTCTTTTAATTAATAAATATAGGTAATGCTTTAATATCAACAGCATTTGTGTACCATTTCATAGAAAGACAGTAGATGTGGTAGTCATGCTTTCACATTTATTTATTTTTATTATATCTTTGAGCATGTATACAGTAGCTTGTGTACGTAGAAGTTGATTTGCCACATAGGTTACTGCAGCCGATTTATTATCTTGTGTAAATTTCACGCCTAGGAATTGTACAGTTAAAAAAAAATTTGTTTCGTGGATATCAGTTTAATAATAATACTGCAAATGAAGTTAATTCTGGTGCTTCTTTATGGAATGTGGGAGAGTTGAGCCATTTCTCAAATTATCAGGTGCCTAACATAGTTACTTGTAGGTTGTTTGATTTAAGTTTGTTGCTGTTCTAAAGTCTATAAAAGCAAATCTAATACTGTCATTAACGTCATGCCTCGGACAAGTTTGTCTTGTAGAACTTGATATGAATGTAAACAATCATTAATTATGACTACAATAGTTTTATAACTAGTTTTATTTAATTTTTTTTTTTACAATTGCATGTGCATTGTAGTTCATCGTAACAAAACTCATTTCTGATTGTTTTCTTTAACATTGTTTAATATAATTTAAATCCCTTTTATTGTTATGCTTTTCGGATTTGTTTAATATTTTAATAATGAAGGCCTTTATACTTTTAAGTACTTTAATTCTATTATAATTTTGATAAAGGCTTTGTAGGCTTGCTCCCATGTGCTGCTACATTGTACTGGTCTATATTATGGCTACATTAAGTAGAGAATATATAATGCTATGTTATACACAAATGATTTTGCATTACCTCCCAATGTAGATAGCCATGCATATAAAGAACTGATTGTTGGAATTGTTTTGATAATTGTTACCATGTACAAAACAGATGGTTCTTTTAACAGTTTAGTATTTTATTTATTCCCATAAATCATAAGTGCTTGCTCGATGTGCAAAATAGGCTTGGAGAGTAGGTAGTTTACTAGTGATGGACTTAATTGATTACTTGTTTGGAGACCCATATACAAGTTTGTAATCAGTTTTAAACAAAATTGAAAAGGAACTGGGCAATAAGAAATAGCTTTGTCTTGTGCGTGTCCCCCACCCCCCTCTAGTTTTGCATTGTGATGGGTGGGGAGTTGCCTTGGCCCCCTCTGCTTGTACGTGCAAAATGAAATGCATAGGGATCCTGTTCGGGTCAATGGAGTGCTGCTGGAGGGGTTGCCCATGAGGCAAGGAGACATAAGAGAATGTATGATGCAGTAGGAACCATGTTAAATAGGGGACACCAAGTGGGATGCACCTTGTTCTATACTGGCAAGAGTTTGGCTGCCTTTTGCTGCCCTGGTAGCTGGTATCCCATGGCTCTGGGTACAAAACTTTTGAAAACAATGTATGGTAAACAAAACTACTTCCCAAACATAGGCTTGGCCACCGAGTCTGACAGTGATGAAAGATCGGGCTCATTTAACGCTAACCAGGCTTCAAATTGTTGGTTGTGGTACTAAACATTGCAAATAGTCATTTTTGGAATTCTTTAAGAATTCTTATGTGGTGAGGGTTCCTTTCCATAGTACCGTCTAAGCTCTCATATCTGGATGTGTGTCTCCTCCATTATGGTTGATGCCCCTCCCTAAGATCTGAAAATCTAAGATTTCTGGTAAATTTGTTTGAAATTTTGCTGACCACACCTATCTTTCACCTGCCTTCGGAGACTAGCATCTTCACGGCAGAACTTTATGCTATTCTCTATGCTCTTTGTCTCCTGCTTTCTCCCCGTCAATCCTCCTTTGTGGTTGTAGTTGACTTGCAGCACCCTCATGGCTCTGGAGTCCTTTAATCCAGTCCATCCAGTGGTCGTCGAGATTCAACATTGGCTGTTTATCTCCAGTAGATTTAAGACGGTTGAGTTTTGCTGGGTTCCCAGCCATATTGGTGTGTGTAAATGAGCGTGCGGTTGCTGCCACTAAGGAAGCTATCTGCACTTGTCCCATCTCCCATAAAGGTATTCCTTATTCTAACTTTTACCCAGTTATTCATTCCTCTATCCTTGCTCGTTGTTGTTGGTCTTCTGTCACTGGTATCAAACTGCATATTCTTAAGGGTAGCGTGTCCCTGTGACCTTCCTCCTACCACTGTAACCAGCAATGGGAAATGGCTCTGGCGAGGCTGTGTATTGACCATATGCGCTTAACTCACGGACACTTAATGGAACACCGCCCTGCTCCTTATTGTCCCTCTTACAGTTGTACATATCCTAGTTGAATGTCCTGACTTCCAGGATGAGCATGTCTTGCTTTCCAACTGTCCCCCGTGGTCACTTTTCCCTCGATAGAATTCTTGAATCTGAAACTTTTTATCGTTCGCCTTATGTGTTTGTTCACTTATTAGCATCCTCAGTGATATTTAGCGCCCTCTGATTATTCCGCACATTTGATGGTGCTACATAGCCTTCCCGGGTTGGTGCCTTCTTTGATAATTACTTACTTGCCAGTCCATCTACTTTTGTCGTGGTAAATTCGGTGTTGGTCTTGAATGAAAAGGTTCACACTTTTCAGCCGTTTGGGTTCTCGTTTCCCCTCCTAATTTCCTTACTAGTAAACCCCTTATTGAATCTCATCCCTTGGACTTTTGCACTTGCCTTGAACTCTCCTATAACAATCATTTCTATTGGAAGAGGGGGTGGGGATGCAGTTATATGGGCAACCTCGGGTATCAAGGACAGGTATACACAGGTAACCATTGAAGGGTTTTATGCCCAGGGACATAAGGATACCAGGCAAGCTAGACATATGAGCTGGCTGATTAATTCAGGCAGGCCACACTGAACCTTACATTTTACCATTATTCCCCCATCAAAAAAGTGTTACCCCAGGGGCTGCAAACACATGGGGGATAATTCAATTATGCACTGTCATAACAGGTAGGAGCTGGTAGCAGAAGCCATATACACCTGTCCAAGAGATGCACAAGAGCCCCTCACCACATTAAAGCAACAACCTTTTGAGTGGAATTTGGAATAATGGGGGTGTTATCAAATTATGCTACTGGACTTTATTAAGACCTTTTTAATATGGTATAAATATTTTTACTTGGCTATAGGCAACAGTTATAAAATATAAAAACAAAATTGCCATATTATAATTTTAAGTTAAAATTATTTTTTTTCTTTGACACTGGTAAAGGCTCTGAGAAACTTGTGCAGCAGGAGTGTTTAATGAAAATAAGCTCATCAAAGTACTTACTTGAATACAGTACTGTATCTGTATTCACAAATTACATAAGCCATACTGGCTCAGTACTTTTTAAGAATCAATACGTGTGGGTTGAATGATCAACATTAGCTGTCAATCACAGATTAACATAAGTTTAAATTGTTAACCTAAAGAGATATTGTAACTAGTAGAGAAGATTACTGTATTCAAAACTACACAAAATATATTTATTTTCATAGGGTACTTGAAGCATTTCTACAGTGTATAAGTAAACAAAATGTTCCCTCAAATATATAATAGCGAATGAAGGAATAAATGTGATGAATTAAAAGTGTCGGCTCCATACCACATGAAATTAAAGCAAATTTATTACTATAGCCTTTATTAATATAACACTACAAAGAATGAAAATCTAACTTTTCTTTCATATAAAAATAAATATTGTCCATTACAAGCTTCTTGGACATAGGCACATTTGGCCATCCTGGAGAGGAAGTCTCACTCCTCAAGAGGTTTAAACACTGAGCGGTAAGACGCTTGTAGTGGACTTTACTCTTCTGATTCTGCTGAGAGCTATGTACAGAATACAGTGTCTGGTAGAGTCGAGTCTTTATTTGCAAGAGGCTTACATCCCACCTGGTATCAGTGATACCACTCACCCAAGACAATGCCTGTTCTATCCTGCAAATCAAAAGGAAATTTTTAATTGGTTGATAAAAAATTGTAGCAATCACAGTAGGATATTGTTGCTATAGTATATCTCAGATGAAAAAATATTATGAACTGAATGTGGTAAATGTAAACACCTTTCTGGTAGAGCCCTGGAGGCTCTCCATACCTATCTTGCTGAGATTGAGCTAATCTACCAGTCACATCAATTGCAGAGCTCATTTGGTCTACCAGGGACCAGAGCCAAAACCTGGCTACTGCACATTAGGTGCAGGAAGCCAATGACATCCTGCCATTTCACAGGAAAAGCATCCAGAAAGTCAGCAAAGCTTTACAAACATCTGCTGGGTTCACAACTCAAAAATCACTAAAATGCCAAATACCTCCCCAAACAATAAAAAACTAACACAAAACTAGCTAGAACTGATAGTACCAAATGCTGCCACTAGGTCCAGTACCAGCTATCAGATCAGTTCAGGAGCAGATAAACACTGCAACAAACCAACTATCATGGAAGGGAGGGAGACCAGGCACCACTAGAGCTCTACCAGAAAGATTCATTTTATTACATTCAACTCTGGATTTTTGGTGTAGCCCCTTGGTGGCTCCCTGTAGCTACTGCTAAATAACCACAAAGAAATACTACAGGAACTTACCAGAGAGGCAGCAAGCACAAAGTCAAAATATGGACCAATGGCTGGGAAATGGCCCAGCTGATCTCTGGCTAGCCGACATGCAGACCGGCTGAGAGTCCAAACCAGCCAGTCACTGACATAGGTCAAAGCTCAAACCCCTGAGACGTAGTCTCAACGACTCATGTTAACTTGATGAAAATACGAAGAACTAGATTCAAGCTGAAGGCCAGAATCTGAAAGCAGTAAGCATGATGTCCCACCACAAAATCTAACCAGAACTATTGTTGAGAACTATTTTCTTCTCCAACCATCCCAAATAAGGACAAAATAAAATAAACAAGTAATTATTTATTAAGCATTACTGACTTACTTTATGCATTCCTTAAGAGCATCTGTGTTTTCTCCTATCTTGGAAAGAGCTTCAACTCTGACTAGACACCCAGCAGCTGTTGTGATGTATGAAATTTTTACATCATTTGGGCTCTTGTAGAAATTGGAATCTCCAAGGTCAGCTTTGAGAACAAATAAAAAGCTATGAAACTACATTATAATTCTAATCTATATTTAACAACAGTTAAATTTCATATAACAACAGTATACATTTTTTATCAAGAAAACCTATATTTTTTAAATTTAATTGTTGCTAGGCATTAATATTCTGCTTTACAGCTACTGTACATACTTAACTCTCCAAACATGGGTAAGATTCTTAAGGCATTTTCACATTCATTGCAGGTCATATGTGCAACAGCAGCTAGGATCAATATGCACTCATAAGCTGGCAATTCAGGTATATCATCTTCTGGCCTCAATAATGTCCTAGAACATGCAGCAGATATCCTAGGTAGGGCCTCTAGCTTTTCCAAAAGTGTGTTAAACTTATCCCTGGCATCGGTGTACATCTGAAAACATAGATAACTTCATAAAAACACAGTATTATTGTTGGCTTAAAACACAATAAACGTGCAAAAAGTAAGGTTATTGCTCTGCCTGAGAGACACACACATAGTATGTAAAATGTGAAAACGCCTAGTCAGATCATGAATCCAAGTAGAATAGGTCAATTCTGTGGTTCTGCATCTTATTTATACAGTACAATATTTCATCTTGGTGGAGTGGTAGCAAGTGGATCAAAGTCATCTTAAACCAAAGATCAAGTCCTGTAAAACCTGATAGTAAAGTACAGTACAGTTGAAAGGAGTTGAAACTGAAGTTCAACTCCTTTTACCATGTCGTAGCTCAGTCGATTAAGGCAGCGTCTGGGATGATCTCGGACACAGGTTCGAATCCTCGTCATGGCCCTTGTGGATTTGTTCATTTGATACATCACGCAAATGTGATTTGTGTGTACAGTACAGTATTGTATTCTTGAGTAATTTCAGTTCTTTTGTAATCTGGAAAAATTCAAGCTTTCTGCTGTTTTTTGAGACACCACATGGTAGACAACTGTTGCCCTATGATCAAGTCTGTTTCCAGTTTTGACAGAAAAGCACAACAAATTAAAAAATGTCTAACTTCACCTTTAACTGGAAACACCTGCTGGCCAGCAAGAAGAGTGCTCGAAGATGAAGGTCTGCTGGCGGTGTGTGGTGCAGAGCCAAAATGGAAGACTGTAGATTCACTGCAGAACACATGCTCTTCACTTCCCTGCTCTGAAACATGAACAATTGTGAGTAAAAAAAATGTACTGTTTATAAGCTTTTAGAAACTGTAGTGATCAAGTAAATTCTAGTATTAAAGCAAAGTACTACTGTACCTATTTAATGCTGGCACATCCATTGTTTTACTTTTATCTAACAGACATTCAACTAAAACATCTTTTAATTCATTGCGTTACAATTTCTGATTCTTGCAATAAATTCAAGATACTGTAATTAAGTGAATGTGGCAGAAGCAAATTCTTTGTATGTAGTACTGCACATATTTTCTGCAAGTTACTCAAACATGCAGTAGTTAATGGTTTGTTGACCAAACCACACACTAGTGAAGGGACGACAACGTTTCAGTCCATCCTGGACCATTCTCTTCGATTTTGTTAATGGTTTGTTAAACATTACACAAAAAAAATTTTGTTTATTTTTTATTGGCAGTGTTCAAAATGCCATGCACTGGCAGCGTTCAAAATATAATAAAGCCAGCACAACCGAGTCTTGTATGCTGCAGCCTGAGTTTGTTACCAAGCACAGTGTGATGTGTTGCCACTTCACTGATTGGAGTTTGTCTGTAGCAGCATAGTAAGCAGTCAGTCATTTGATTAAAATAGTGATGTCAACATTTGCTTGCTTTACTGTATCTGCTAGTTTATTGCAAGAAAAATGTTATAATGAATATAACCCTACTGTAAAGATGCTAATCTCACTGAAGACATGAAGGCACATCCTCATGGATGGTTGCAAATTCTATGCCTTTAGATGGTTTAACTACTGTACATCTGCAAACCATGCACCAAATTCATGTTTTTTGTGTGCAAGAAATTTTTCACATATTTGGGCATACAGCAGATGAGATTTTCCACAGCACACTATATACACACTTGGGAGCCAGTCGGCCGAGCGGACAGCACACTGGACTTGTGATCCTGTGGTCCCGGGCGCCGGCAAGAAACAATGGGCAGTTTCTTTCACCCTATGCCCCTGTTACCGTGCAGTAAAATAGGTACCTGGGTGTTAGTCAGCTGTCACGGGCTGCTTCCTGGGGGGTGGAGGCCTGGTCAAGGACCGGGCCGTGGGGACACTAAAGCCCCGAAATCATCTAAAGATAACCTCATTATAATGGTGTCACTTCAAATGTTCACTCCTTTTGAGTTGCACTTTACTGTCCATTCTAGATAATCTGAGTTGAATGGGGGATGGGCCCCATATAAGTTAACCAATTTTTTACTGTAACAAAAAGTTAAAATGCTTTACTTTTGTATAGTAACAAAAAAATTATAATTTCAATTTATTTGGTTCTTTGTACAGCAGAAATCTCAGCGATTCCAAATTTTTACTAGAGTCGAGTAATCAAAAACTCGAACTAGAATTTATTCAGGTTACCGAGCTCTTACTGTACAAGTGGAATATCAAAGGTCAGGCAGGGTCTAGTGAAGCACCAGTAGTGGAAGGACAAGTGTACAATGACTTCTGGAGGGGGCAAGACTTGTGGGCCACCCACCACACAAGCCTTGGAAGATGAGTTTAGGCATGCAATAACAATAAGGTGGTTACAAGAGGTCAGTAGAGTTGAGGTAGTGAGTTGTAGCTTAGAGCATTTCAGAGTGGTACAAGTGTTTTTATGTGGTGGATCTCAGCTTGCATACAAAAAAAATGCAAACAAGGCAAGAGATGTTAGGTTCAAGTTATCAGGTAACTGAGAAGAATTTGTAAAATCAATTATGTGTACAGTATATACATACTATACAGTATAATGATAAGAAAGGTAATCGGGGTACTATTTATGGAAGAAATTGAAGGTAGGGAGTCTAGGGTAAACTGTTGTACATGTACATGCAGAAAACTCTCAAAAGGAAGAACTTGCTATTTAAACTTTCTCGTCCAAGCTGACACACTTTTTCTTGTTTTTAAATGCCAAACAGTGCACACATTTGGAAAAAGCCATTTGACAAATCACCAGATACTATAATAAAAATATATACTGTACCTGTACTGCTCTACTCTGAGAGAGAGTTTATCAACATCAGAGGTCCGAGACTGTTCAACACGCTTCCACTACACATAAGGGGCATAACTGGCCGACCCCTCACAGTGTTCAAGAGAGAACTGGATAAGCACCTCCAAAGGATACCTGATCAACCAGGCTGTGACTCATACGTCAGGCTGCGAGCAGCCGCGTCCAACAGCCTGGTTGATTAGTCCGGCAACCAGGAGGCCTGATCAACGACCGGGCCGCAGGGACGCTAAGCCCCGGAAGCACCTCAAGGTAAGGTACTCTATATTTTTTCTATTGATGGGATAAAAGTGGTCAAAGTCTTATGCAACAAGACTGCACAACAAAGATCAATTATGATTTTCCAACACAGGATATCTGGCTGCCCCATCATGTGAAGTTTGGCAACTCCAGTGGTATAATATACCATAACCTGGTGCTTAAGTTGACAAGCCTGTCGACATTTTATCAAAACACCTTTCCATTTAATCATTCAATGTTTATTGAGCTATTATTTATATTTTTTTAGGACTATAGTAATCACATACACTTGCTGACATATGAAACTTAGAATTCACACCTCACAATACTATTATGTATCTCAATAAGCTTCCAGTAGTTTAAAACAGCGTAGATAATCATACAAAATGCCAAATTAAATCCTGAAAGCACAAGAGAAGCCGTAGTTTTTGTTGCAGATATAATTGACAATAGCAGTGTAGGGTTATTGAATACCTACTTTCCTAATATTCAGGGGGGAATGTAATAGATGTTCTACCAAAATCAGTCACTTCTGCTAGGAAAGTGGGAACTAAATGGTATAATTCTTGGCAGTTTTACGGAATACTTACTGCACTAATTTTGTCATCCATGGCTATTTAAACACCTCTATTGTTTAGATCTATACAAATTATCCTTTGGACCAAATTTATTATGCTAACAGCCTATTAGATAACGTAAAAACCAAAATATTCTACTTTTTACTTTCATAATGTATTTGTTACACTTGGCTAATACTGTATATTAATCAATAATACATTAAGGATATAATGCATATCTATAGATTATTATTAATTGGCACACATGCTCTTTGTTGAGCAAATTTGACAAATCTATAAAATCTAGATCAGATGTAATCTAGTCTAAGGTCTAGTACTACCAACACCCTTTTAGATACAGTATATTTACAATACAAAACAAAGCTCAAAATATTGGGACAAATTTAGTAGAGAAAAGAAACTATCAGTCAACAGTAAAACAACCAAGGTATCAATAAGCAACCTGTACAAATTTTCCAAAATATGCCTCCAACAAAACCATCACCTGTTTCTATATATAGAAAATGAGTCGTTTTCCGTGTTGTATACAAGCTAGATTTCGTGCAAATTTTCCGTCCTATAATGATTAATGGTAAATATGAATAAAGGAAAATTTGAAGTTTTGAATACCATTTCACATAGATGTGGTTCAGCATGACAACACAGACAAGGAGGCTAAAACTGCAGGTGATAAGCCTGAAATACAGTTGGACATGGGCATTCCAATCTGTTGTAAAAGCCACAATATTCAGGAAGACTAGAGTAGTTACTGACAAAGGCCAGCTATGACATGTTGAGAACCAAAAATTTTATGTACGGGCAGTATAAAACATCCACTAGACAGTGATATTGTAATTGCCAGAATTCGGCTTGCATACAAATATCTATGGCAGGTGGCTACAGGTAATTAATCCTTCAATGGTGAACATTCCAATTGTAAATTATGTGAACAAGAGCTAGGATGCACTCTCTATGTCTATATCTGTGATTGCCCTGGTATCAAGTGATTTCAGACCAAATGGTACTAGATACTTTGAGCTCTGTAATTACAGTACTTCACACACTCTGGAATATTAGAAGATATTCTTGTGCTGCATCTAGATTTTGCTAGTGGAGGTTAATAGATCAGTCTTACATTTCATGTTCTGATTCCATGTATGACGAGCTTGTAGCTGGTTTTTGATCTAGTGTAATTTTTCATATAGAATAAGGTAGCAGCACATTGCTGTATTCACCTAGTATGTGGATTGAGCTCTGCTCTTTTGGCCAGCCTCTCAACTGGCAATCAACTCTTACTAACCCCCCCCCACACCACACCCAAGAAAGCAGCCCGTGACAACTCCCAGGTAACTATTTACTGCTAGGTAACTGGAGCATTAGGGTGAAAAACTGTCCATTGTTTCTCTGTATAGGGCCGTGTATACCTAGCTTGTTAATAATATTTGAAATACAAAATTCCTTGGTAATAATTTATTGTATTTTATTCTAAAAATGATTACATAAATAAATACTGGTTGGATTAGTAACTCTTGGAGTATAATTTATTTTTATATACATGGCTCATTTTTAAATACTAATCCTCATGTGTGCCTTAATCTCCCAAACTATTCTTGCATTAAAAAATGGTTTATTGCAAGCTTGGTTATTGTGTAATTCAGATTATTCTTTATGCAATTATGTGCTGAATAAGTTACTAGTTAAATATTGTTGACGAGTATCAAAAAACTAAGGGTTCTGAAACACTCCTATTGGTTCTAAATTTTGGCCAAATCACTCAAGTGTACATACATCAACTTATCCATATTATGTACATTTTAATGGCACTAATCTGGTTGAAAATTAAGGCAACCTGTATGCTCTAAAACAACCTGCACATTGATTTAGAGTTAAATATTAATTTTCTGGTTAATAACAGCATCATTCACAGACAGGTAAAAATATTCAGTTTGCATTTTGTCTAAGATGAATGTGTCAACTTTCAATCTTCTGGTATAGCTATGTGCAATTCCATAGCTACTAAAATATCAAAATGTAATAGTTAGCTAGGAATTTATGGCCAGAATAGCACATACACCACTTTACGTATTCCACATTACAATCCCTCCATTTCAGGGATGAACATAGTTGGCCATTGATACAAGTGTTGAACAGCAAATGAATTAGAACCAGTGGGTAAATTGAATATGCTATAGTACTAAAAAAGTACACTTTTTGTATAGTAATTTTAATAGCATAACTACAACATGTTAGGATGTCGAGTTGACATTTAAACATTTCTATGGCATTTTGTTAATGCATTCATACCTTTTCAAGTAACTATTCAGTGTAGCAATAAAATTGCCACTAAAATATTAATCATCAGTAACACTCCTTCCAGGGGTCACTTTATGTGTATTAAACTTGAGAATTGGTGACAAGTCATTAAGGTTAAAGAAGGTCATGTGGTAGTTAATTTCTTTATTAAAGTTGAACTACAATTATGGAACACACATTGGATGAAAACCAAACCTCCCAGTAAGGTACTATCACTGTGATGGGAGGCACTTCAACCCTACCACAGTGGTAGTTCCTACCTCGGAAATTATGTATTGGATATTCTGCTACATCAATTTGTTGCATCACCAAGCAGATCTGGAGCTATAATTCTCTACTGATTACCAATTGCCAAATTTAATTACTCATGAACAAACTTTAATCTGAGATTCTAGATAAAATTTTGTATAGAAGTTACTTTGACAGCACAATAAAATATTACAAGTTTCATACCAAGTACTAAACTTCCAGGATTAATTACAGTATTAAAATAAACTTACCCATGAGGATATCCACGGTGCAAACACAGATGCAAACTGGATGAGTGTGAAATCTCTAGTCATGATTTAAAACTACATGCACCAGAGACACACCCATCTAGTCAACCCTGCACTTTACTCAGCCAAACACCTGAATTATAAAAATAAAATACTGTACTTACTGCAAACAACAAGGACAGTGTTTCAAGTTCAGCACTGTATAGATCCAATGTGTTGAAAACTTGAGCAATATTAAAGATGGCAGGGATGCATATTTCACTTTTATCAACAGCAGCTTGGAGTTTCAGTAATGCAGTATGAGGCTTCTCTAATTTTGAAAGTCCAAGTCCCATAAGCCAAAGTATCCATCCTTGAATGTCTGATCCACACTTATGAAGCGGAATATTCTGCAAACACTTTAGGCTTTCCTCAAAATCACCATTCTTATACAGTTGCCCAGCATGAAGAAACTTCATTGCTGCCCCAATATAATTGTCTTCAAAATCCATGTCATTAACGTCCCCTTTAAGCATCATTGCGGATACAAACAGTAGAGAATTTAATGTTGCCAAATCGTCACCACAGGCTGATGCATTTAACAACCACACAGGTGGAGTTTTGTTAAACCAATTACTCGTCCAACCAAGACTGTCTTTCAGTGCAGCAGTATCACATTCAGTGGGAAGGAGGTTGGCATGCAATAGAAATAATGTTGACAATCCACTGCACTTCTGTTCACTTTTCAGCATAGGCAACATACTTGAGAATTCCACAAAATCTTCAAACCCTGCAAAGAAAATATTGAAACATTACAGACATTGTTGTAGTTCTACATGCTGCATTGGGTTATAATGCTAAATACAAAATTCACTACTAATGGATTATATATATATAATTAAATATATATATATAATTATAGATATATATAATTATATATATATATATATAATTATATATATATATTATAAATATATATAATTATATATATATATATATAATATATATATATAATTATATTGGTTATACATGCTATACTAAACTAGGCCTAGGAATATGTTTGGGTTTTACCCCCCCCCCCCTTCCGAGGAGAGATCACTATGAAGCCAAGTACCAAATTTTTAACAATTGTCCATTGCGTCAATATAATGTATATACAATGGTCCACATACTTACAAGTATTATCTGAACAGGAGGATAGGATGTAAAGACCAAACCAAAACTCAGAAAATTGAGAAGCGACGTTTCAGTCTGTGCCAAACTTATCACATGACTTTATAAAGGTCCAAGTCGGACTGAAACATCGTCGTGTCCCCATCTTCCGAATTGTGGTTTGGGAGTCATATCTTCAGCCATGTTATTGACTGTCTGCAACAGGCGAATGGGTTGCCCAGTTCGTGCATTGGGTGTATCACAAAAGTCATGCACTGCCAGTACTGGAAAATGAATTCTGTTGTCCTAACCGACTTAAAACACGAATGTATTTAAAATTTTTAAATCTGCCATACAAGAACTACAGTGCAGAATATAAATATTCCTTGCACAGTGTTGAAGTGGTTGTACACAAGTCTATAGGCAAGCACAATACTAGATACCTGAATGCTAAGCTTAAACAACTTCATTCAAACAAAGCCATTATCACTTACATCTCTCGTAAAATTCAGCAAGAACCCCTTTGATTAGCAGTAAATTACACTGCTTTGGAAAAGATAATGTCATGTACAAGACGGTAATAATCAATTCGCACTCTTCATCCCAGCTGCTATTTGATGGAGGTATCAGGAACTTTGCCGAGGCAAGTGCCAAGAGTTCACCAATGGATGCATTTGAAATCTGGAAAGAAAAGATAAAACCATGCATTTTACTTTTGCCTAAATTAAAAGTTAGATAATCTTAACTACTAATATTGGCCTCAGACATTTGTGTTAACTCATCCCAATCTTTAGGCCTGATATTAACTGCATCCCTAATATTATCTTAGCTAGTGTTTCCTCAATGTACTCTCTTCCATCTCATCTTTATCAAATGTAAATTATATTATATAAAGTATAGTATATAAAAATTTAATTCACATATTTTACACGTGAACAAATACCTTCATGAACACTTTGATAACTCTCTATTAGCCTTAAATTAGCTAGACAAATAATCCTTTGATATACTCTTAGCTAATCACTTGGCGATGTTCTACATTTTCTATCTTCATCTCTTTAAAAAAACTAAAAACCAAATACACAGGACCACTACGAAGTATTTGCCAGGGTGCTTAAGAATGCAGAGGAGCTTTGCGAGCGGGTCTACCATATTTAATAAGTCATTAGTCGGGCAGAGTGCTCGAGTCACAAAAAGTTGCTAATGTGGTACCAATTTTCAAGAAAGTAGATAGCTCACGTGTTGAACTATCAACCAATTAGCTTAACACTTATTGTGGTAAAATTGTTCGAATCAATAATTGCAAAGGCATTGTTAAAAAATTAATAAATGATTCACAACATGGTTTTACCAACAGCCACTCATGTTTATAAAATTTGCCATCATTTTATTTCAACATAGTTGAGGTAGTCGATAGAAAGGTTTGACTACCTCGACTTTAGCAAATCTTTTGATAGCGCCACATGAAAGATTGATTTAAGGTAAGAGGCACACAATATTGGCGGTACTATATTATAGTTGGATTAGGGCATGGTTATGCCAAAGGAAACTTAGCATCAACGGAGTTAAGTCAAAGGGGGGGACAAGTCCCCATGGTACAGTAGTTAAGCACTCTCCCAACGCTTCGCGAGCGCTTTGGCCTGGGCTTGTATCCTGGCTGGGGAGGGTTGACTGGGTGCCAATCCTTAACTGTAGCATCTTCACCCAGCAGTGAATGGGTAACCCGGTTGTAAAACCATTTTGTGGGTCGTATTCCAGGGAAAATGATTAAGGACCTACTAGTGGCTTTACAAGAATGTTGACAAGCCAAATAAGTTGTTCTTTTGAGCAACTACATCTTGCTTTACCTGACAAAGCACAATAAGCCCCAACATTACAAAATAAGCTATTATATGAACTCCGTACAATATAACTACAGCTAAATTTTTTAATATTTGAAGGAAAAAAAGAAAAAAATTGCAATGGCTAATTTCCTTCATGAGCAGGCTGCCATCTTAAACAATTAGCCTGGGTTTTGCATGCATGAGGCAAATATGGATATAATAGCTGTGGATGTAAATAGTGATAAAAAATCAGTGAAACATCAAAGGATAAAAAGGGAAACTTCAGCAAAACTGAGCACCAGGCACCGAGAAGTCCCACACAGCACTGCAGAGCACCTCCAAAACGTGACACGATAAATATTCACTAGTTTTCATACATTTTGCAAACATTCATAATTCTATAATGAACTATAAAATTATTGTGATTTTTTGTATGACCATATCTCTATAGCCACTGTCTTAAGGGTTAAATATTGAGCAAAATAGTACTGAAGGATGTGACTGCTGACCCAATCTTGTATCCCATTTGTAATCAACCAATTGTAGTAACAAGATGAGTGAGCAAGTGGTGTCTTGTCTTTCCAGCACTGTCAATCTCTCTTTGAAACTATTGACTTTTGGCTTCCATCACCTCACTTGACTTGTCCCCCAACCATCTACCAGTTTATTACTAGTGAGCTTTCATATATATTTTTTTTTTTTTGCAAATATGCTTCCTCGATTTAAATTTAATTTCCAGTTTTCAATAATTCTTCTTTGTCAATTTTTGTAGATTCCTTTTACCATTTTTATGTACTGATCATCTCGCCTTTTTCTATTCTATGTTCAAGTTTTGGTATCTAGCCTCTCCTCGTAGTTTTTGTTTTTCAGTTTTGGAAGATTAAATTACTAAGTTCAAATTTACAATTTATTTGTAAACCTAATACTATCTTGAGATGATTTCGGGGCTTTATTTTTTTTAGTGTCCCCGCGGCCCGGTCCTCGACCAGGCCTCCACCCCCAGGAAGCAGCCTGTGACAGCTGACTAACACCCAGGTACCTATTTTACTGCTAGGTAACAGGGGCATAGGATGAAAGAAACTGCCCATTGTTTCTCACCGGCGCCTGGGATCGAACCCAGGACCAGAAGTCCCGCATGCTGTCCGCTTGGCCGACCGGCTTAGATAATACAAATCTGAACAATGAACATGCATTAGTATTAGGTACTCATTGTTCTAGTCTTTTGGGATGCACTTCCTTGAAAATTTCCTAGTCATAATTTAACTGGGTATGGTGAAATCAGTAAGCCCATTAGTAATTTGAAATTACGGTATTTATAGTCACGCTGAATAGGTTACGTAATAAATTAATTGGCAAACATTGTATGAAATTAATATTATAGCTGCTACCTAATTTATTAGGGTCAAAATTCTGATACCGTTTGGAAAGCATAATCAATCCAAGCTCCGAGGAAAAACGGAGCAAGAATGACCCATATCATATGTAGCAATAAAGACAGGTCAGCACATTAGCATGCTGAGAAGTTTTCAGTGATTTCCAAGAATGCTATACCATGTATTAATTTTAAGTCTTGAATGAGGAATTTCAAAATGCTACTGAAAGCCTATCATCAATAAAACTTACACATTTTCAATAACTACATTACAGTATTACAAGTCTGGACACATCTGTTGAACAGCAAAGGTGTAACAGGTATTGTACTCTGAGAACTATCAACATCAGAGGTCTGAGACTGTTCAACATGCTTCCACTATACATAAGAGGCATAACTGGCCAACCCCTCGATGTTCACGAGAACTTCACAAACACCTTCAAAGTATACCTGATCAACCAGGCTGCGAGCACCCGCGTCCAACATCCTGATTGACCAGTCCAGCAACAAGGAGGCCTGGTTAATGACCAGGCCGCAGGGTCACTAATCCCCGAAATCACCTCAAGGTAAGGTAACAACACATTATACACATAAAATGTTGAATACTCAGAATAGTAGCTCACCACGCTTAGGTGAGCACTTTCCTATGACCCATCTGCCTATACTTAAATGTTATATTACTCAGCACTAAAGATAAAAGTAAACCTCCTCGCATTCATTCTTTAACACTACTTTCCAAGCAATAAGATATTTTCTTTCTAGGCACAACCATGTTCATTGTACATACATGTGTACTTCAGACTACACTGGTTCACTAGTTATGAATGCTTCATCTATTATAAACAGTTCTCGTATAAAAGTGCTAGACATTTGAGCTACAAATTGTATATCGTTCAGGGGTAGCTGTATTTTGTCTCCTGATTTCGACCTCCTGCAGAATTTTGGGGTACTGCTTCACTGAGTGGCATTACCTTGCGATGATTTCAGGGCTCATATCCCCACAGCCCGGTCCTCGACCAGGCCTCCTTGGCCTCTGCCCTACATCTTATTGCAGTCTTTGAAAGTATCATACTTGTTATCTAGCAAATGTTAAACTCATCTAATACATATAATACAACCTCACGAGATTTTAACCAACAATTGATGAGTGCACCCAAAATGCTCACTGTATTAGTAGTGTTACGCAGTGTATACGTTTAAACATGTACCTTCCTCTGTTCATGTACTATATGCATGTTCATTAGTGTAAAAGCTGTGTATATTAAAATGACTCATATTTTAAGTTAATTTCCTAGTTTAAAATTTTACCAAAATGCGCCTAAATTAACTTAAAACAAATCTACTCTAGCAGATTTAGGACTACTAATACCATTACCAGAACCTCTACACCACCCTATACTGCACTCTGATAAACTTCCCCTAAGCACCCACATGGGTAGCAGGGGGGTCGACCCAAAGTACCCTATACCTAAAATTTGGGTATGGGGTATTTGGTAAATTTATGGGGTACCCTGGTACCTTTTACCCAAACTTTACTTCCCACACCTCACTTAAGCTCAGCCTACACGAGTGGTGCAAGTAGGAGACCCCAGAGACGAGGGAGACACACTAACAGCGTGAGGCCAGGGGCGTGTGCGAGGCCCAGAGTCCATCACCCCGCCCTAACCTCCACAAACCTCAAGTAACCAAACCCCGACAAACCACGTTAAATGCAGGCGGGGAACTGCTACAAGCCATGAGGAGCGTGGAGGCGGCGGCGACGAGGAGGGAGGCTGGGCGTGCAGGGAGGGAGGCGGCCGGACACGCGGGCCGCCAACACCACCCAAAAGCCACACTTATTTAAGCTTGGCGCCGCCAACATGGCGCCAATTTCATAACTGGCGTGCGTGTGTGTGCGCGTGTAGCCGCGGGAGACTCATCACAGAGGCGAAGGTGTTACTCACCAGGACTTGTTGAGCGAGGCGTCGGAGGCGGCTCCCGTAGGTGGTGAGGGCGAGGGCGGCGGGGAGCGAGTGGGGGCCGCCAGGGACCGCCGGTTTGAACCCCGCCGCCGCCGCCGCCCCGACGACCGTTACGACGCCACTCCTTTGTTCCCCATGGCCGCCCTCCTCCTCTACCTCCCCGACCCCGCCACACCGCGCCCGCTTCCCCTGCCCCTCCCCGACCCCGGCCTCGCGCCTCCTCTTCATCCTGCCGCTCCCCGCCTCACTCCTGCGAGGTGGCCGCGCCCGGGAACACTGCTCCTGCAATAATGGTGCCGGACGGTGGTGTGGTGACTACTGCTGCACGCAGGCTTCCCGCGCGCCCCGCCCGCCATTACTCCCGCCGCCCCACGCCACCTCTCCTTCCCTCCCTCTCCTACCCCTCCCATCATCCCCCCCTTCCCATGCCCTCATCCCCCTCCCACCGGCCAGCACAACCAACCACTACCGTCCCGCGCACCCCCCACCACCACCACCCATCCCATACCACAGTATCTCCCTTCCCTTCTCCCCGCCCCTCCCCCACCATCATCCCAGCACCGTCCCACCCGTCCCACATAAGCCACTCCATCCAGAGGCCATCAACCAATCCCCTTCTCATACCCCCAACCCCCCCATCAATTCCCGCTCCCCCCCACAAAAGCTCTCATTAGCCACTCTCCCACCAAAGCCAACAGCTCCTTCAAATAATTCCACCACGCCAACTACTTGCAACTTTTCTTTCATATTACAATTCCTTAATGGTTTCCGCTGAAAAACAATACACTATTTAAATATGTATATACATTTTTATATATTATGTAGTTTCGATAACTGATACAATAGACCAAATTAATATATATACTCTATACAAATGATTACCAAAGTATATATATCTTAATACCTATGGTATCACACCTATGTACAGAATAAAACTATTAGAATGTTGCATTATAATTCCGTTCACGTATAATGGTAATTAATCCCAACTGATCCTGCTTCCGCTGGGGGGGAGGCAAGCTGGTAGTGCGCATGCGCGCCCGCACGCGGGAAAGGTAAACACGTAATATTAAGCTTGTCTTGTCTTGCCTTGTCTTGATTGTTGCATTGTTGCTTGTCTCTCCCTCACCACTACCACCAGCAGCCCCTCCTGCTGCCCTGCCTCTTGATTGTCTCCAACAATCAATTTTGTTTTGGGTTGTCGGCATTTAAATTCAAATTTTTCATTTCAGTTTTGGTGAGTTTTGATGTTCCCTCAGAGCCCTGTGGTGGAGGGCTTGGTAGAATGATAATATATTGTGTCGGGGGACAGGCAGTCAGTGTGTATATATATATAATAATAATATACATATATATATAAACATGTTAGGCTTATATCGAGCCCCCCCCCCTCCTGAGGAGCTACCCAAAGTTTCGTAGCATTAAGTAAGTAATGAAGAACTATGATATATTTACTCACTATAATGTTGATGATGAATGTAGAACACGATAACAAACATATTTTTACTCTGAAATGATATAATTTTATAAGCAAATTAGAAGAAATTGGCAAGTCGACTCTCCAGGTGACACGTTTGTGGCTTTGGGTATTCAGATGGACCCAATTTCGTTATAAAATTATATTATATCAAAGTAAAATTGTGTTTTTATCATGTTCTACATTCAGCATTAACATTATAGTGAGTGAATCATAGTTCTTCATTACTAGGGGCTGACCCCTGGGCAGGGGTAACCCAGGGGTAAACCAGGGGCTGACCCCTGAGTAGAAGTAAACCAGGGGCTGACCCCTTGGGTGGGGGTAAACCAAGGGCTGACCCCTGGGTAGGGGTAAATCAGGGGCTGACCCCTGGGTATGATTAAACCAGGGGCCTGATCCCTGGGCAGGGGTAAACCAGGGGGCTGACCCCTAAGCATGGGTAATTTGAGGGGGGGCTGACCTATAAGCATGGGTAATTTGAGGGGGAGCTGACCCCTAAACATGTAATTCGAGGTGGGCTGACCCGTAAACATAGGTAATTTGAGGGGGCTGACCTGTAAGCATGGGTAATTCAAGGAGGGCTGACCCCTAAGCATGGGTAATCAAAGGGGCAGAGTCGTAGTTAAGGGTAATCAAATTGGCTGACTCATAGGTAGTGATAATAAAAAGGGGCCGATTTGTGGACAGGGATAATCAGTGGGGGGCTGACTCATTAGCAGGGGTAATCAAGGGGCTGACTCGGGCAGGGGTAATCAAAGGGGCTGACCCCATGGATGGGGGTAATCAAATGGGATTACCCCAAGGATGAGGTAATCAAATGGGCTGACCTGTGAATGGGGTGGCTAGAGAGATGATCTATGGATGGGGGTGGCATGGGGGAATTGTGTAAAAACCTGTCTCTGTTTGTGTCTCTTGAAAGACTGCCGGATCTGTGGTAGGTCAAGTTGATTTCCCGGTTGCAATTCTTATCCATGTCGTAGCTCAGTCAATTAAGTCGCGTCTGGGATCTTCTCGGACGTAGGTTCGAACCCTCATCACGGCCCTTGTGAATTTGTTCATTTGATGCATCATGCTATTGTGATTTCTGTGTGTAATGTATATACAGGTGTATTGTACAGTACTGTATTTATGAATAAAAATGTACTGGTATTATTACAGGTATTATTATTTTGTTGCAATAGGTATGCCCCATAATCCTATAATACTGTACTGTAATTACAGTATAAATAAATGGAAATCCTGAGGGGCTGCTGAGCCCTATCTTTCTTAATTTGATACTTGTTCTATTTTTTTAATAATAAAATAATTATTGTTACAAAACATTTTAAAGAAACTGTCAAGATTATGATTGTATTACTCTCTGTGTTGTTGTTCTTCTATGGCAACATATTTTTCACTAACAATTGGGGTCTAGCATAAATTTAGCCATTGTATATGTCATTGTACTGTACAGTATAGCATTTGAGTGAGAACGTTGTTTAAAGTTTGAAATGCTGTAGGTGCTGAATGACGTATGGTACAGTAATTGATGTCTCTAAACCTTAATAAAGTTAATAGTATTTTGTCATTCTGAAATTGGCTGTATACTACAGCTGTACATTGGAAAGTGGCATGTTAGACAAACTGTTTGGACATGTGACAATAAATTATATCTGCATTATGAATGTACAGTACAGAATACAGTTTTAGGACCTGAACACAATCTAGCTTTTGATGGCTCATTAAAATTTATCCATCCTTTAACCTGCTGAAATTTCCATAAGCCTACAGTACATAATGCATTAAGACGTTTGAACATAGGCATTTATGGAGTCTATTAAATTTATGCTAATATGGCAACTGGCATTTTATAAATACAGTGCAGTACTGTACAGGCGTTGAGTGTTTAAGCATGGAAGAGTTTGTATTTTTAAACTTGACCATGTAACAGTGTATGAAGTATACGATGTTATTTTTTTACCTCTTTATTTTCTCTTCATAGGTTCATCGTAGACACAATGACCACTAAAGATATCCCCAAAGTTGCCTATATTACTGACTCGAAACTAATATGCTGCTGTGATGCAATACCAGTTTTAAAACGCCGGGTACGTCACTTGTGGTTATTCTCTTGCATGCCATTTACATAACCTAAATATTTACTACCATTTACTTTAAATTGTATTAATATGGATTCCTTTACATGTTATAAAGTTTCACTAGTTTGAATGTAGTTTCATCATAATTTAGAGGGACTGGTTCCAAATCTGTATAATGAAATAACTTCTTACAAGACTAGAAGACATGGGCAAATGTGTAAAATGGCCACATTAATAAGTGGGGGTATAATAAAGCCTTAGACAGTTCTATAAACATTAGGAGCCCAAGGTTTTTCAACATACTCCTTCAAAATATAAGCGGTATAACAAGCTGACATCTTTTGGCATTCAAAAGGTTACTTGATAAATGCCTCCAAAGAGTACGTGATCAATTGGGCTGTGATTCATTTTAGACTTGGGTTCAACAATGTCTAGCAGCTTGATTGACAGGATCATTAACCAGGAAGCCCGGTCAGAGATTGGGCTGCAGGGGCATTGATCGTTCGACCCATCCTCCTAAAATGATTGTACAGTACATACAGTACTGTACAGTACTTATATAAATTATTTTGTCAAATGTACAAATATGTACTATTGGGTCCAAAAAATCACATGTTTTCTTCTATTAATTTAATAGAGGACACATCGAGATAAACTAAACTTAAACATTCCAAGGCCTAATATAATATATCCACAAGACTCCTTATAATGCTTCTACAGGACTATATTATTCTTACACTACTCCTCAAAAGAGTGTGACACCCAGCTCTCACCCTCTCCACACAACAAACAATACATAAGGAAATACATATATATTAATTACCTTTTAATACTTGATTTGGGTGGCCTTTTCTCTTCTTCACAGCTTGGAGACATTGGGGCAGTGAAAGAGCTAAGTTTCTTAGGTGTTCAAGTGAGATGTTTGCCCAGGACTGATGGATTGCCTTCTTGAGCTTGGGTATGGAACTTGCATCTTTCCCCTGCAGATCGTACTTTACCATGTGCCAGAGGTTCTCAATTGGGTTGAGATCCAGGCTGTTACCTGGCAAATCCTTTATGAAGGGTACCATGCATTCATCAAGCCCCTTGGTGACCCATGGTGTGGGGTTGTTTCTCAGGCAGGGGCTCGGGCATGCTTGTTGTGCTTCCTAAAAACCCTAAAATGAATCAAGCTGTTTACCAGGCTTTGTAAATATATGCCAGATTCTTTCAAGCTTGCACCTGCCAGCGTGTTGAAACAGATCATTGCTCCTGCATTCATCACCAAATCTCTCAAGTTGCTTGATAGTCGGCTCCATGCTCAAGCTTGAATAACTGAGGTCTTTCAATGCCCCAATGTCTCCAAACTGTGAAGAAGAGAAAAGGCCACCCAATCCAGTACAGTATTAAAAAGGTAATTATAATACATTATTTACTGCCATCATTTGATCTTTGTATGAGAGTCGACTGAGTTCAGGAATGATTTTAATTGCATTTTTCAATATTAAAATTTGTTTGCCAATCTTCTGACCATTTGTGGAGGTCGTGTAGATCTCTTTGTAAGACCTTAATATCATTGTCACTTCCTACTTTACCATAAAATCTTAATATCGTCTGCATATTTGATGGTGTGTTTTGTAATATTCTTATATGTCAGTGATGTATATGACAAAAAGGGCTGGCTAATATGGAACCTTGCAGTATGCCACTCTCCACATTGCTCCAGTCAGATTCATTTCCATTTAGAATGATCCTTAGCCTCTTTTGTCTTAAACATTGTTTTATCCATTTTAATATTCTACCATATTTATTGTGTGTGCTTGTAATTTCCTTGCCAATCTTTCATGTGGTACCTTACCAAACATTAGTGAAGTCAATGTACACTACACCTGCTGGGAATCATTTGTCTCAATAACTGGTTACCGTTTCCAAAAATGTGAGCAGGTTTATAAGTCAGGATTTATTTTTAATGGAGTTCTTTCTGCCTTTTATTTTATATTTTTTTATATTTTAAATAAGAGTAACATTTACATATTTCCAGTCCAGGGAAACTATCCCTTGGTCCAGAGATTTTTTGAAAAGGAGTTTAAAAGGTACAGTAGATATAGTTTAGCTGTTAGTTCCTTAACTTAACAACCTTACATGGTTGGCTTATATGAATAGATCCAATGAAAATAAAAAAAAAATTCAAATGAATTGATTTAGAATAAAATGTAGCTGCTTCGAAGACCAATCTAGTTATTGCAGTGTACAGTAGTTGTAAATTGTAACAACAGTATTGTACCTGTATTCTCTTTCCAGGCAAGTTTAACTCATCATCTCATTGCTGCCTATGGACTGGTTGGTAAAATGAATGTTATTCCGTCTCAACCAGCTACCGAAGATGATGTTAGGGGCTTTCATTCAGAAGATTATGTAAAATTCCTTGAAGTGGCAAAACCTGATGGTCAAGAATTGAACGAGGATGAATTTGGATTAGGTACACAAACTCAAGATACTTGTTAGTTATCCTAAGTGATATTAAAATAAGAGAGTACAGTAGAATAGGAGTCCTGTACATGTAGTGCAATGGTTAGTGCAATCAATTTGCAACTGAAAGGTCTCAAGTTCAGTTCCCATACAGGATGGAGATGCTTGGGCATGTTTTCGTTTACCTGATGCTTTTGTTTACAATTGATAAATAGGTACCCAAAAGTTGACCAATTGTTATGAATTTGTGGAAAGTATATCTAAGTTGAAATTGATTGGTTTAGAATTTAGAATTTACTGTAATGGGATTTGTCATTCTTTGTATTGACAACTTTCATCTCCATGCAAACGCTCATCAGTTTGAACATTGAGTACATAAAACTGATTAATGGTTTAAATAATTACCTTATATAGATTTGGTCTATAATAATTAGTGAAATATAACTTGGAGTTTGCTGAATTTTATAATTTCACTGCTGTAAATGAAATGCTGCTTGGCTTTTATAATGTGTACTTGCTGACCTATTTTATGTATACAGGATTTGACTGTCCAATACTCAACAACTTGTGGACAATAGTCTGTCAGGTGGCTGGTGCATCTTTGACCGCTGCTCTTGCTCTTACATCGTCCACAGCACAAATTGCCATTAACTGGTGCGGTGGATGGCATCATGCTCAGAGGTAAGAGAGTGCATGTATGTGGACTGTTATGCTTTTGCCTGCATCTCTCAATTAGTAATACAAAATTGGGATGCAGAATTCATACTGTATGTACAAACATTATTATTGTCCTTTTTCCCAATTTTATGGTGTGGGTAGACTTCAGCTCAGAATTGTTTTGGAAAATGGTTAAAATATCTCCATTAGAGCCTCTTCACTCACTCTGGCTTCTTCTTTTTTTGTGATAATGCAGGTTCCCCCCTGACAGATGCTCAGTCATGATTTTTGACACTTTAAGAAACTTGAAATGTCTTGAGAAGAGTGTACATACTAGATGAGAAATTTCTAGAATGATCAGTGGATTACAATTATTTTATATATATATATTTACTTGTAATTCACTTGCTATCCTGAGATTCTTATGACATTTGTTAATCTCCTACAATTAACCTATCTTGCCTCCTTCTTTACCAGTGATAGTTAAACCACCACAATGGGGTTTTCAACAAATGTTCAAAATTTTCATAAAAAAAAGTAAAATGCATTCTGGTGGTTGAAAGGAAACAAAGGATAAAAATTTATGAATAAAGAATAGGAGAGGTTTTGTGTGTCAGCTTTTGGAACACAGTAATACCAAAATTTTAATTTTGTATTTTTAATTTGGTTAGAGATTTACTAAAAGAAGCCTAATTAGTTTTTTCTTTTATACAGAGATTCTGCCTCTGGATTTTGCTATGTAAATGACATTGTTCTAGCTGTGCGACATCTGCGCACAAAGTTTGACAAGATCTTGTACATTGATTTGGACATTCATCACGGTGAGTTAAATTGTTTTGTATTTAGAGATGACAGTGATAGTCACTCAAAAATAATCATTTATGAACACACTGGTAGATGGATAGAATAAATTCAATGAGAGGATGGTGGATGCCAACACCATTGAAAGCTTACAAGCATCATAAAACAAAGACTATAGGGTAGATGAGACACTGCGATCCTAACTCACATCCTACAACTAAGCTCACACACTGAATAATTTACATTATGTTTATATACTATATATATCTTTTATTTTTGCAGGAGATGGTGTGGAGAATGCTTTTCTGTTCAGTCCCAAGGTGGTTACTCTGTCATTTCATCAGTTAGAGACCGGTTTCTTCCCTGGCACCGGTGAGCAAAAAGATGTCGGCCTCGGGAAAGGCAGATATTACAGCTTTAATGTCCCTTACAAAGCTGGGATAAACAATAAACAGTTTGTGTACTTATTTGAGAGGTAAGTATGTTTTATATGGATTGAAAGATTGTGTTTTTAATAAATATTTTTGTTTGTACACCAATATATATAATATTTTGTATAAAATTGTAAACTAATTTGTCTGTTCAGGAATTTGTATGATTTGCCCACAAATTATGTTTGGTTTCCTGAATGAAATAGTTAGGCAAATTAATTTGTTTTAAAATATTCATATAATATTTTGAAACCATCAAGAAAATGGTCTTGAAACTCCAAGAAAATAACTCATGGGGGGAAGTAGGCAACACCATATAGGTGAACGGCACACAGGCCACCAGCCAAAGAAATCTGACAACAATTATAACCAGTGAACACCGCCATCCAAACAGCAGGCTGGGATAATCTGTAACGAACCAGCCATAAACCCACTGGCAGAAGACAACCCAGTCAAAGAAACAAATTCTCCCATTGAACTGAACCCAGGAAACAAAGAATGAAGGTCATGGCAAAGATGCAGAGGGAAACAACAGGGTAGCTGACAGGGGTGCAGGCAGTGAAATGATGCTACCTTGGTTGAAGACACTGCAGAACACACTAAAGGTATTCCTCTGCTAAGTAAGGGAATGCACTTGGGGAGTTGGGGGACCACTTACAAGGAATCAGGGCAAACTCCTGGAAAATTGGGAATTACTCTTTTGAGATACCAAGAGAGTTGCTACCTGTTCCATCCCTGTGATGCAACCTGACTGCCACCTGATGACAGCTAGTTTGCTCATTAGTTTGCAGAGTGAAAATTAGCTTTCCTTGTCAGTTATCACTTTCTTAAAATGTTGAGAGGTTTTCTTGTCATGGTGTGTGAGCAGTGTCCTGGGTGAATTGTGACCCTGGTTAGAGGAACAATCAAGAGAACCTTGCTCAGAAATTACTAGCAAATAACCTCAAATACTAACAAATTTTCCCTCTATCTTGGCTACCACGGGAGAGGCTTATGGCGAGGTAGCCTATACTAGCATTTTAACACATACTGTATTGTCATAATAAAGTCTAAGGCATGATTAACAGCTATTCAAAATTGTTAGATACACTTAAATGGAAGAGTAAAATTCCTTACTTTTAATCTTTTTGCAGTATTCTATACAACTTGTGTGAAGTATATATGCCAAATGCTGTGGTTTGCCAGTGTGGGGCTGATGCTGTCAGTGGTGACCCTCTTGGAGGAGGCAATTTAACCCCAGAAGCTTTCAAATCCTGTGTACGTCATATCTTGAACCTCCACAAGCCCACTCTCTTTCTTGGAGGAGGTTAGTCTATATAAAATTATCTTCTAAAATATGATACTCTGGCAATAAATTGGTATTGAGAAAGTATACTACAAAAGTTTACAAAATTACATTCGACTAATGTGTGTGTGTGTGTGTACGTATTTAATCCTTTGGCTGCACTAAGCACTAGTGATGGACACCATAAAAATAGGCTTAGTCTATGATCTGAGACATCCGCTGTGCCTTGATAAATGTTACTGAATGGTGTAATGTTTGACCAAGTTTTCTGACCTTCAAAGCAGGTGCCTAGACCTGCTAAATGCTGCCATTGGATGACAACAGAATCAAATGTCAAGCCTATTTGTAGTGCCAGAATACGACAATTATGATTCCTACAAACCCTCACCCCTTAATGCTTCTTGTTACTTTTTATTTTGTTATTATTACATAATTAAGGTACTGTGTACATATTATGTTGTTTCTGGGAGGAGCCCCTTGTGTCTCCCTGAAGCTATGTTGTTGAGATGGCTCCCAACTAATAGATCACATCAGCCACGGAATTTTGTTTGCCCTCCCGAGAACTAGCGCCAGAATCTGGCCCTCTATCAAAGAGGCACAGAGAGTGGGTGACACTCCACCACCCTACTGGGAAAGCATCCAGAAAGTTAGCTTTCTAGATGCTAACTAATACTGGGCCAAGTATTACTGTCCAGCAAGAACATAAAACTTTCTTTATTTGTTATTAAACCCTGATGCATGCTTCTCCTCTTGGGAGAGTAAAATGTGATGAAATGTATTTCCATTGAAGGGGCTAGTTTCATATACAATAAAGACAGGCTAGGGAAGGTAGTTACCATGCTTAATGATAGTCATGAGAAAATTCATGCACTTCTTGATGGTCAACACTGGCTGCCTCATCACTCACTTTTATGTTGTACAGGTTGTGGCGATGTTTAAAGCTTTCAAAGCCACTATAAATTGCTCCATGTGTTTCTAGTGATCATTTTGCTTGAAGGTTGGTAAAAGATGTTCCTTACCCTCCCCATTCTCACGAGCTGGCATTACAGTCAGGGTATTTACCCTGAAGAAACGATCATTTTCTTTATTTACCTAGGGGTGCCTAATTTCCTTTAAGCATTTGCTTGTTTCTTTGCATTTATGCTTTCTGGTGAGTATTCCCTAGTTTTGCAGTTCATTTTTTATCCCCTGCTTCCCTCACCTCATATTGTGAATCAGATTATGGTCCTGGCTTTCCATACACAACAAATGGGCCTCAGAGGCCTGGTGTGTTGGGCTAAGGCTCTGGTACCAGAGATAACCTCAAGAAGCCACTGGGGGCCAACAAAAAAGTGTGTTGCATTATATTCAGTGGTTAAATTTTTCTGGTGAAATTCTTATATAAATTGTGATATGACCACCTGGCTGGTGCCTGCATCTGCAAGGGCCGAACGATTGGTGCACTGTAAATTTGGCCTTCTGTATTTTTCAGTTAATATCTCTTAAGTATTTTATCTACAGACTTCACTTTGCCGTCATTTTATTCAATTAAATATATCTTTCCACGCAAAATAATAATTTTCCAGTAAAGGTATTATTTTTATCATTAAATCCCATTTGAGCAAAAGTAACCTCCATACATAGCTGGATACTTATTGGCTCTATGCTATTTGCTTTTTTTCTTTTTTTTCTATGACTGAGCATTCCCATCCCCCAATGAAAGTGGGACCAGGTTAACGATCATATTTTGATGCTTATCTAATTTTGCAGGAGGTTACGACAATATAAACACAGCCAAACTGTGGACAGTTATCACATCTACCATTCTTGATACTCCCCTTAGTGCTGAGATTCCTGAGCATCAGGTAAGATTAGAATTAAACACCTAAATGAGAATTGGTAGATGACTTAATAAGGTCAGGTTCAATAATTTATATTTTATTAGTGTTAATTGTACACAGTTTTGTATTGTTCATAATGCTACCAGTAGAATATGTTTCAATACAGTGCTCCAATTTTATTTAACTTTCAGTTCTTTCCGCTGTATGGCCCAAGCTTTGAGTTGGAAGTAACAGCAGGACTTCGGAAAAGTGAAAATACTCAGAAGTCTCTAGATGAAACTGTTTGGGCTGCTCATGGTATGTACAGTATATGAGACAAGTTATACCATGGTTGAATTAGGTGTTTGCAGAAGGGAAGGGGGGTATACTGTATTATAAATTTGTAGAAATAAAATTTGTGAAACAAATTTTGCTGGATACCATAATTGGGGTATGCCATTATGTATCAACTTTCAATATTTATGATTGCAGATTTTAGGGGAAATTATAATATTAGCTGAAGAGGGGGGTTGGGGGATGTTTTTGAACATCTAAAAAAGTAAATGCGCTAAAATTTCTGCACACATTCTCTCAGTTCTCTGCCTGCAATAGTAATCTAAGCATTCTTGCAATACTGTATATGCATTTATATAGCATATAATAAATAAATAGATAAATAAGGTGAATGGAATATAGTGTTTGTTTATAGTAGGAATTATTAAAGATATTTTATTCTAATTTTCACAGTGCATGTCTTTGTACCATTCAGCAAATAAATTTTTCATCACAAAATAAAAATAATTAGAATGGCTTAAAAAAAATTCTTGTGTGTTATACAATTAAGATATTAATTTCTAATGATCTGATCATATTAATCTTATGATTGAATATAAAATTAAATCTAGAAAAATAGATTAGTAAAGTCTGTCATCATAAAATCCATTTACCAGTATATTTACCTTTTGCACCTGACAGCACATAGACACCCGTGTGGCACAGACAACAGAGTTCAGATTGTTTACAGCTTTTGATGTGAATAATGAATAAACTGTATCAGAAATTCTAATATTGGGAATGACAGTTGTACTGTACCACATTACAACAAGGCTAAACTCGGTTTAAGTAATTCAGCCACTATCCTTATTCACATCTTAGGCCATGTATGTACTTCAAACACAACATAATTTGACCCCACAATGTGACGTCTGTGTAAGGGGTCAAATTCTTTCTTCCTCTGTCACCATCAACACCACTGCAACCACCACCACCACTAACTGAACCATATTACCACCCTCATTACTATCATCACCATCATTTATATCACCACCACAATTGTCATTGATGACTTGTTGAACAAGACTATTAATGGGATGACTCACTTCGAGTGCAAGTCCACTACGGGCTTGCCATAGTCCATGCTACTTGGAACCTTTGTTCCAAGTTGCTGAATCTAAAATGCAAAACAACCCTTCGAGTAGTCTCCGACTCTTACCTGAGCCAAGGGAGGGCTCTGGATCCTCACTGCATTTTGACATTGGAAATGTCCAAACATAAGATATTTTCACGTGTGCTAGCAGTGTTCTCTCTCATTTCTCAAAGGATTTGTATACATTTGCATACAATAATTTGTTAGCAGATAACATGTCTGTTAGTAAATGGTAGTCTGGCTAGATCATGTAGGGTAAAGAAGAGGTACCTTCAACATGAATGGAAAAGCAACATTGATAAAGAACATTTATTGTGATGCAGTACACTGGTCCATTACAGACATAAATAAAGCTAGGGAAGGCAGTTCTAGTGACAAACACTAAAGAGAACAGTTATCAAGTGACTCAAATGTCAGTGAGTTTGGTCAAGCAGTTTACAAGCACTGTACTGTTGCTAACCACAATATGTATTATCTTAATTAGGGTAAGTAAAATGGGGACAATGTCCTCATTGTTGGGGACATGAAGCCTGTTAGACTTACTCCATACAAACACTAGTATGTGGTCTTTCAGGGTCTATATAGTAAACAATTAACTTTTGTCAGGATGCAGCCTCAACAGTCCACTAACAGCCAAGTACTATACTTATTTACTGCTTGGTGAATAAATCTGTCAGGTTTAAGGAAATTTGCACAACCATTTTACCGTAAAAAATGTATACGTAAAAAATACGTTCTATCAGGTGCTATAAAAAAACTAAAAATGTGATCGCAGTATAAAAATAACTTATAATCCAAAATTAAGATTCCATAAATCTGGAGCAGGTCTGGAATGATAAATATACAGCACTGTAGTCTGGGCTTTGTAGGTTACACTTCATATTTGTCTTCTAAGTCAGCACTTCATATTAATCTCATTTTTTTTATTTTCAGAAAATATAAAAAAATTAGCTGAGCTACTAGGAAAGAAGGCTTCATAGTTGTTAAATAATATTTATGTGCTGTATTAATATATTATTTTAATGAATTTGAATATATGGAGATTCATTTTCTTGTTTTAGGTACAGTGATTAATCAGTATGTAAATATATAGTTTTTGCTGTGATATAATGTTAGTTTCTTTAGATTTATTTTTAAATACTTTTTCACCTATTTTAAAGGGCAGTTTCCACCAAAATGGTCTGCTTTGAATACTTTGTGTAACTCTGCAAAACCTAGCTATTTATGAACATTTTAAGCATGAAAGAAATTTACAAATTCTTTGTATTTTTTATTTAAATGTTTTCTGCTGTAAGTATTTAAAATATTGACAGTACAGGATAGTTACCAGGTATTATTTTATTATTTTTATTGATATGAAAACTTAAAACATAATCAGAATACAGTAATTAAATAAAAGGTAAGCCAAATTATTTTAATTGGCAGTAATATTACACCCAGAAATCACAATAACGTGATGCATCAAATGAACAAATCCACAAGGGCTGTGACGAGGATTCGAACCTGCGTCCGGGAGCATCCCAGACGCTGCCTTAATCGACTGAATCGATTAATTGATTAAGGAATCGAATCGACCTCAGTCGATTAAGGCAGCGTTTGGGATGCTCCCGGACGCAGGTTCGAATCTTTGTCACGGCCCTTGTGGATTTGTTCACTTTGCAGTAATATTGTTCAGCATTTTATGGGACCATGTTCTTTATGGGAATATTTAAATTTCAAAACAACATTTTGTGTTTAAGTCATTGCACAAGTGTTAGTTTTTGTTTGATCTTTATACAAATTTTCTCAAAATGCATGGTTTAAATTAATAGTAAAAGGTGAGAGATTTTTAGTAATTAAAAAAAATTGTGAAAATGACTTAAAAAGGTCACCAAACTTTGTTTTATTAGATCGATTGTCTTGATTTTTTTTTATTGTATGTTGAAAATAAACATTTATTTATTTATTTAATTTTTTTACTTATTTGAAACCTTAATCTCAATACAGTTTTCAATTCTTTGCCAGTCTTACGGTAGACTGTCCTTATTTGTTGAGCAACAGGGTACTGTTATACTGTCTTGTTGATCCATAATGATGGCATAACCCTTTACAAGAGAGTTCCACAACCAAATACTGATTTAAGAACATAACAAGTCTTGTCAGCAACACTTAAAAAAAAAGGTAAATCTTGTGTTTTTTTCATCTTTTATGCTAAGTTTAAAAGTTAAAGATTAAGAGCAGTGGACTAGTTGACAAAATAAATACTAATAATACATCAAAATGTCTGAATTTGACTACTTAACTGCTGAAACATTTGAGTAATGTTTCCTTCAATCTTTCTGGTGGCTCCCTGAAGCTGTCTCGCCAAGATGTCGTCTCACTACTGAATCACATCAGTCATAGGAGTCGTGTTTGTCCAACTGGAGACCAGAGCCAGCACTTGGACCCCCTCAAAGAGGCACAGGGAGCCGAGATTGTTGTAAGTGGAGAGGTAATTATTAAAGTCCCTCCTCCTTACAGTTTGTGTATGTTATTTAAAATTAGGAACACAGAACAAATCTGTACTACAGGTATATGAGAGAATGTCTGTCCAAAGTTGAAGGTCACATATTTGGGCTAGCCTCACCCAAATTTGCTTTTGGGAAAGGTCTGGAGTACAGGATGGACATAGGCCTGACAGCTGGGTGGACAGCGCTTCGGATTTGTAGTCCTGAGGTTCCAGGTTCGATCCCCGGTGGAGGCCGAGACAAATGGGCAAAATGTTTCTTTCACCCTGATGTCCCTGTTACCTAGCAGTAAATAGGTACTTGGGAATTAGACAGCTGCTACGGCTGCTTCCTGGGGAATGTGTAACAAAAAGGAGGCCTGGTCGAGGACCAGGCTGCGGGGATGCTAAGCCCCGAAATCATCTCAAGAGAACCTCAAGATAGGCTATTTGGGGGCAGCTTAAGTTAAATGCTTTAAGAAATATAGCTACTAACCCCCCCCCCCCTTCCTGAGTGTTTTTCATAAAGTCTGAAAGAAAATGGGGTGATCTCTGTACTTCTGTTACTAAGTTACTTCCACCATTTACCTGCAAATTTTCTCAACTTTAAAAGGATCGATAGATGGATGTACCCTGTATAGATAAATGGATGAATGGATAAATAGAGAACATGGACAGAAAGTTAAATGGATAGGTGGATATAAATATAGATAGATAAATACATAGATGTGTAGACTGATGTACGTGTAGGTCAGTGGATGGATGGATATACAGTATAGATAAATAGATGGTAGAGACAGACATGCACATCCGGGCAACATTGGGTACCCCCCCCCCTGTATAATATATAAAGATGTACTTCAAATATGAGAGGGAACAGTAAATGAATGACACGCCCATGTTGAAATGTGGGACTCCAAACAAACCAAAGAGAGAGAGATGCATGTATTTCACTAATTTTAAAAGTAATTCACACACACACAGGAAGTGTTGTGGTGGAGGCAGACTCCACACACACAGTTTCAAATGTAGATATGGTAGAGCCTAATAGGCTCAGGAATCTGTTTACCGGTTGATTGATAGTTGAGAGGCGGGACCAAACAGACGAAGCTCAACCCCTGCAAGCCTAACTAGGTAAGTACACGCACACCACACTAGAGGGGGCGTTACCTGGCAGTGCCTGGGGTTGTCTATGTTTCCCCTCTGTCTATCTCTTTCTGTCTGTCTTTCTGTCTCTACCTATCTTTATCTCAAACTCTTTCAACCTAGCTGTTTTTTCGTCCTTTGCCCTGCATTTCTCCGCAAAAAGCACCAAAATGGGTCCTGGTAGTACAGTCGGGTTCGTTCTTGACTCTCAATCAAGATTTAAGGGTTCGAATCCCGGGTGGGACAGAAATAATTGAGTGCATTTCCAATCACCTAATGCTTCTGTTCACCTAGCAGTAAGTAGGTACCCAGTAGTTTGCTTGGTATGGGGTTGCATCCTGGGTGGAGTCAGTAATTTGACCTTGGGGGAGGGGGGGGGACTTCGATATAAGTCTAACATGTATGAATACACTCTGGCTACCTGTCCCCCTGACACAATGAATTATTATTATTATTAAATAAATGTAAGTCTCAGAAGCTTTGCTTTTCCATTTTCTTTTCTTCCTTTACTCATTCTTGTTTTTCTTCAATAAAAACTCTAAATTAATCACATGCCATATTTCACACTTGACTCCATGAAAATGTACTAGGGGTGTTTATAATTGCTAATATTTCTTAAAGGCATTTAACTTAGGCCTACCCTGACCATCCTTTGTCCATCCCATACCCCAGACCATTTCCCCTGCAAATTTGGGTGAGGCTTGCCGCAAGTATCTGACCTCCAACTTTGAGTAGCCAGACATTCTTATAGGTATAGATTTGTGTATGTGCTGTATATAATAGTGTAAATGTGCTGGGGAAAAGGCAGCCAGGGGGCTCATTTATACACGTTAGGCTTATATCGAGGTCCCTCCCCTCTCCCAAGATGCCACCCACAACAGCTGCATAAATCCCAAGGGGTACCTATTTACTGCTAGCATAACGAAGACATCGGGTATAACTAACTTCTTCCTCCTCGAATTGTGAGCCGAAGTGGGTTATAGTTCCAATTCCCTAATACCGGTATGATCTATCTTGTTAAAGGGAACATATGGAGGTAATTGAAAGACGTATCGTGTGTGTGGCAGACAGGAAGAGGTGTGTCTGGGTCCCGGGAATCTGGGAATCTGGGATTCTCGGGAATCTGCCCGAAACGCTGTGCGTACTAGTGGCATTACAAGAATATAAACATATCATGCTATGTACTCTCATAAAACCAATGTAACCTCTTGTATGTATATAAAAATAAATAAATACAAAATATGAGTACGACAACGGGTGGATCGATGCCATTCAAGGGGAAGAAGGGAGAGAGGCAACAGGTCGCCTGCCGTTGGTCACTCTCATATGTTCATCACTGCCACAAGGGCCATCTTCCTATTGGTGATATATTCAGTAACAAACACGATTTATACCTAAGTTGGCTTGAAAATAAAATAACTAAAGACTGAAAAGTGACAAGATATAGCACTGCTAAAATCATTTCAATTTTAACTGCAGTGATAAAACACGTAGGCCTATATAGTATTGAGCGGTGAATTTTACTGTAAATATTCACAATTTAGCTAAAAGATATAAATAAGACAAAATAAATGTGACAGAAAAGGTGCTTCATTATATTTAAAGGATAATCTAGGAAGACTAGGCATAGATTTTTTAATAATATAGGCCTATTTTATCCCGCCTGTGAGAAAGGGATGCCGTGTTTTGATTGACATCTTTAATTGTGCCTTTCTTGTTTATACTCTCACTCACAACATGACTATGTTGGGGTACACAGTAAACTATCGCTCACCGCATGACTATGTGGGGTACACAGTAAACTATCGCTCACCGCATGACTGTGGGGTACACGGTAAACTATCGCTCACAGCATGACTATGTTGGGGTACACGGTAAACTACCGCTCATAGAATGGTGTAGTACAGTGATGGTGTAGTCCAGTGATGGTATTGTACAGTGATGATATAGTATAGTGATGGTATAGTACAGTAATGGTGTAGTACAATAATGATGTAGTACAGTGATGGTATAGTACATTGTAGGTGTAGTACAATAATGATGTAGTACAGTGATGGTATAGTACATTGTAGGTGTAGTACAGTGAAGGTGTAGTACAATGATGGTATAGTACATTGAAGATGTAATACAGTGAAGGTGTTGTACAGTGATGGTATAGTACATTGAAGATGTAATACAGTGAAGGTGTTGTACAGTGATGGTATAGTACATAGATGGTGTAGTACAATAATGATGTAGTACAGTGATGATATAGTACATTGTAGGTGTAGTACAATAATGATGTAGTACAGTGATGGTATAGTACATTGTAGGTGTAGTACAGTGAAGGTGTAGTACAGTGATGGTATAGTACATTGAAGATGTAATACAGTGAAGGTGTTGTACAGTGATGGTATAGTACATAGATGGTGTAGTACAGTGAAGGTGTAATATAGTAATGGTCTACCAGAGTAAAAGTGCTGCATGTGGTGTAATGGTTAGTACACTCCCTTCCTGGGGTACAGTGATATATGGTGTTCTGATACAACTGTGGTAATGTACACCCCCCCCCCCTCCCCTATGACATGGTGATTATGGTGTAAGCATTCCACACAGTGATGGTGTTAACTAGTTTTACTGACAGTACAGTACTGTGATGTTTGCCACATTACATATTCAAAAATACTCATATGTACATTATATGCAGATTGATATTGTAGATGAAAATATATAGAAACTGGTATGTAGAAACAGTATATAAAAATGCATTTAAATATATTAATTTAGTCTTGTCTCATGCAGGTATGTTGATACTGTGGTTATGGATTGTGAGCATACATGCAGGCTTGGTAGCAGTCAGGTGTGGAGACCCCAATTCCATATCTACAGCAGAGAACACCCATGGTCAAAGTGGCAATGATCCAGCCCATCACCAACATTCCCACTTCTCACATGAGCACATTGTCTCCCAAGCTGGTACTAGCCATATCCATCCTCATACTTCCTGCAGTGAGAAGAATGACTGTAGCTCGATGGATAGAGAGCGTGGACCAGTTGAGGTATATAAGCAACCTGCTGTTCCTACTGATCACAAAAGACTTGTTGCCGCTAAAAAGCTGGTGTCGTTCTCAGAGAAAAGCATGATATTGGGTGTCGGTACAGCATCTCAGACATCTGGACATGAAGGTTTATTTAATGAATGGTTAGTAGATGATAAAAAGGGATATATGGATTCCACAGAAAGCATAACTGAATATCACAGTAATAATCAGCAAACACTGATACAGGATGAGAGTGCTGATGATATGTACAAGCATTCTGAATTAGATGAAGATCATGACGAGTGGGCCACCAATGAAGCTGAAGATACTCGCTCTGCTGTCAGGATCCTCCGTCGCGGAGGAGACTTTGAAGAGTTCATTGAAAAAGGACCCATTGTGATTGTTTACTTCTATAAAGATGGTAAAATAATACTGTACACTGTCAGTAATTATAAAATCATCTTCAACATTTTACAAACCTACTAAAACATACAGTTATTCATAATTGTTTTTTTATTTACTTTTTATTTCTTGTCTCATTTTCCTTTGTGATTAGACATTGTCACATTATTCATCACATGTTAATTTCTTCATGATTTACACATAGAGCCAAGTGCACAAGCATGTTGTCAATTTATTATTCAAAGTCTGTGGGATTTGTGTCAATACAGTATTCTATATTTCGTCTATTATCTAAGTAAAAAGCACATTTCTCCTGTAATATCCTCAATAAAAAGCTATTATGTGTAAACCTCCATGAAATATAAGGAAAGATGTACAATAAAGTACAGTACTATACTGTATCCTGCATTTGCACATATTCAGGATCCAACTACAGTATAATAAAACCATTTTGGAACTGTCACCTTGAGTGTGGTGTTCTACAAAATGATTTTTAGATATATGTACTGTACAGTGTACTTGTATATATATAGTATTTCGTTGTGTTGATTTTATTGTTTTACATATATAGGTGGGTCTGAAGCACTGACAAGGTTCTTGCCAGAGTACAGCAAGTCAGCACAACACCTGCTGCAATACAACGTGCTGCTGGCTACGGTCAGTACCACTCATAGTGCTTGCACCTCAGCTAGAATACTACTGCATGTGCTATGGGCACAGTGTAAAATTACACATGAATGAATCGAATCATCTTGCATGACAACAGCATGTTTATTTCCATGGTGAGGGTCATGATAATAACAACATGCAGTTAGTGTTTTCTGGCTTGCTCTTTCTCATTCCAGCAACACTAATGGAATACTTTTATTGCCTAATTTCTTAGAATTTTTCTCCATTCCAGTCAATCTTTTACAGTAGACTACTGTAATAACTTGATGTACAGCTACACTGAGGCACAATGAATTTGTTTCCTAGTTGTGAACTGCTTACTTTACTAACATGAATGCCAAATGTGGAGACATATGACTAGCCCATAGCATATGCCTTGTCTGGTGACATTATGCCCTAGCATTAACAGTCCTGAACTCTCCCATAGGTGGATTGTGCAGTGTACAAGGTGGCCTCTTACTGCACACCGGATAAGGTTAACCGATATGCATATGGCTTCCGAGACGGCCAGGAGAAAATTGCTTTTCCACTAGATACTCTCTTCAACAATAATGCCATCGTGGCCTCTGCCCTGCAGTGTGTACAACCAGTCTCTCATCCCTGTCTATCATGTCTATTATTGTTATAACTATGCAAGCTTATTATTTGAAAAATAAATACTGACTTGATCATTTAAATATTTTGTGGTGTGTCATAATAAGAGTTAATATTAACCTGAAAATTTTGTATGGAATTACAGGTAGTTTAATCATTTGTTTAATTTATTTTATTTTATATGATATAACTTGAGGTATGGAGACCCTTTCCTAATCTTCTTTCTTAGGTTGTAATAATATAGACAGAGTACTCTGTAGCACATGTGAAGGTACAGTAAGTAATTAGCTTTAATACATATTGGGGAAAACATTTTTTCTACATAATACCTAGCCTACATAGAATACCAAACATAGTACTCTATCACCACATAGGTTATATTACTGTATCTCCAATATATGAGACAGAGGTTCCCCATGCATGCAGTAGGTACTTGAGTATTATTTTTCTTTTAATTACAGTATAACTTTATTGTTGAAAGTCTGATGGAAAACATATGGATATATAGACATACACCCCACTTCCAAATTTTGCTGTGTCTACTACCAACCTTGGTCCACAGCTTGGCCTTGATCAGTGCTGTGCCCATCCTTCAAACAGCAGGGGAGAGAAGGGACCTTGAGGCCCGCTGTCGGGGTCGCTGTGATATTATTTTCTCCTTTCTGCATACCTTGGGCACCTTTGGTATGTTATGTGTGTTTGATGAGTTTGTGTGTTCCTTCCTCAACTCTTCAGTAAATTATTATAATAAGAATAACACTATAATATTAAGAATAATATGCTATAATATATAAATATAACTATAATATAATAAATATAATGTTGATTTATATAATACTGTATATAAATCCTCGATGGACTTCATTGATTATGAGAAATATAAATGGGCATTAAACTCAGCCTCCCGGGAATTCAAATCGGCCAAAAAGAACTATGAAAGAAAACTTGCCCAGAACTTAAAGAAAGATCCAAAGTCATTATATGCCTATATAAGAAGTAAAACCAAAATTAAGGACTCAGTAGGACCTCTAAAAGATGAGACTAACCAAACAATAATGGATGACAAAAGGGCAGCTAACACTCCAAATTAATATTTTACATCAGTTTACAATTAAATAAATATATAAAGTATATAATATATATCAAAGAAGAATAGTAAAATAATACTGACTTTATTTCGTATTCATCAGAGCATCGAATGTTTTTAGAGGTTGCCTACGCCCACCAAGATAAGTTTGTCTTTGCCATCACCACCTACACTGCTGGCACCTTGGGTCTAGCCAACCCTCATCCAAATGGTAATTTACATTTTCTTTTGCAAAACCTAAATTATTTTAGTAATCTAAGATTCAACTGTTGGTGTACAAAGGGGGTGTCTAAATGGCGTTGTTCTACTATGTGCGACTAGATTGAGAAACCCCCAATATCTCCCTCGTCATATAGTTGAGTGGGAATGTTTGTAAAGATCTCCACTGGTTAAGGAGTTGTGAAGATTGCTCTTGATGCTGGCTAGAGGTAACAAGGCCCAGTGTTTCATCTACACTCAGCAACTTATTATTGTATTTGAATAAACAGCTCAGTATTGTAGTGTCAGAAAACTTAGACATTGATGTTTAAATAGGTTAATTCTTAAAATACTTAAAAAATTTAACACTTCAGGTGCTTTTAAAGGCACTCTTATTCATTTTCATGAGTGAGCCATACAAAGTTACAGTATATTAATGCAACTGTAATGTTATCAACTGCAAAGTATTTTTCAGGTTACAGAGAAGATATATTAATATAATAAATAATCCTTTCTCACTGGGCCTTGCTCTCTTCATATCTGTGGGTTGGCTTATTTATCTTCAGCCATGTTATTGTGACTTGTTCTCTCTTTATTAATGTTATGTTTGCTATATATTTTTATTGGGAATTTGTGAGACCTTCTTTTAGGTTATTATATATTGATATACTGTACTGTAATTTATAATTTAGAGGGGAAAGAAGCAAAATGAGCTTCATCCTCTCTACCCCAACAGATGAGCGAGAAAACATCCTGTGGGTTATGCACTGTTCAGATAAGACAACAGATGAAGATTGCGTGGTGAGCCACTATCGCAGTAAGATGATCTTATCCCAGCTATTGGTGTTCATCCATGCCCTTCAGCTGCCCATTTGGGTGAGTCTTACATCTAGCAGTTCTCTCATGTACTGTAGCTACCCATTTAGGTTGGTTATTTTTTAGCACAATAGCCATGTCCTGTATAGAAGTTACCAGTGGTGTATGTACCTAAGAAACAAGGTAAGCATTGCTTACCACTTGGAAAATATTCCTTTCCATATGTCATATGTTATAACATATTATTTAATTTAATTGTGCATAGCATTCTGCATTTTTTAGCCTCAGATTTTCAAGTGGCATTTGCTGCTTGAAAATTTGTCCTTCAAAAATGCAACATTCCAGTTGCAGTAACTTGTTCTGCCATCTTGCAGAATAAAATGATATGCCACAGCCGGGCATAAAATGAAAACAAACAATTTACCTTGTTATTCCCCTTTTTCCAAAACCTTGTAAATAAAGTTCAGATCAGTCTAATATATTGTGTAAAACATTCTGATGTTGGAATCCCCATAATCATATTTGTTATCACCGAGTATAATTCATATTTGCTAGAGATTTGGACAATGTGAGCAAAGCATTCTCTCAGGTTCCCCTCCCCCTACTACTACTACTACTGCTCCCTACACTGACTGCTGGCAGCATTGCAGCATTACTAGTTCAATAAATTAAATCATAAATTCATTTCTGTAAATAATAATCATCTTACCTATCTGGGGAAACCATGTGTGGCTCCCTGAAGCTATACACTGAGATAGTTCCCATCTATCAGGTCACATCATTTGTGGGGTTCTTAGGCCTACCGGGGGCCAGAGCCAGAACTAGGCCTTCCCTCACAGAGGCACAGGGAGCAGTGACATTTCTCCACCTCACTTGAGAAGGCATCAGAATGCCAGTGAGTCAAAACAAACCACTGATGGATTCAAAAAGAGAGCAAAGACTGAAAACAACAAGACTGTTGACTTATGAAATAAAATACTGGGTAACATGATGGGCATGGGATTGCTGGACTGTTTGAAGTGTATGTCAGAGATTTACTATATGAATGAGTTTAGGTGGATATAAATAGGAGCTGCCTCGTATGGGCCTTCTGCACTTTTATTTAGTCTTATATTCTAATGTTTAGTGGATCTTTTCCAGCATGAACTGGCAGTATCCCCAACCAGCTCAGAAGTGGTAACACCTTACGATGGGACAGGGTTACCCTGGGTTCTGCTGTTGTATGATGCTTCATCTCGCAGCCGTGTGCAAAGTCTTGCTCCCCACCTGGCCCAGTTACTACATGGTTCTGTTGCCACTATCACAGTCAACTTGTAAGTTATACTACTAATCCATTTGAATATCATAAAAGTGCTACTTTGCCTTAAACATCTTTAGATTTGCAACAATTATTGTTTCTCTCATATAGTAAAATATTTTCATCAAATAATTTATTACTCAGTATTTAAAAAATTAGTAATGAACAACATTGGAGGATCATGTAGCATAGTGGTCAGTGCAGTGGATTCATAAATGAAAAGTGCTTTTCACCTAATGAACCTGTTTACCTACCAGTAAATAGTTGCCCCATGAGTTGTGGGTTGTATCCTGGGGACAGTTAGTCATTGGCCAAAGCTGACCTCAATAAACTTTATAAACTTCCTGTCTCCGACTATGAGAAACCATAACAGTACTGTACTTGTTTTGTGGGTGTCATTATTATTTTGATCAGAAATAACAAAATATGGCTGGTTTTATTTATACAAATTGTAAAAATATGCAATGATATGTACAAATTGCTGGTAACTGCAAATAGCCAAAACTGCAACTAAAAATTATGTGAAGAGAAAGGGTTTGCTGGACTACTAAATCCTTGCCATATTAGCTGAAAATTTTCTAATTGATTTGAATTAAACAGTTCATCGTCATGCCTTTTTTTTATAATTAAGCTATTTGTACCATTTGTTCCTGCTTTTGTTGAAACAGAGAGGCAGTGAGTGATGCAGCCCTCACCAAGTTGGGTCTGATCAGGCATACCATCACCACCCCAGCCATTGCCTTCCTCCAGTCTGGCCAGGTAAGTACTCAAGTTTGGTTTCATTTATATGTAGAAGGCAATTTTTTATAAATTTGAAGAATAATATTTAGTGGTGCAGTGGTAACACACTCGCCCAGCACCTTGAGAGTGATTTAGTCTGGGTTCAAGTCTAGGCCAGGATGGTTGACTAGGTGCTAATCCATAACTGTTCACCTTTGTTCACTAGTAGGATAAGGCTTGCCATGAGCTATGAGATGGAAAACCTCTCAGGCTGCTAATAGAAGTCGGAAGTTGTCTGTTTCTGTACTCACCTATGTAAAAAAAAAAATGTCAATTTACGAAAGCTGCATAATTTGTTGGGAAAATTCTTTTATCAGTGCTTTATTACATATGCACTTGTACAGCATATACACCACACACACAAACCATCCTGTTGCAGGAGAGTGCATCATTGTTAAATGACTACGATGATGCACTGGAGTGGGTGAATGAACAACTGACAGCCATGCTGCACCAAGTACCACTCACAAAGGAGGAGCAAGGCTACCTTCCTGTACAAGCACTGGGTATGTTTATATACTGTACTGTATTTCAAGTGTTTTTCTGATACAGTACTGTAACTAGGGAATTTATCACATTTTGTATTTGACTGCTTCCTAAAGTAAGCTGTGTGTGTGTTCATGGAGTAAACTATAGTAGCTTATTAGATCAGTAATATTATATAAGCAATACAGTAACAGAGAATTGTTCATATTGCACAATATTATACTTTTTGTTTTTAATAATTGTCTGCAGAGGAACTACAGCAAGATGATGAGGTGGTACTGGCAATGGTGAAGGAAGACAGCTTTACTAATATTCCTTCTCTGGCGGGTCCAGAACCCTACGCTTCGGCACTCAATGTCAACACACTCTCTGTTATTGTCTTTTACCTTGCTTGTAAGTTAACATAAAATTAAATATATTAATAAATAAAGAACACTTCAAGGATTTGTAATACTATAGCATCTAGTATCTATTCTTAAACCTTCCTTCTCTGGGAGGGCTTCACTTGACGGCTAGCTTCAGGGAAGCTGAGTAGGGAACACTCCAGAAAGAGCGGCTTCATTACAGTCAATGCTGGATCATTATGAAGGTACACAATGTAAGAGTTACCAGAAGAAGGCAGTACAGTAATTAAATGGAACATAATACTTAAGCCAATACCCATCAAAAAATATTAATGGATGCACAGTCAATCAAATCAATCTCTTTATTATTTTTTGTAATCTCCTTTGACCTTGATGAACTTTCCTCACTTCTTCTACGAGCTGTTAAAGTATTAATCAGGCTCCAGTGGATATCCACCTTCAATGACCTCATAATAATAATAATAACAATGGATAGAGAAATCACATTAACATGATGTATCAATGAGAAAGTCAGAAGGAGCCATGACGAGGATCCAAGCAAACTCCTTAGAATACTGTAATGGACATGATTAGAGTAATTATATAATGATAATCATGTGAGGACAGGTCTTGGGGGCTAGGTTTAAAAACTAGGTCTTGAGCCCAGGTTTAGAGGATAGATTTAGAGCCCAGGTCTTGGGGCCAAGCTTAGGGACCAGGTTTTTAAGCCACACTTAGGGACCAAATTATGGAGCCAAGGTTAGGAACCATATCATGAGACCAGGTTTAAGGACTAGGTCTTGAGGCCAAGTTTAATGAACTGTTCTGAAAAAACTTAAAATCCCATGTGGATTTTTTTAATTGTCACAAATACAACTGTCCATTATACTTATAAAGATTATTTTGGTGTTCTTTAACCATGCACACCTGCCATTTATTTATGGATTCATGTAGGCTTTACACTAATGACTGAAGAAGGCAACCTCGCTCTAGTAGAAGTTTGCTCTGATATAACCTTCCTCTGTGATACAAAGCATATTATTGTTGTGAATGAAGTTCCCAGTTCAGTGTACTGTACTTGTTAATCTCTTTCATAAGTAATATTAAAAGCAGTAGTATTGAGGCTTCTTTTTCAAGATTGTAGATTTGAGAACCTTAATTTATATTTATGCAATAAAAAGTTACACAAAAGTAAGAATAAAACTTGATATAATGTTTTCATGTAATAATATTTAGATATATGATGTTATGGTTTAATATTGTGATTGTGACAAGTGTCATATTTAACTTGTGGCTCTATTGTAAAGTTAAGATAAAAGTTATTATACTGTAATGTACTATTTTTGATTAATATACCATAAACAATTATTTATATTTACATAAATTTTGAATTATTTGTTGAAAATACAAAATAAATTCTAAATGCCCCTCTGTTGTTCCCCAAGCATGCAGGCACAGTCCACCCAGGATCCTACTAAGACACCAGACTCTCATTCACCATATCCTGTGTGGCAAGGAACTTTGCAAATAGTTGAAGAGGGGAGAAACTGTGGGGAGTACTCACAATCCATCAGCAAAGTGATTGCTCACTGTAATACAACAAAGTACCCACTCTACACCCCCATGTCTGTGGTAACAGGTTACCAGGACAGCAAAATCATTTAGCTAACCATTGGTTACTGAGCTGTCTATCACCTGACCATCACCAGGTGGCAGCACTAACTTCACAGCAGGGTTGTTGGAGCCAGCTGCCCTCATTGTGTGCCTGGCATCCATTCACTAAGATTCCAGCTGTGCAGAGGCCAATTCAGTTAAAATTATGTAGATTTTCCCCTGAGACTTCATATGCGCAGGATGTCCATTGCTTTAGTGTTCATTTCACTGGGTCATTACTAGTTGTTTGCATGTCTCTGACTATGGGTTGTTTCTTCAGTGGACAACTTCCTCATCTCATACCCAAGGGACCTGGGTTCAGTCCCTGAGCAGACTAAGAATGGTTAGGCACATTTCCTTTCACCTGATGCCTTTGATTACCTAGCAGTAAAATAAGTACTGTAACCTGGAGTTAGGTAATTTTTGTATAATGCATCCTTAGGAAGGTTAGTAATTTTGGCTTATGGGAGAACTCAATATGCCTAAGACTTCCTTTCCCTGACAATGGGAATTTAATTAAAATTTTAAATATTTCCCCTAGTACTGATTGATCAAAGACTGAAAGTCCCCAGAATTATCTTCTCTCTGGCTAGCAATATAATTTTAGCATGACCTGGCTTCTTTTGAGTTCAGCCATTGTTGTCCCTTGGCTGTACTGTTTAGCACTTTATCTGTAGTCTAGACATTGGTACTAAGCTTTTCTTACATTCACACAGCCTGCATATAGGTTCTCCATCAAGCTTTTCTATGATGACATTTTATAACCTATTGATTCATTTGAGGGTATAAATGTCCTATGATTCTGATTTCATTTGGTTTTGGATTGGGCTACTCTCTTTTCTCCATCATTGGTTTTACGGGGTTCTGTGAACACATGCCAATTACATGCCTATCATATCCAGGCTGCTCTTTCAGGCTTTGCCCTGGTTTTGTTCTCTGCTCTGTCACCAGCCATATGGTGTCTCCAGCTGTTGTTGAGACTTATTCTACTCTGCAGTTTCTCAACACAGTATATTCAATTGAATGATGTTACTGTATGTCAGAGAGGACACAAAATATCATGAAAAAAAAGAAGACCCTGGGTACGTGTGTGTAATTACACTGGGTCTGGCATGTTGTGTCTGGATCTTTGGAAAAGTACCCAGGATCTCTACTGGTGTGCTTCAGATCACCAGGTGTGTACCTGGGTTCTACCCATTTTTAGGACCAGCTAATGCACATATACATTCACCCAGGCTGTGTACCCCCATTTAATTAGGGTTTATCCAAGGAGTGATAACCAGTTTCCCAGCTCCCTAGGTGATGGTCAGGTGGTTGATAGCTCATCAACTAGAAGTTATCTGAGCAATAATTGGCTGTCCTGGTGGCCCCAATTATCAGTTGTAGGGAGTATTGAGTAGTTTGTTTTTATATTTTTGTATTGCAATGCAGTATTGCAAGCAGTCACTTTAGTGGTGGATTAAGAGTCTACTATGGTCTTCCCTTTCTAACTAGTAGACAAGATTATTTCGAGTGTTTTGTCATTGTAGGGGATTAGGTTGATGAAAGCTGGTATCTTAGCAGTGTCCTAGATGGACTCTAGAAGACTATGCTGGGAGGAGCATTTCATATATCAGGCATCTCATTTAATTTTAAAATCCGGTAATTAATAAAATTTGGATGTATTTAATGATTGCAGGGGATCCAGTCAGCAATGCACTAATGCAACACATGAATGCTGTTGCTCACAAACTTCGGAATTATGGCAGCCAGGCTTCCATGCATCGTATCAATTGCTTTGATTGGCCTTATCTTTGTGATTCTTTGGGAATTACTACATATCCTGTACTTCGTCTCCATCCTAAAGGAAGACGTAATATTACTTATGATGGACCAATCCACAGAGATTACATTTTAAAGACTATATTGCTGTAAGTGAAAAAACATTTATTGCCTTGTATATTCAGTTAATATTGTTCTGTGTACATGCTGCACAATGATATAATTCATGTTCCTCACTATATTCTATACTGTTTCTGAAAAATAGCTTTAAATAATATTTTATCTAATGTAAATTCTACTTAGCAGGAGCTCAGTGTTAAATTTCTGGAGGAGCCTTCGGTGACTCTCTGAGTTACATCAGCAATAGGAATCCTGTTTGTCCTGCTTAGAACCTGAGCTAGAACCGGAATCAACAAACAGAGGCACAGGGAGCTGGAATTTTTTTTCCAGTACAGGTAGTTCCTTTTGGTTTAGGGGTGGGATAGGAGTCTTCCCCTCGATCCCATGTTGTCATAGTGGCATGGTTAGATTTAGGCTTGATTGAGTTCCTTACTGCTCCTCAGTTGGGTTCCCAGTTTTTCCAGTTCCATTCCTATGCAGTTTTGGCAAGCCTGCAGTCCATTTACAGCCTCTTAGGTCTGTACATATTTGTTCCCTGACCAGTCTTCCACATAACCATTTTGTTCGGGTTCACCTGTTTTTGCAAGCAGATTCCTGGGTGGTGTTCCTGGATCTTCTAGATGCATCTTAGCATATTTCCTCTTCACCAGCAGTTAGGGACCTTGTTGGGGTTTCTTGTTGGGATTTTTTTTTTTTCTGGCTGGTTTGGGCTCCATGCCTGTCCACATACCAGCAAGCCAGGGTGCTGGTTATTTCCTGGCTTATCAGGGGGTTATGTTTCATTCTCAGCTTGCCGAACTTGCCAAGTTCGGGTTCTTGGTGAACTAGTGGAAGTCCCGGTTGGTTTACACCTAGTTGGGTCTCCTTTGGAGCCCCTGGTTAGCTGCTCTCTCTGCCTCCCGTAGTTTTGCTCTGCCTGCAGCAGCATTGCTGGTGCTGTTGAATCAGCCCCAGGTGACTTGTCAGTTGATTGAATTGTTGTGCAGGAACCCCTGGAACCTTGACCTTATGGGTAGAGGTTCTGGGGCTGCCTAGTGGTGGCTATTGATACTAATAGGTTGATGCTAGGTAGTGGTAGATGCCATTATCAGGTCATGTGATAATGGTCCAGGTCAGATGAAAATGCCATCACATCTGTTATTTTCAGGTTTGTGAGTTGGGTGTCTCGTATTTCGTTATCTTTAGATGCAGATATAACACTGTTAAGCAGATGATGAATCACAATAACATGACTGAAGATATGATGACCAAACCACACACCAGAAGATGAGGAGACAACGATCTTTCAGTCTGTCATGGACCATTATCAACTTGATAATATTCCAAGACGGACCGAAACATCGACATCTCTTGATCTTCTGATGTGTGGTTTGGTCATCAATACTGCTAGGAATCGATCAACCTAGTCTCCTAAAATGATAGTACAGTTCTCATAGTAACTACTTATTTGGTTGAACATTCAAAATGGACTTCTGCAGCCAGCAGTGTTCATGTCTTATACATTTCTGTTAATTTTGTAGAGGGTACAAAAAAACTTTAACATTCCTAGGCCTAGTAGGGTACATATTTGTACTGTATTAATCCTAGCATACCATATACAGGCCTAAGATTACATGGAGAGCTTGAGTTAGGTAGGATCAGTTTTTAGTTTGCTAATTTTTTTAGTATACCATTTGGTCTAATTCAATACTGTACTGTGATTCAAAACTCTTCTGGTCCAACAGTCCATTTCTTCATTTCTTCCATTTCATTTTTCAAATTGTTGCTATAAGTACTATCATTATTGGAGGGTGGGCTGGAATTTATACATAACACAAACATGCTAATCATACTATAAATTATATATCATAGGACCGAGAGAAGCACACCTACAGAGTTGACCAACAGTAAGGAATTGGAACAGATGCTGACTCTAAGTGAGGACATTCACCCAGCCTGCAAAGTTACCTCCTCTGCTGCTGTTGGAATATTCTCTTCAGTTAAAGGTTGGAAAATTAAACAAAAATACTAAAAATAATCTTAAAATTAAACAGAATTTTCTAATGGAAAAACACCAGCATTATAAATACTGTACTACTGAAATTACATATGTACATCTGTTACATTGAAAAATTATTTTAGCATATTTTATTGAAAGGAATATTTGTACAGCCTGTACTTGTGAATGTGCTACAAAAGTTACTTAATGCTTAACCTGCTGACATACGTAAATCTGGAGAAAATATTTTTGTATGTGATACAGTATAAGAATGACAAATTGTATTACTGCTATGGAAGGGAACTGTAGCTGGATGTGATACTTGAAGAATCATTTTGTTTGCTGCTTCTGGTAGGATTGCTTGTCTTAGTGCTTTCTTTCCCCCCCTCCCCCCCAAAAAAATAATAAAATAAAATTATGCTGAATGGAACCGTTGTGTTGCTGTTTATGCTCTGTTATATTAAGTGATTTCTTTTATAGTTTTCAGTATAATGTATTATTAATATGTACTATATTATGTACTGTATTATTATTATTATTATTATTATTATTATTATTATTATTTGCTTACAGATGCAACAGCATTTACCGAGGCTTCTCGTGTGCTGGAAGGCAGCCATCTCTTGGGCCAGCACATTTTACCTCATGCTGTTGATACCTGGTTAGTGCCAGCTTATATTCACTGCTTATACTTTTTATGTCATGAATAAATATTATTCACACAAATTTGTATATGGGCATGTGGATAGCAATTTGTAGCTACAATTTTGTAAATTTAATTGCACAGTTATGCAAGTTCTAACTTTATTCACATCATATATTGCAGCATATTAAACAAAAAGCCTTTTTACACATACTGGAATTCTAAAAATTGAGGCAAGTTGAACATTGTACAGAGTAACTTAATGGTTTGAATTTGTGGTTTGGATTGCTCTGTCCAGATCCCCTTCCAATAGCATACACACAGTTAGTTATAGCCCAACTTTTGACTTTTGGGAAAGTGCTCTATATATGGCAGGTTTAGAATAGTCAGGCAGATGGACTTTCCAGATCTCATCCGATCTGCTCAGAATGGGCATTGGCTATTTTAATGTCCCAATTGATCTACAACACTTTGGTAGGTTTTGATCAGTTCAGGACAGCCTGGAACCACAACACACATATATGTCTCTAATTCAGAACTGCACAAATTGTATTTGTACAAACTGTTGGTACAAATATCATTCAACAGAATTAACTGCTCAGAAAATGTACTTTGAAGTTATGAAAAGCTCCTTTCTGAGCATATTATTCTTCCACTTACAATTCCTTCCTGCCCCACTCCTGTAATTGAGGTACTATACACTCTTTACTTGAACTAGGATATACAGTGCGGTATATGAGATACTTGTGGGTAGGTGAACCTTGGATCACAGAAGATACTGCCACCTGGTGGCGGTGCAGTGTAGCAAGCAGTTTGTTGTAATTGGTTAATAATTAATATTTACATTCCAAATGATTACTGTATTTCAAAAATATCTTTTTCCTGTACTTTTCTTACTTTGAAGGTGTGAGACAAAACGAGGTTGTGTGGTAGTATCCAAGCCTGGCGACAAATTTCAACCCAGAAAAATACTTAATAAGGAAGTTGAGAAGTCTGGGGTCATCATTAACTTTATCCAGCATGCCTCACTCCCAGTGATGGTTAGTCTCTCCCCTGCCTTATTATTTTGGTTGTTCCTATGCATATGGTTATTTCCTGTTTTACTCTTAACCTTACATTTCAGAATATTAATTAACACTGTAAGGAGGCACAAAAAAATGGGGGTCTGTGCTTCTAAGCTGTACCCTAGAGTACAAGCTATCAAAACCCATTCCTTACTTCTTTACTTGAGGTATTTGTATGTTACTTTAAATCAGAACTACAGTACTAATGAAAATTATAAACACCTCAAATATGAGATTATAGTAAACACTTCGGGCTACCTTGATATGAATTTAGGGCTTAGCGTCTCTGCGGCCCCGGTCTTCAACCAGGCCTCCTTGTTGCTGGACTGGTCAACCAGGCTGTTTGAACACAGCCTGACATATGAGTCACAGCCTGGTTGATCAGGTATCCTTTGGAGGTGCTTATCAAGTTCTCTCTTGAACACTGTGAGGGGTTGGCCAGTTATGCCCCTTATGTGTAGTGGAAGCGTGTTGAACAGTCTCAGGCCTCTGATGTTGTACACCCAACAACACTGATGCTATCATTTCAGAACCCTCTCTGTCCTTGTGGGGTGTGGGATGCTACCCTCACTAAAATGTGCAGGAAAACTTTACACATATACATGCATAAACAATTACTAATGCTCAATTTAACATCCTTGCAAACACTTACAAATGAAACATAAAAATTTGCAAAAATAAAACAAACTGGTATTTTAACTAAGAGGAACAATTAAGTTAATAACAACAAAAGCTAGACCTTAGATACTAATCAAACAACAAAAGCTAGACTTAATATTAATATACCAGTCATTACACCAAATTCAGTATTACTTTAAATATATGAAAATGTAGCCTCAGGCAACATTAATATGGTAATGCAGTTAATGCCTTTACATTACCTGCTAGTTTTTTATGTGATATTTTGAGTAAGTATCACTGTATTAACTTACAACACTTGTGTATTATCATAAAAGGCAGATTCCTATAATATTGAAATTGAGCAATGCTGTCTGTATCTTGAAAATTTCTCTTCTTATTAACTTGAAACATAAAAACATCAATGTCTGTTCACAAAATTGAGCTTTCTGTTGATATAAAGATGTGTAGCCCCATAGAAGCCATATACTATACTGTATACAGTACTGTATATAGAGCCCAGCAGTTAGCACGGTTGATTCACAATTCTCAGGCAGGACAAAATGTTTGGGCACATTTCCTTACACCTGATGCACCAGCTCACCTAGCAGTAAATATGTACCAAGGTGTTACACAACTGTTGGTTGCATCATGGGAAAAGATTAATCGCTGGCCTAGGAAGATCTCAACAAACATAAAAGGCTGCATGGCATGTCCCTGACAATAAAAATCACATAATGTACAGTATAAATTAAAAAAAAATGAAATGCAGTATTGATTGTTGGTAAGTGGACTCCAATAGTTTATCTCTTAAGCTTACTATAGCTTGTTAGAGAGGTTTGGCTCTGGAGGCAGCTTATCACTGAAGCAGATGAGTAATAAGGGAGTGGTGAGTTGAGAGGCAGCCTTGGATGACTTACTAGTCTTTGCTGCAAATATCAAGCAGAATTAGAAGCTTTATAAAGACTACAAATTATAAATGTACCCATCAACCATTTATTATCATCACTTGTACTCTACTCTTTATAAATCAAAATTTAAATAAATTGAAATAAAATGCAGGCAGGCCATTAGTCCCAGTTAGATTTTAGATAAAGCCTTAAGTGTGGATTGGAATAGTGTTTAATTCATTTGTTATTAGTTTAGTCATTAGTTTAGTTCATTTAAGAGAAAATTAGATAGTGCAATTGTTGCTAACAAGTTCTTTTCTATGGAGAGCCCCTCAAGCTCTGGGTAGCTTCCGGGGCTCACCCAGAAAATGGCGTTTCATTACATTCAACGCTTTTTTTTGCTTTCACATTTAGTTTTAATTTCCTTGATTAGATTATTCATTATTTTGGCAGCTGCCAGACTTGCTTATCATAAGTGCATATAATGTATGTATAGTGTATGTGAATAGGCTACACATGCGGTATCTTGTTACCTTGTTACTGAACTGCCATTTGTCCACCAGGTGATTAGTGTTAGCTCTCAATATATATAAATTAGATGCTTAAAATATTAATACTAGTACAGGTACTTGGGTTTCACTGGTAATATGTATTTTCAGTAATTTCAAAGCATATATCCTGTACATGAAATTACTGTAATTAGAAAATACTTTTTCTGGGGAGGAGCTTCTTGTGGCTCTGAAGCTATCTAGGTGAGATGGCTCCCAACTACTAGATTGCATCAGCCACAGAGTTCTGTTTGCCCTACCAGAGCCCAGAGCTGGAACCTAGCCCCTTTCACAAGAGGTACAGGAAGCAGGTGAGGAGTTGTTGGGGGAGTTCATTTGGCAGGTTGTGAGGTTTCAGTCTCTTTAGAATCCAGCAGTGGTTTGTATTGGTTCACTGACTTTTTGGGAGCCTTTCCTGGTGATGTGGCAGTGTCACATGCTCCCTGCGCGTCTTGTGAGAGGGCCAGGTTCTGGCTCTGGTCCCTGGTAGGCTGAACCGAACTCTGAGGCTGATGTGATCTAGTAGTTCTGAAATAGCTTCAGGCTACCATCGAGGCTCATTCAGAAATTGACGTTTCATTACATTCAGTGCTTTTTTTTTAGGCTCCATTGGATCCGGAACGATATTCAGCTTTACAAGTAGGAGTCAGTGACAATGATGAACTCCCCCATGCAGATGAACACTCCCAGGCTGATGAACAACACCTCATCATACTCTTCTTACCTTCCAATTACTCTCTCTCAGTATTAAGAGAAAAGTCAGCCGATGCTTGGAGGTACTCTTCAGAGCAAGTGCAGGGAGGCAGGAATCAACTCAACAAAAATGAAGATGATGACCATTCTAAGAACCCCGATGATATGTGGAGCATAGTTGGTCAATTAGCAGCTGAACTATCAAAACCTGGATTTATATTTTCCTGGTTGCTTTGGTAAGTATCTAGTATTGAAAGGAATGCATTTTTTTATCATTCAATAATTTAGAAGCTTACTCTGATCTATTTTATTTGATTTAGGTATTTATGTCACTCAGGAATGAAAATTGGCATGGTTATAATTAAATTTCTGTACTGAGTATCTTTTGGGCCTAGTGATGACCCTCTGGCAGATGACTTACTACCGGTCTATGGATTGTCTCCTGGAGTGAAGTCTCTTGTAGCTGTGAATCAAAGGAAACACACAGTGAACATTTTTACAAAGAGAGAAGCCACTAAGGCCACTATTAAAGATTGGCTCAAAAGGCTTCGAGGTGGACACCTCCAACCATCCAGTAAGTTTGTCATTATCAGCTTTAAGCATTTTATATTTATTTATTTTCTGTTCAAAATATTCAATAAAATTACCAAAATGCTTCTTCATAGTGTTGTAAATCTAAAATTTTCTTGATAAAAATCTAACAGTGAAGAGTGGGTAATAAAGGTACTATACTGTCCTGTACAAATTAAATATTTATTTGCTTGCTCTTCTTAAGTTGAATTGCCAAAACAAGAGTGGGTGCCTCGTCTGCCAGGATTTGACTACCTCAAGTTTATGCTTGAAGACCAAGATCGTGATGCAGAAGACCACCTCATACTGGAGATGGAAGCCGACCTCAGTGCTCATCATCAAGGTAACACAAAAAGGAATGTTGCCAGTACTTTTAGATCTAGCATCCAGCTAACATCTCATTTACTTTGCAGTGGCCAATTAAAATGAGATTTCTTATGTTTTAATAGTCATCAGAGTTTTGGTTTATTTGTTCAGTACATTTCCTAAACATTTTTTGAAGGAAGTTTGAGTACTTTGTGGCATCCTTTAATTACTCTTAAGGGAGGTCTACCTCGGTACTGAGTTGATCACTTTTCCTAGTGCTTCCCACCTTATAGATGGGGCATAATGGTCCTATTCCCTGATAAGCAATACAAGTGTTATTGGTACCTGACCAGTAATAGCCAGAGTGGGATAGCTAAGGAGAGCTATTAAGGCCAACCCCAAAAGAGCCATTTTATTATACTCAATGCTCTTTGTTTTTTTCTTAGAATCTGCACAGATTTGAATTATATTATGTTGATAGTGTGTAGATGACATATGAATTGAAATTACTGTATATTAAATTAATATAACGATACTTATCTCTCGTGTGCATAACTTGCAGGGGACAGCAGTGAAAATAAGAAACATCCTCATGAGGAACTTTGAACAGTATGTGAGGTCCTTATCAATTCTCTACAACCTGCTGTCACCATGGAAAATATAGAGACTTTTATTATATATTTTCAATGATGAATCAAGAGCCCCATGATCTGCCTCAGTAACAAGAGTGCCATGATATACATCTGTAACAAGATCCCCAATGAATCATCTCTAGCAAGACCCCCATAATTTGCCTCTAGCAAAAGCTTCATTGTGCACGACCACAAAAACTTCTTTAATTGTGACGTGTATTCAAAAATTTTTTGATATATTGCTAATACTGTATATGATTTTATGATTTTCTGTCTCCATAGACACTGCATAGTTTACTTAAAAAGAAAATTACTGTATTGTATTTCAGAAAGAACAAGTATACAATATGTTGATTTTCTAAGAGTGCAATAATGATTTATTTGATTATGTTGTCATAAACAGTACAATATATTAAATTTTGTACTTTTTTGTATTAACCAGACCAAGGAAGACATATTGCCGTGTAGGAAAATCAAACCACCTTGTGAATTTTTTAAACTTATGTTTAAAGAAGTGAATATCTGTAAATATGTTCAACAGTTGAGCAGTTGTAATGTCTAAAGGCATTACATAAAGTTACCTTCATTATCAAAGAGTTCACAAAGGATCCAAATAGTGAACAAATAATTAAAGTGATAAATGACATTAAGCAGTATTTATTGCACATTTATTGTATTTATTTGTTTTACTTTAACGGTTCATAGAAATCAGTAAATGTGATCACACCAACTACTCATTTGACAAAGGGAATTAAAGCCAAGAAAATGTCAACAATATTCTTTCCCAATATCAGTATCAGTAAAAGCTAATGATTTATATAATTTTTTGTTTATTGAAACATTCATTGTAAAAAATATAAATGCAAATTGCTGGTCAGTCCTGTGTCTGAATCATTTATATACAGTACTGTACATAGTAAATAATAGGTCCTGGGACACAGCCCTGCGGCTCTCCACTTGCATTGGTGTTCAATTTGTATTTCAGTTCATTAAATGCTAACTCATTGTTTCCTTTGAAATAACCATTCCCATGTCCAACACAGGATAGCATCTCTCCTTCCCACCCTATACCATGAACCTCTACCTTTCTAATCAGTGTTTTATGTTTTGGAAGAACCTGCTAAAGTCAGAGTTCACAGTATTACAATCCTTTCCACTATCAACTTCCTCTAATATACTAGAAAAGAGTAAGATTAATTGTGTCCAATATGAGCAGCACATAGTAAAGAATGTAGAATACTGCACTATATGTATAAAATACGACTTGATATCAATCAGCAATAAGAAATGGTATGATCAATCTGTATGTAAGTACAGAATAATACACTACTGTATTGTAATAACGTATTGATAAGATATATAAAGGCTCAGATTACAGTGGCTACATAGTATCCAGGTACAGTATTTGTGTATTTTATAAAGCTACTAATAATGCACAACATTTTGGGCATAATTTAAGATAATGAGTGAGATGAGCCATTTTTGGAGTAATACATAATAGTGCATGAGAAATATGCTAATACTGCATACTGTATATGAATGGTTAAAGAAGATTTAACAGGTAGGTTTAGAGGTATATTATTATATTCTCCTTTAATAAATAAGCAGTTCAGATAGTGCCACTCAACCTACAAGAATAAAGAACACAGATTACCTCAAGTTGGTATGAATAAACCTTTTAAATAGTATTAAAAAAGGAATATTAAAACGGCATATTTTGTACAGGAAACTTATGATCTATTTCACAATTTATCTAAAAACTAGCTACTGGAGGCATACTTCAATATCCCTATGGAACACAGTTATTAAAACATTCACGTTCTGATGAACACCTCGATACCATTTACTACATTTAGTTTCAGGTTTCTATGACGGTGTGTCATCAAATCCAAAATATTCTCAATATATTTCACTAACCATTATTTCTGTATCATGAGGCAGACTATTTCAAATATTGTTGGAGTGTACCTAGGTACCTAGGTAATAAAAAGTACCTAATTTCATCCTCATAGTTTCCCACCTAGTGCTTCAAACCCGCACTGTATCTTGTACAGTACTACCCACTTCCCCAATATTAGTACTGTACTTAAGACATATCTTTACCAGTGTAATCACCTCTGTCAATTTATATTGTAGTTGTTTTTATTTATTTATTTATTTATGCATATACCTGAATGTACATAAGGAATGTGAGGATACAAATATGGTAATTACAGTCTTGTAAAGCCACTAGCACGCGCAGCGTTTCGGGCAGATATTTGTTGATATTTGTTGATATACAGTAAAATCTTGTTACAATGACCTTTTCATCTTACCTGATATGTTAGATTAAGAACCTGCCTGAAACGCTATGCGTGTTAGTGGCTTTGCAAGAATATACAAATACCAATCTTATGTAATCTCACCAACCCATTGTACCTTCTTATGAATAAATTATTATTGTTATTTATTATTATGTGCCATATGTAAATAATTTTATTACTGTATCCAAGGACAGCACTAAGCTAGGATGGCTATGTAGCACTGTGCCATATATAATCCATAGCCAATAAAAGCTATAATGTCCAAATACAAGCCATTATAGGAACTGCACATTTATTTTTTTATTTTTTATAACAGTGTAGCAACTATATAATATACTTGCTCTAAATTCTCCTTAGCTTATGTGCAGGTAATGAGATGGGTAGCAACTATATAATATACTTGCTCCAACAGTAAAAAGCAGCACCATAAACGAAAATTTGCATTAATTAAAAAATACCACTGATCAAGGCTCGTGCATTGGTTCCCAGTAGACAAGACACTTCATATGAAGCACATTTATATAATAATAATTTTTTACAAGAAGGTACAATGGGTTTGTGAGATTACATAATATTGGTATTTTTACTTTATTGAAAAGCCACTAACATGCATAGCATTTCAGGTAGGTCTTTAATCTAAACAAGTGCAGTCATCAGGAAGACAAACCCTTCATGCAAACTGCACCTACTATCAAGACGATCTAAACAGATCAGGTAAGTAAATAATTATCAAAAGAAGGCACCAAGCCGGGAAGGTTATGTACCACCATGAGATCAGCTAAGATATAAAATTTTGTATCAATATACAACTACAATTTGGGAAGGATAAACAGGTGATATCGCAGTGAAAAAGTGTATAATAGGGGAATGAATGTCTGGCAAACTAACAGAAACCAAAGAAAGCTAAAGAAACAAATCAGAATGTATTTTTAGATAGAAATAGTGTAGTAGCACATGAAGTGACCAGTGAAGCAGATACTGTACTGTTGTGTTGTTTAAGATTCAGCTACTGGGAACAAAAGTTCCAAGTAGCACAGGCTATGGTGACCCCGTAGTGGACTTACCTGACACAGGAACGGGGCTGTAACTTTGATCAACTGAAGCAGATACTAATCTTAGGTGAACCCTTCACTGATACAACCCTCACACACCAGCTGGTGGCGAGAGAACCCTTCATCCCACCTCACCATCTGCCCTACCTACAGTGGTGGCGAAAAGATTATTGACGACCCACAATGCCTATCAGTGTCAAGTGGAGAAGCGAGTCGTTATGAAATTGATGCAAGCTGTACTAAGCTATTGTACCTGCTGTGTTGCCAGAATTTCACAGGGACAGTTAGGAAAGAAAAATAAGATAGATATGGAGTGTCCTAAAGATATAAACCCATCAATATATGGAAAAGACCTATGGCATTAGAGGAATGCATAAATTGGAGCAAGGAAAGACCATTAGTATAGTAGAACTCAGAAAAAGCATGAATGAACTAGTGAGGGACAATGCAAAATGGAGAAAGAGGTAGAGGGGAGAAGAAATACAGGTACTGAAAGAAGAGGTAGCTTTCCTGGGAAGACAGGTATAAGAATTACAAGAGATGGTAGACAAAAAAAGATGAGGTTATTGAAGGCCTTAAGGTAAAACTTAACAGGAGTGACGAACTCTGCAGTGCAACCTTGAACCAAGTAAGAGAACTGAATGAAATAAATTGCAAAGCAGAGGCAAGTGTGAATAGGTTAAACAGTGGAAGTAGGTAAAGAAAACAAAATAACAGGAGAGAATTAAGCAAATAGAAAATGTAACGGAGATTTGGGGAATAAGGCCAAACAAAACCTTTCCTGAAGCAGCAAAAGGTTCAGAGGGAAAGAAGATAATTAAGGAAACAGGGTTAGAGTCTATAAAATGTTACTTAAGTCATGAAATGTACAGCAGGAGTTGGAGAGGGAGAACTCTGTGGTAATAGGTCAGATGGGGTCTGACCTATTACCGGTCTGATCGGTCAGGAGTAATAAACAAGAGCAACGGTTTCAAACTAAACAAGTCACAATACAGGACTGAGAATAGGAGATGCCTTTTCACCCACAGGATTATGAACCAATGGAACCGCCTACCCGCCGAAGTCGTAAATGCCTTCCCGCTAGTGATCCTCAGGTAAATTAATAATAATCTTATCAAATAGAAGTTCATGGTATAATATATATTCCCCGAATCATTTAGAACCCAATGAATTTTTTAAGACAACAGTAGAGGAGAAGTATAGGAGCAAAATAAAAAATACAAAGTGAAGTGCGCGGGGCCGGGCGAGCCCGCGAGTACTGTGCAGTAAGCGACCAGCGTCAGAGCGGGTGAGGCGGTGATTCGCTCTTGTTTTCAAACACTAGAACGAATCTCAGACGGAGGCGGTGTAGTAGTGTGATCCGTAGGTGACCTGCACGCTTGTTACCTCCACCCTGGCACCTCCAGGCACCTGCTGCTGAAGGTGAGACTCGGTGTGATGGCTGGCAGGAAAATACCTCAACCTTCACTACGTTACTCTGGCAGAAAATGCCGGAAGAGGTCGCGATCATTTATTGTCATATCAGCAACACGCTCCCCTGGGGCTCCAGTTGAGGCGACACACGTGGTGATGGTGCAAGTGTTTGGTGTGCTGGAGGACCTGCCTCGGTGGTCCTGTTTTGGCTTCTCTTACTTCCTGTCGGGGAGCTTCCCAAGTGGTCATGTCTTGATTACTCTCCCTGTCGGGGCTTTCCTTACTTCTATGAGAGGAAGTTGACATTGTGCCAAGTGCCAGGCAGCGGTTCCCATAAAGCAATTACAAACATTATAAGTACATAATACTGTATCGTAAAGTAAACTTAATGCACATCTTGGTACCAATGCAAGGAAAGTCACTGAATGTTAGCATATGTTTGATAGCCAAATTTCCTTCATGTTAATCTAACCCAGCTGAGTTGGCAAGTGGAATAGATTTAAATTATTATACATGAATTAAATCATATACAGGTGCAGACGGTGAGTCACAATAATGTGGCTGAAGATATGATGACCAAAACACGCACCTCAGAACATGCTTTTGTGATTTGGTCATTTTCTCTCCAATATGTACACAGGCATTTCAACCAGGCTGGTCCATCCACTTGGACTCTTGGTAAAACAATAGCCTTGCATCTGGTAAAGTTGTAGGGTACTTTTCCTTCACTCTTCCTATCCTGTCCTCAAAATAAGTCCACTACAGGATCACCATAGCCCGTGCTACTTGGCATTTTTGTTCCGAGTGAGCAGCTGAATCTAAAATGACAACCTGTCCTCATATCCCTTCCATGTGCTATAGTCATAATAGCTTGGCATTTTCTGCTGATATGTACCTTCAATAAAGCTTATTTTCTAATTATCAAATCTATATGTATTGTTATGATTGGTTAGGTTAGCTTCACTTAGTTTCATTATGGTTAGCTTTTAAAATCCATTGGTGAACCATCTTTGGTAGGCTGTGACTTGTAGGCAGGCAAGTTGCTCCATGTCAACTTGCTCCTAACTTGGATACAGGTCTTCATTTTTTGTGTGATTACCTACCTAGCCTAACCAAACTTAACAATACGTAACTTTAACAATTAAGACCAGACTCTTTTCAATCTTTGCATACCGATTTGAGGTATGTTTACCTCAAGCATACCGATGCTTGAGTAGTGTGAGGTATTAACCATGTTGCAATGTTTCTTGGGGTTTACCCTCAACCTATCCCAATAGAACATCGCATTGTGACATACTCTACCCAAGGCCAAAAATTGTCATACAGTACTAGTAAATGGTAGCAGCTTACAGAATTGCATAAAAGATCAGTGTCTAGACTGATGGTACTCTATTTGGTCTGATTGGTCACCTCAGACATTATTGATATACAGTACCTGTAGTATGAAACGGGAAATGTAGTTTTGGATTTGCATTTTCAAAGTATGTCAGGCTATATATTTCTTTAGTTAAGAGTATTAATATTTTATTAAACTTCTAGAGAGCTGAATAAGATTTTTAATTTGCTGTTACTTATGATTTTTCTTGGCAGAATCTTATTATGGCATCGTCATCTACATCACAGTACTTACTTCGCTGGAATGACCACCTCTCCAATTATGGTGACGTGTTTTTAACACTACGAGAGCAGGTAAAGTGTAGCTAAAAGTTAAAATTGCTCTCTCACTCTTCCCTCCCTCTCTGAATTTTATATAGCATATATAGAGTTATTGCATTTCAATGCCCATTACTCAAATCTTAAACAGGTTACACTTTAAATTTCTTGTTTGTGTTCTGAACAAATGGAGTATTAGCCATAAATATAATTTAATTTATAAATTTCAGGAGGAGTTTGTGGACTGCAGTATAGCATGTGACGACGGCATTGTGGGTGCTCACAGGGTGGTGCTTGCTGGCTGCTCTTCATACTTACGGGACCTCTTCACCCGCATCGCCAATCCTCACCCAGTTATCTTTTTGATGAACACTCCAAGATCTCTAGTTATAATGTTATTGGAGGTCTGGCTTATGGGATATCTTTTTGTTTTTTATATATACAGTCTTTCCTGGAATGTTTGGAAATTATGGCTGTTGACTGTATTATATTCGGGAAGGGCTGTTCAAATATGTGATCATTGATTATACTGCACTTGCCTTTTATATATATATAAAGTTTATCACATTGGGCTATCTCACAACTTAAGAACATTTATTAAATTTCAGTTCATCTATAAAGGCCAGGTTCACATCCCTCAAAATCGGCTGCAACAGCTTGTGATGCTGGGTCAGTCTCTTCGGATCAAAGGGCTGCAGCAGGTGAATTGTATTATTTTTATCATTGACATAAATCTGAATGTTTTTATATTTGGAAAGTGTGTAATTAAATCCTTATTCTTCATGACTTGTTGCTAATTATCCTCTGCAATTTTTAGCATTAATATTTAGCTGTACCCATTATTAATGCCTTATATTTTGAGATACTGTACAGTATTTAAAAATCCATATCATTAAATTTGCTAAAGACTTAAAATATTTAACTTTGAGCATAAAAGTATGACTCCATATTTCAGTCCTACTATGTAATAAAATACAATGATGCACTGGTTGCTGGCTTGTAGTGGCACCTTGTATTAAATTCTCTACATCTCTCTCATTTTGATGAACACCAGGTTTAGCATAGCTGAGATGAGTTCTTGCCTCTCTTTCTTGTCAACTTCTTCATATGTTTCTAATACAGGTGGCAGTCATTTTGGGGTCTTGATTGTATTGCTTGTATGTTACTTTGTTCACAGGGCTGGGGAGGAGAGTAGGAGCATCCTGCTCCTACTCCCGTGTCCAGTAGTGGTGACCTGTAATTACCTAGGTGTAATTAGGTAACCATGGGACACCACAAGCATAGCTTTCATCCTGTAACTACACTTAAGTAATTAGAGGCAACACAGGCCGTGTCCTTCATTTGGTGGTTTTTGTGGAGTCTGTTGCTATGAGGTTGCCTGTTCAGGTTTGCAGCAATGCATGACATTAATATTACCTTTTGTGGTCGCACTGTGCATTCATTGGCTGGAAGGTGATGCACCAGACATGGTACACATTGTTTTACAAAGGCATGAGTAGGAAATTAAGGCTCGCTGGATTAATTTTCAATATGGCAAACGATCACCAGAGGGTTCTAATGTCAGATGTCCCCAAGGAATCAGCAGGATACCTTTATTATAGGGTGGTACAAATTGCCTAGCATAGCAGCCAAGTTCTTGAAGGTGATTGGAGGATTTTATGTTAAATATACCCAATGCATAGAATTTGGTTTTAAATGTGCTTGGTGGCTTTCCCAAGGTCCCAATTCTTTCTTCTAATGTTGTGCCAATCTTCAAAAATCATTTAAAAACATAATTGGAGCCATATTAACAATTACCATTAATACCTTAATGTTTCCCAAGCTCTATGGGATGATTTCAGTAAGCAAAATTTTAATTTAAATGTCACATGCAGGACCGCTACCAAGAGAACCTATTTGTAAAGAGATTTTAGCCATATCTAGCATATTTCCCATGCTCCTGCCTCAAAACCTCATTTCCAAAGAGAAATGGGCCCTATTTGTAAATGAAAATTGGGAAATCTCAAAATGGAAACGAACCATAGAATTTGGTTTCAAATGTGCTCGATGGCTTTTCAGAGGCCCCCCATCTCATTCTTTTAATGTTGTTCCCATCTACGAAAATTATTTAGACATGCTTCAAGCCATATTAAGTTACCGTTCATATCCTAATAACATCACAGGACACCCTAAATAAACTCAAATTACTTCTCAATTTTAAGTTGAATGTAAAATTTAAGGAAATGGTGATTTTTTTTAAATTTCATAATTTGCATTCACAGATAGCAGTACCTGTGCCTGAAGTCTCATCACCACCTAATACACTCACTCCAATGGCATTTCCACATGGGCTCCCCATTTCACCCACACCAGGAATGGCATATAGAATTCCTTCAGAAGGGTAAGTGTTTTTTTTTTTTTTTTTTTTTTTTTACCTAAGTGTAGTTACAGGATGGGAGTTATGCTTGTGTCCTGTCTTCCTTTTAATTTTTGTCGTATAACATTTTGAAACTATAGTTCAATTTCGGTTCAACGAATGTGGTCAGTGGCTTTCCCAAGGTCCCAGCTCTCTTCTAATATCCATCTACAAAAATCATTAAAAGCATGATTGGAGCCATATTAAGTTACCATTCGTACCTTCATATTTCCCATGCTCTATGGGCTTATTCACTAAGAAAATCTTAAATTTTAGCCTATGACATGATGTGCAGCTTTTGCTCCAGTCTCTGAACTCTGTCCCAACATCCTAAGCAAATTGGCACAAATCCTGCTTCAAACAAGTTCAAGGAATTGGATGAGTAATTCCAGCCTGGAAAGTGTGCTTTTCAAACAAAAAGCTGTCAAATTGAGGTTCCACGTTACTGATGGTATAACGTAACGGATGATTTGGAGCAGAGATTGCCTTTTCTTATTAAAGTTCAAGGCATTTGTGTATGAAATTCAAGGTTGAAAGTAAAATGGCTATTGTCATTGTATATGCACCATTTGATGACAAATTTGAATAAAAAGTGTTTTTGGGGTAGCTTGGAGAATGTGTGTGGATGATGCATCCTTATGTACAAGTCGTAGAGAGTGATCTGATTGGTAAAGTGAGAATAGAGCCTGAAAATGGTATTCCAGGAATGGAATGACAACAGCTTTTAAGTGAAATATACAGTACTGTATTTGCATGAAAGTAAGTTTTTATTATTGCATAATATAAATATAAGGATATACTGTACTGTATAGAAATATTATAGAACATGGTAAATTATGAAATTTTCAAAGTGTATTTTACTGTGTATGCCAAGAGATGTGCAATTGATTATTGTATTGATTCCAATAGTGGTGTTCATTGTATAACTTTGAAAATACAGTACAGTGCAGCTATACTTCATTTTGCTTGCAAATATATACAGTACATGGATATCACTTATTCGCTAATTTGAAAAGTTGACTGGTTCTTAGCATCTCCGAGCATTTGTGGCAATTGCTCTTCAGCGATTGGAACAGTGTAAGAGCTACAGAATGGATGACAGTAGTTATGATGAGTGAATTTGAAAATAGGAAACAAAAGAATAAGAATAAACATAATTTATTGGTGAGTGTGAGTAAGCAGAGTTGATGATAACAGCACCCAAGAAGTGGTAGGGAATGAGACGATGGAATCAGTTTGGCTCAACCCTTAATTCTGCTATCTATGATTACCCCGAGTGCTCCGATTGCCATATTGGAGCACTGGCAATTGCTCCAATATGGATCAGTTGCCAGTTTTCTATAAAATTTCTATATCATGCATCATGATATAGAACTTTTAAATAGTTGTGAAATTTAAAATTTAAGTGCGAATGTTTAATTTATTTTCATATTGCTCTATTTCTTTGGGCTGATATTTTGAAGTAGGGTGTGTAGATATTTTAATGCAGCAGTGTATTGTGAGGTGTATATGATTAAAGCAGTATAAACAGGCATGAAATTTTGTATTTCAGGGTATCTAATCTTGGTGTGTCCATTTTAAGTTGTGACATGAGTCAGGAAGAACAGAGGAAAGAAATTGAAAATGCCAATGTACAAGAGATGCCCGACTTGTCACAAGAGGGACAAAGACCAATCAGGTTGTCAAGAAGAAAAAAAAAACAAAATGAAAAATTAAGTAGAAAGGTAAGCCCTTGCATGCATTATGATGTAAGTTACATATTGTTAAAATCCTCTTGAATGCTTAACTTGTAAAAGTGTGATAAGGCATAAGCATATTTCTGTAGATGCTAGCATAATTATTATTTTTCTGCACTTTGCCTTTTTCTTTATCCATACTGTACCTCATAGACAAATAATTAACACTTTGGCATCACGATGACGCTCACGCAGTCATCAAAGCAATACATGCAGTTCAGGGCATGATGTTAATGCCATCAATAAATTTTTGCATGTTCTTATTAGCAAGTATAAACAGTGTGAGTGAAAAGGTATAACATTGGGTTGTGTGCTCACTGGCAACGCCTGACCTACCTTATGGTGCGATGCGGGTGGCCCGCTGGGCCAGGCAAAATGTTCAATTGTACAGGAGGGTGTCTTCCTGCCTGGGTTTAAATTGCAAGTCTCAAAACCCATGAGCATAAGAACAGGGAGAGAGGTAGTGATCATTACAAATCACTACAAATTGGTAAATGATCATTACAAATTTCTGAGCTCGGCAGAATTAAAATTCTTTCCTAACCCGCATAAGGTAATGTAGGCTGGAAAGGGAATTAGCTGCCTGTAGGAAACCACCATAAGTGACCGGTAATAAACCTGGGGGTGATTATTACCCTACCAGTATTGTCAGAAGTGCCAATAAAATTAATGTCAACTGTATATGTTAAGTTGGCAACCCTTGTACTTGAAATATAGATTAATTTAGTGTCATTGCTATTTGAATGTCATCAATTGCAGTATGTCGGCTACTAACTACAGTACTACTTTTAATTACTGTATATATAAATAAATTACAATATCAGTTTTATATAAATATTATTTTACTGTTTTCCGGTGGTCTATGATATATAGTTACTACCGTGTTTTTTCTACACTTCCTTGCAGAACAACGACGTTAACTTCCGGATGAAACGGAAAATGAAATCGTTAAAAATTGTTCATCCACATAGATATAAAGTGAAGCCTGGATACAATACATTAATAAAGAATAAATGTTATATTGCGGCTTATGCTACAGAACATGGTATCGAGTCAACAAAAAGGTTGGTTTATTAGTACAGTGTGTGATTAACCTTTTAGCTTTGGATCAATCTTTTGAGTAATTTAGTATTTTAGTAATACTTTGTTGTTAGTATCAATAGATTCAAAAGGAAAATTTTTACATTATAGGATGAGTGCAATTTTGTTATGTGGGGGTTCACTGTTCATAGTTGTATTATGTTCTACTGTATTCAGATTTTGTCTCCCAGATAAAATAAGATTCAACATAAGTGGAATAAATTAGCTCCTACTGTATTTAATGTTTGTGGGATATCTGGAGAATGTCTTCGGGCAGCTGCTTAAAACTTTTCAAGATTAACTGGATATCCATTTAACAGATTCCAGAGTTAATCAGAAGGAAAGAAATCCATTTTTTGACTTCTACCACTGGCACCACTACATAATTAAAAGGCTTCAAGGAAAACAGAAGAAAATATATACCAGTAGAGTGGAACCTCGATGTTCGAATTTATTCTGTTCCAAGAAATTCATCGTAATCTAATTATTTGCACACTGAATCTAATTTTCCCACAAGAAATAATGCATATTGAATTAATCCATTCCACACCCCCAAAAATATTAACTTAAAAAGGCATTTTATACAGAATAGTACTCAATTTTTTTTATTGCACTTTACCATTGAGGACTCTTGTTGGCGTATGGAAGATGATGAGGAGAGGTTGTGTTAGTGTTTGGAAGGGAAGTCCCCTTCCTTTATATCGGGCAGTGATGATAATTCTGGGGTGTACTCTCCTACAAATTGTAAGCATACCCCTGGAACCTGGTTGTGATTCACTAGTTGTCTCGCTGAGAATGTCTAAAGACACTTTTTCTTCACCTACATTTTAACAATTGTCTGTCTGTAGCAAGACATCACGTTCTCATTAAAAAGGTTAATACAACAGCTTTCTAAAGCTTTATCTGGGCGAGTCTTTTCAGCAAAGCTTTGCAGTTCTTCCTATACTGTGTACATTTTAATTACATGCATACTTTCTTCATGTTTACCAATGATCTCTCTCTTTCTTTTTTTTCCTATCCTCCTCACAACTATTTTCTGAGGTGGAACTTTACAAGTGACTTGGGACCCATGGCATGAGATATAATAACTTTTGTGTTCAACCACAAAAAAGTAGAAAAACAATTAAATTATTCACAGAATTTAAGTGCGGTTATCACTAAGCTGGATACATGGGTAAACTGATTGCCCTGCACCCTGCAGAACTAATGTGTGTGAGTATGAACACAACACAAGCAAGTGTTGTGCTCACAAGTGAGCGCAAGTATGAACAAGCGTTTCGTACTCATGCGCGAATGTCGTACACCAGGGCAAATTTTACAACAAAATTGTTGTATACAAAAATTTTACTCTGGCACTCGTACACAGAGGTTCCACTGTACATGAAGTAAAAGCAAATAAAGATTGGTGAAGAGAGTGGATTTATTGTGACACGAACACCTGAAGGAGGCCATATGCAGACAGGACAGAAGCAATGGAAGCGACCCCTCTTACTGTCTGTAACAATCTAGAGTTATTAGTGTGAGGCACTCTATTGGGTAAGCTAGCTAACCTATTATATCTGTCAAATTGGAGTGTGTAGGATTTGCACAGAAATGGCCGAGAGAGAACAAGGGGGGCAGGTCAATTTAAGGAAAATGTGAGGCCAGTAAAAGGGAATGCTATAGATAGGAAGCAACAATCTCCCACGAATGGGAATGTCCAATAGCAAATTGTGCTATTATGGAATCGTAGTTATTAGGGACCTGAGAGAGATTACATAAATTCTCAACAAGATATAGGCAACCGTGGAAATAATTGAATACTCAGTATTGTTATACAGTAATATAAAATATGCAGTGCTGTGATATGGTTATTATATAGATATTTTCTTTTCAGTTATGCCAAGTCCTTGTATGATGTTGATATGAGAACTTCCACCATAATAAAATGGATGAATACCTTTGATGACACAGAAATTGTTCAAAAAGCAAAAGAAAAAGCAGCTGCAAAAGCAGCTGGAAAGGAAAAAGTAAGTTAAAATTATTAATAAATGTTTCAAATTTGGGGTTCATTGTTATTATTTAGACTGCATTTCCCACTTTCATGTGTGCCAATGATTGCAGAATGTCCTCTGCTAGGTAATGTTTTCTTTATTTTATATTAGTCAAATAAACCTATCCATGCTGTCTCACCTTATATGAAGCGAGATTAAGACATAGAAAGCGTGTTAATAAAGGTATCGACTATTGAAACCTGGCCAGAAATAAATGTTTAGCAGGGTTGATGTGAAGAGATGCCTGAAAGTGCTCATAGCCAGCCCGAAATAGCACAACCAATGTCATTCAATCTTGTCTTCAGTAATCTGGATTCTCGGTTATACAGTTATCCTGGAGTATCATTGGGTTTGGATAATCAGAATCACATTATCATGAGAATGTCTTTTATTTTTATTTTTTCAAATTCCTGAAATCTCAAACAAAATGTCTCTTAAAAACAGCAGACAGTGTGATAATATTCCATGGTTGCATTATCAGTTTGAATATCTCCCACTTATTTGCCAGATATATTAAGGTTATTACCATACTGTAAAGGACTATACCTCAGGCCTGCTTCCTAGTGTAGAAAGCTTTCTTAAAACTAGTTACAGGTAAATTACCCATGTGTAATTTGTTCCTGCTCCTTAAACTGAAAGCAGCATCTGAAGGTCAAAGGTTTGACAAAATTATTCAAACTCATTTGGTGTGGGTATTAGCTGTTCCAAAACAGGCCTTATGATTTATTCATAGTAGCTCCCGAATTGTATAGATTCCCTTTATAGCTTCTGAACTTGATAAAAAGTACGGTAACTTGACTCTTAGTTCTCAAGCCATAAACATGGTATCAGTACTTGGTATGTTATGCTGTAAAGCCTTTGAATTAATTTTAATATATTACAGAAAGACAAAGGGAACCATGTGTAACCACTTCAATCTGTTTTGCAGGATGCTGTTACAAAGTTACCAGTAAATAAGGGTGATTAATTTACCTTCCTGGTTCATGAAGCATCTGGATGTTCTTGAAGACTTCTTGGTAAGTGGAAAGTAATTTTTACACTAGCATTTGTCCAACTAAAATGTGAATTATCTGTATGAGAAAATCGATAGGATCAATGAGGAGGGTTTGAACCTGCACGCTTGGCACTCCTAGGTTAATATTTCATTGCGCATTTGAAGAGAATTGTTAGAGGTAGAACTGCTGGACCACAGGCAGAGTGCATGGGGAGGGGGGAGGGGTAGTGAATGAAACACCTGATTGGGCTTCACCAGAAGCTTCAGGACCTGTAGAGGATTCAATATTATCCCAGATTGCATGGTTTTTTACTATGTCATTGTATAGTGGTCTAGAGCATGGACTGGGGAGTACCAAGTGTGTAGGTTTGAATTTCCCTCACGGCTCCTATGGTTTTTCTCATTGATACATCATGTTGATGTGATTTTATTGTGCTTGTATGAATGAATGTGATTTGGACTCCTTAAATTATGGTTGATTGTAAGAATTTACCAGTGGCTTATTTGAATGTAATGGAGAGGGGGTCGTAAAATATAACGGTGTGCATTGGAAAAATGGTAAGGAGCGGAGGGTTAACTGCCATCTTAGGTCCTGAGCGAGCATAAGTCAAGACAGGGAAGGGAAGGAATGAATCCTTACAATTCAAGTTTTTCTTTTTTTGATTAGTTAATATTCACTTTAAATTTCAACTGAGCAATGGATTGTGCTACCTGATTGTGTCAAAGATTTGGAATAGTCAGGGATGGTCCCCAGTTAACACTTTCGCGCTCTCGGCGCTCAAAAAAAAACAATACCCCAGATGCTTTCGGCACTTCGTGCGCCTACGCGGTAAGACCGAAAAAGTGTACACTCTTTTGACTGTCCTGACAATAATTGAAGGCGCACGTATTTAAATTTGGTATCACTGTGTTCGCAATGAAATTGTCTATAAGAGCATACCTATAAAATGCCGCCCAAGCATAAGGAGTATCAACACCAAATAAAAAACTATGCAGATCACTCGCCGAGAGTGCCAAACAGCAACCAAATGTTTCCACTCTCTTAATGGTTGCGAAGCCTACAGTTGTCCTACATCGCTAATTTTGGTATCCTTGGAATCGCAATAAAATTCTCTACACGGACATATGCATATGAATGTTTAATATAGGTAATTGCCCACCCGCAAGAGTGTGTGAAGTGGAGAGTAGTTAGCCGCGAGCGCACTGGCGAAAACACAGGGTGGAAATCATGCTTGGAAAGTTTATACATTTATACGTTTCCTGACCCTACTTTTCTATGTATGTATTTCTTTTTTATACCAATGTGTTCGCAATAAAATTTTCTATAAGATGAAATGTATAACAATTGTACAAAGCATGTGTAAGAGAAGCGCCAAATATAGAACCACGTCGCTCAGTATGCGTTCGCGGCAGAAACGAAAGCATTGTTTTCGTTCGTTTGATGTTTGTCATGTTTATACTTGTTGAAACATTTTATAATTTGTATGACAGTGATCGCAGTAAAATTCCCTACACAGACATATACATAACACACACAAATATTTCCCACGTGTTGGATATATCAACGGCTAAAGGGAACCCACTGCCACACTCAATTCTTTTTTGGGGATATATACAGATTCAAATTTTTCTGAAAATTTTCGGTGAGGGAGAACGAGAATTTCATGGAGAAAAATCTGAGAGTATCCCCATCCATTTCGGTTAGAAAATGGAATTTATAGAAATATTTTTTCGATGGACTACAGGCGTAGTCTGTTATGCGGAATCGTAAGAAAAAACGGTGACGAGCTATGTCTAATCTAAAGCGCGAAAGTGTTAATTAAGACAGTTACTATACTTGGTTGAGTTTGGCAGCCGACTTTGGCTTGGTTGATTACAGCTAGGGCATGACCAAATGTAAACAAACAATTACTGCCATGCTAAGTTTCATTATTGTTAACAGCAACTGATTCAATACCATGATTTAAAATTATAATTAAAATGTATAATTGATTTTTTTAATTATATTTGTATTGAGTATTTGCTTTATGTAGTGCACAGAATTTGTAACACAAGGTTTAAATGTTATACAAATGTTGTTGTACCTGGAAGGACTCTAGAATAAATGTGATTTTGATTTTCTTTTCCCAGGAGTTATGCTGTAGCCATCAGCACCAGTGCAGTTAAATGAGGGTAAATTTTCACATGAATATTTTTTTATTAATATCTTCAGTGTTCTGTATTAATTCAGTTGCTTTCTACACTGTGAAGCTTTATTCTAGCCTCACATGAAAGGCTGAACATGTCTTTGGTGGTCACAAAACTTTTATCATTTCAAAACTGCAGAATGGTAGGCAAGTACAAGCATGATTCACATTTGTCCTGGAGTGAAAATGGTTCTTATTTGTCGTCACTCGTCGTGACTTGCAGTCAAGCAGCATAATTTGATTGTACGTTACTTTATTCTCTTTCTCTTGGTATTTTGTGCACTGCTAGTTAACACTTGGATAACAAATGTTTCAAATATAATTCAATAAAAAAAATTTTTCTTTACATTTCAGTTTGTTTTTCTCATGTTTGTGAATGTATTATATGGTAATACTTGAAGGTAGTCAATGTTCAGTTTAAGAAAACTAACCTCAAATGGTGAAGAGGAAGAGAGTTTAGGTTAGTGTTATGGAGGGATAATATTGGAGGTACTGTGTAAGTGTGTGCAAGGAAGTTGCAATATAGAATTAAATCACATTTCTCTTACACAAGTGCTTCCATGGGAGATTGATACAAGTAGGTACATTACTCAAATACTGTATTTTATATTAAATTGGTTTATATTTTCGTAATGGGATACACCTCTAAGGTGTCATTTTGAACGTAGGTTGAGAATAGTTTAGACTTGTATGTGTCGTGATGTGTCATAGAGTAAACTGCAGTCTGCAAAGTGTTATTAGTCATTAGGTTATTTGGGAGAGGATGGTGAGAATGATAAATGTATGGTGGATATAAAGGTAGTTTCAACAAGTGTGATTTTTAGTGCATAGATATTTCCAGTTTAATACTTATTCGTAATACTGTACAGTATTTGAATGGAGTAAGCTTTTCAATTAAGTTGTCAAGAGTGCATTTTGATGAAGGGTTTTAAGTGCAAAATAGTAGTAGTCTAAGTTCGTGTGTGCCAAGGGTCACCATATTTGATACAGCTTTGTAATGTACAAGACAATACTTATGGTTTGGTCACCATGCTTACTCATTGGCATCCTCCCTAGCATTGAGTGAAGAATTTCCCAGCATTGCATTGATGATCAGCCTTAACATAATTATAAATATGTATATTCATGCATTTTCTTATCAAAGATATAATTAGATAACTAAGTACATGGAAATACCAATTTTTAAGACTAGTACTAGTTTAAGGTTATACATAGGAAAATACTATGCTGTAGTTTGATATACAGTATTTGGATGTTTTATTTTAGTTGGTTATTACTGATTAGTTTACCTAGTCAATACTAAGGCCTTCTGATTCCTTTCTGGCCTTAATCTGTTTCATCATCATTTATTTTTATAGCCATTGAACAAATCCAAACATAGTGTAGTGTAGTGTTTTATAGCCATTGTTTAACTTACATTTAATTTCCTCAAGAATTGTTAAGAATTGTTTTGTTACCCGAGCGTGCAGAACATTGTATGCATGAAAATTACATAAGGGACACAACATTTTATCAATTCTGTTGCATATTCCCCTCCCCCTTTTTTTTATATACTCATTATTTATATACACTACTGTATTGTAAAGTATGTGGGTTGACATCACATGGTACAGTAGAGTATATTGAGGGAGAGTATTGTTGTTGTTGTTGTTATTATAGCAATTCACATATTAGATGCCAGCAGTTAACATTTGGTTCATATACAAGACGGGTTACTTAAGCCAGCAACATCTGAAGGGCTCGAGAAACATTATGGTAAAATAATCACTGATATTGTATAAAAAATAATGTGTACATACACTCACTGTTACCAGCAAGACAAACTGGAGGATTTTGTAGTACCGTAGATATGCTCTGGTGCTTGAAATAAATTGGACAAGTTACACTATGTTCTTTATATTTTTGTCTTGTCTTTCCATTTCCTTAAGGAGAGTCTCCCATAGAATCTCTTGACATTTTAATGTATTATCATTCGGTTGTTAATGTTTCTTAAAGATTAAGAGAGAGAGAGAGAGAGATATAGTTACAAAAATCAGTCAAGTGCCAATAAGCAATGCTGTAAGGGTATTGTGATTAACCAAAGTACTATCTGTAACTGACACAAATGTCACTTACTCTTACCTTGTCATTTCTTTCCATATTGTGAATATATAAGAAGCTACAATTTCCTTTTATGGCTTTTGTCTAGTTTCCACTTAAAACATGCCTCAGTGTCCTGATTTTCAGTGTTCTACTCCACTGAAAGTTGTTCATAGAAGTTGTACAACTGCAGCGAGCAAAAATTGTAATGTGATCGACTAGTAATATACTGTGTTAAGATACTGTGAAGTGTGTACAGTATTAATTTGCTTATATATTTTACATTTAAATCATTCTTTAAATTTTGAAGGTACAGTGGAACCTCTGTGTATGAATATAATCCATTCCAAGAAATGCACTGTAACCCAAATATTTGCACACCGAGTCAGGTTTTCCCATAAGAAATTATATAAATTGAATTAATCTGTTCCACATACCCAAAAATATTTACTTAAAAATGCATTATATATACAGAATACTACTCATATTTTTTACTCCACTTTACCCTTATTGAGGACTCTTGTTGGTGATTGGAAGAGGGGGAGTGTTTGGAAGGGAAGACCCCTTTCTTTATATCAGGCAGTGATGACCTTTCTGGGGTGCATGCCTATGTTTTGTAAATATACTACTAAGTTGTGGTCTGCTTCTCACTAAAAATGTCTAAAGATGCTTGTTTTTTTGTACATTTTAACAATTGTCTGTAGTGAGAAATTAGGCATTAAAATGGTTGAGACAGTGGCGGTTATCTGGGTGAGTCTTCAGCAGAACTTTGCAGTTCTTCCCCTACTGCACACATTTCCCTAGCCTGATCAACCAACACATACTGTCTTCATGTTTACGAATGATTCTTTTTCTCTTCTATTGACATACCCACAACTATTTTCTTGAGTTGAATTTTACAATTTACTTTCTTGGTACCCATGATGTGATATACAATAGTTTTTCGGCAACAAATTTAAAGTATAAAAATGATGAAATTGTTCACTGAATTCAAGCTCAGTAATCACTATGCGGGATACACGGGTAAGCTGATCGTACCTCGCACCGCACAACCCCCACGTGTAACCCATACACGTATTACCAAATTTTTCATATTGAGGTGTACACCAGGGAAAATTTTAATACAAAATTGCCGTCATACACTGAAAAATTTGTACTCTGGCAATTGTATACCGAGGTTCCACTGTACATTACTCTATTAGTTTTAATTGCAGCTTAAACATGTAGCATTAGATCTAGTTACATGTATATACAGTGCTGGATCCCACTTCATGAGAGAGAGAGAATTAAATTCTATATTGGATAAAAAGCATGCTGGAAGTAGTCAAAATTTCAAGGATTTTTGTGTTGGGTAAGGGTAATAAAATGCTGCATGAAGATAGTCTGGTAATAAAACGGTGTTCATGATAACTGCTGATGCAAGACATGTACATCTATGATTCAAATCTATTGCAACAGATGGTCAAGATGGAATAAACTGCAGAGAAAATGATTATGTTCAGGATGGTAAGAGATTGTGAATAGCATAATATAGCGGCTGAAAGACCATTGAAGATGTAGACAAGGAAATTATCTTTAATCGCTATATAATTGAATGACGGGAAGTAAGACTGATGCCATAAAACCTAGTACAATACTGTAGGTGTTGGTGTATAATATGAAGAAATTGTTTATACCGTACTTTGATATTACAAGCTTTTATTAAATATTTGAATAGGCTCATTTTAAGAAAGCTACTTACATAGTTACATAATTGTAGAAATTAGTTGCTGGTTTCAGAATTCTCATATGTTCCTTTATGTAAATAGGATACCTATTTACATATGGTACTCGGTTAAAAAAATAATTTCAAACAAATTTTCAAACAAAAATATAGTAATCGTGGAATGTTTTTGAGTAAGAAAATGATAGAAAGAATTGACAAATTGTTACTAGTGTTATCCATACATGATTAAGACATAACTAAGGTTTATATCTTTTTGTGCAAGTGTGTGTAAATAAGAATATTCTCCATACCAGTTAGTAAGTTATTACTGTACATGTATGTGAAGAAATATATGGGAAGCGCAGTAGAACAAAAGGTATATCAGAGTTTTGAGATTGTGAGCTTTTACCCAATTGTAAATTAGAAATTAAATTTAGTAAATATTCAATTTGTGCATAACATTACTCATAACTGTTGCTTTTTATATTTTGCATACAAAACCAAAATCATGTTTAATATAAAGAAGCATGTCATATGATTTATAAGGATGCCTATTAAGTAATGGTACAATATTTAATATTTTTGTAATTGCTTACTATCTAGCTGTGTTGTCAGTCATGCAGACCCACACATTTATGTTATTTCATTATAATGTAATAATTTTTTTTTTTTTAAATAAACCTTTCAAAGATAATTAAGATTTTGTCAAGTTCCTAGTTTTTTAGGTAAGAGCAAGGATTTTCTGGAAAGTTTGTGAAATTAGATATTGCAGGCATGCTTGTTTGAATTGTATCACAGGATATATACATAGTCATATGGCAAGCTGTCACAACATATCCACACATTTGCATATTTTGCAGATAAGATGGGGGTGGCACTTTGGATACAAATAATATAAACTATTACTTAAGTATAATGCAAGGCTTGGTGCCACCCTTTGGCAATTACTGGAGTATAATGCTAGTTATGTAAATACTGTACTGTACAATTACAATTTAGTTTTAAAACATCAAATGCAGCTATACAAGAAAATATATTAAATTGTGTATTGTATGTTGACTAAAGAATACATTATGTAATTTCTAAAGGTAAAAAAATATTCTGTACAGCAGTACTGCATAATTATAGCAGGTCTATTAACATGTCACAGAAGCTATATCTAATGGCATTTTTGTGAAGTGTCGGAATTTTACAAGCATTATATCTTTAATACAAAGTAGTAGGGAAAAGCCCTAGTATTAAGTGACATTCATCAACAGACCAAGAATAATAATTATTTGGCACATGTCTAGTATGAAAAGGGTAATGAGGCACAAAAGTTGTACTTAATTTTTATTAAAATGCAATTTAACAATCAACAATAACATTTAAATTGTTGTGGATCATGGTAAATACTAATTTATAAGGTAAGCTAGCAAGAGTCTAGATCCTTACATTCCTCAAGCTTTGATGTGCAACTGTTTTACAGGAGAAATGTGGCCATCACCAAGCAGCTGAAGTAACATTGCCATATCAAAATTAACCATTAAAAAAGTTGTGCAACAATATTTTGACACATTCTGTGGTTTTTAAATATTTGTTGTATTGCTATATTTAACAACTGCAGTTAACACAGGAAATATATGCAATTTCTTGTCCATTCAGTAAGAAATTTTCAAATCCAGAAGGCTACATAGCATGTCAAACTATCTAGGCACTTCTGGATATCAGTATGACAGTACAAAGATAAGTGGTATCAAAGGAATCAGTGAGAGGGACATTCATTAATGAACAGTGGGAAAGCAAAAAATGAAAATCCTAAAAATCCTGCTCTTAGAACATCTTGAAAATCAGGATGTTTTAAGAGCATTACTGTGGAGTAAATATGTAACTAAGTCACATATACTTTTTCACAGTATTTCAATGCCAGGAGGAAGGCCATGGGATTAAGTCCCATTTAATGAGTTCATTATAGCTAACATTCATCCATTCATAATATAAAATTATGTCAAGGGGCTGAGCGGACAGCATGCTGGACATGTGATCCTGTGGTTATCTTGAGGTTATCTTGAGATGATTTCGGGGCTTTTTTTAGTGTCCCCGCGGCCCAGTCCTCGACCAGGCCTCCACCCCCAGGAAGCAGCCCGTGACAGCTGACTAGCACCCAGGTACCTATTTTACTGCTAGGTAACAGAGGCATAAGGTGAAAGAAACTCTGCCCATTGTTTTTCGCCGGCGCCTGGGATCGAACCCAGGATCACAAGTCCAGTGTGCTGTCCGCTCGGCCGACCGGCTCCCATCCTGGTCCTGGGCGCCAGCGAGAAACTATGGGCAGAGTTTCTTTCACCCTATGCCCCTGTTACCTAGCAGTAAATAGGTACCTGGGAGTTTGTCAGCTGTAACGGGCTGCTTCCTGGGGGTGGAGGACTGGGCCGCGGGGACACTAAAAAGCCCCGAAATCAACTCAAGATAACATCAAGATAACCTCTCTCTCCAGTAGTTGCATTATGAATGACAGTAGAAATAAAAGTTAAGAAATTAGCTTCTGCAAGGAGAGATGCACAAGCAGTTATGTTGGTAAGGACATGGGTGGCAACACTGATATTTACCTGAACTACATCTACTGGAAGTTAAGAGTTATCATTTTCAAAGATGCGAGCAGGTTAGCAAGGTAAGATTTTAAAACTATGTTCATTGATTTTACTAGATGGTGAATGATTCCCTCCCTCTGGATTCTCTCGTGAACTTGCAAGTACAGTATAAGAGGTTAGGCTGACTGGTCGGTTGGCATTCTGCAGTTCTTTCTGCCTATTTTGAGGATTGAAAATTTGCAAATGTCACCTCTATCTAGGAGGACTTTCCCGTGGGCCAGAGATTTTCTGAATAGGAGTTTGTGAGACAGTTCTTCAGCCAATTCCTTAACATTTTTAGATTGAATTTTACCTACACCTTGGGTTTTAAATTCCATTAATTTGTCCATGCTCTTTCAGATTGTTTCAAACCTTTGTGGGTATTGGGTTGTCTACACCAGTGTTCTCACTAAAAGATTAAAGTATTCATTCAGTGTTGGCTGTCTTTTACGTGTCTTAATCTGCTGAAGGAGTAGATACTAGAGAAGAATGCAGGAATTGGTAGACTTACTATCCCAGGGAAAAGCAGGTCCAAGCTTGCAAAGTGAGAAAGCAGAATTTATATGAAATGTGAAGTAAGAGCAATTAATACAATGATAAAAGGAAGAAATGTTAGTAAACTACTAAAGAAAAGTGCATAATATTCTACTGCCAGCCCGACATGAAAGTGAAACTTTAATATGGAAAGGGGCAGTGTGTTTACCAATAATAACAGTGGAAAAGTGTTTTAAGAATAAAGCAGCTGGAGTGGGTGGGATAGGTATAGCAATTGAAGTACAAATGAAGGGTGAGGGCATAAAATATAAAGCAGATGAAACAATTTGCATAAGTGGTATATCAAAATAAGAGTGCTTTAGAATATTTTTACCAAGGGTAAAATAATGGAATCATATGGTAGAGGCCAAATTCAGCCTCCTGGAGGAAATACTATAACCACTCCTGTAAGTGTGGAGTATCAAGGTAATACTATTTATACAACGTTCAAAATACTATCCATGTGTTTATTTTTATTAGGCCTTTGGAGATTTTAAATATCCCAACCTTATTAAAAAATTTTGGCATAAAATCAACTTCGACCTTAATCTGATTCCATACGACAAAATATATTATATACAAGATAATATGCTGGACTTTTTAAGGATAAAAATTGGTTTTACAACAAAAAAAAGTGCCTATTTCCTGCATTTGTACATACTGCAGCAATAATTAGGTAAACTACAATAAACCACTAGTCTTGTGATATTGTATCTTTTTTGTCTTTTTGGTCCTGTCAGAAATATCAGTTAACTACATGTACCTTTACAGTAAATCAAATATGAAAACTAAACACATCCAACTATAAATTAAACTGAGTATTTCCACAATGCTTTCCACTACAGTATTTATATGTACATCCACTGAACAAATGTATAATTTCTTAACTGTGTACAAGATGAATCTTCAAAAATGAGATTCACTAAAGACAATGTTCTCCAGGCACCGTCTGCAGAACATCTGTCCATGGAAGCACTGTTATGAGCTTAACACACAGGAGCCTTATCTTCTGTTTGTTTCTTCTTGTTTCCCTCACTCTGACCTTTCTTTCCCCCCCCCCCCCCCCACACTTCCCATTTGCTATGTAATGTGGTCTTCTACTGTTTGATAAGAGGAAGCCTGTTAGGCCTCCCAAGATGGAATGCAAACAGCTGCAAAACTCCTGGGAGCCTATTTACTGTTAGATGAATAGAGCCATCAGGTGAATGGAAATGTACCCAAACATCAAACTGGTACAATTTAAATGTGAAATGTATGCGGTACCCCCAAACCTACAGGTACATTAACCCGCTTCTTTAGATGAGTATTTATTAATAAGTATTACCAAGATGGTAATTTTATTTGTTCTGCAAGTGTTTCAAAGGTTTCTTCATAATTTAATGACCAGGAATTTTTAAAAAAAAATTTTACATTTTTCAGAATACTCCGAGTATATGACTATGATAATCTTTGAAACACCTGAGAATTCTAAAAGCTAGTATGAACATCACCTACTAGCCATTACAACAATGAATCCATATTTTTATATTCTAAAACAAAACAAATATTCAGGCAATGGCGGGATGACTACGTTTTTGTCCGTCCTGGACCATTCTCAAGTCGATTGTGAATGGTCCAGGACGGACCGAAACATCGTCGTCCCTTCATTTTCTAGTGTGTGGATTGGTCAACAAAAATATTATTTGTAATTTTAAAAACATGAAACTCTCAACAGAGACCTTATCTCTTCCATTAGAAACATTCTGTACATGTGAGTGGAATGAATCCATGCAGCTCTTAATAAACAAAGGAGGACACACCAAGAGTCAAAACCACATTTTCATTTACAGGTATCAACAATTATCGAACTGTAAAACATCACAATACATACAATGAAATTACAAGAACATGATGAACACACTCCAGGTATGCACATAAATAATACTGAGGTTATATAATGGAATCAAACCCACTTCCCTAGACTCTCCAAGGACACAATTACTGACTGAATCGGGATAGGTTAAAATATCTGGTCAAGATACTTTTAGCTCATCACGGCTTGGTAATGCACGTGCCTGGGGAGTCCAGGGATATGGGTTACATCTCGATGTATGGCCTTAATATATTCAATATCATGGATATCAGGATATCTTCCTAGGCGACTTCAACCTGCCCAGTCTAAGATGGAGAATAGCAAACAATATTACATAAGGAATTCTATCTGGAAATAACCAACCACAGGTCAGAGAATAACTTTGATTATGTGACAAATTTCTTGCTCAACCAGCAGATAACAGCCAAAAATATTCTAGATCTAATCTTCACAATGAAGAAATAATCGGGGGCATTACAATCTCGGATACCACTACTCGGATCACATGCTCATTTAAGTGCAAACGAACATCAATACTCGTAATAGACTAAAAAATTATCAAGCCAGAAGGATTATTCAATAAATTTAATTTTAGTAATAAAAGGATAGACTGGGAAAAAATAAACATGAAACTTACAATCATCAATTGGGAAACCCATTTTAAGTAGTAAACAGCCCATGCAAGGAATAAAACAACTGACTGTTGAAGCATATAAAGTCTGTCTGAAACATGTTCCTTTGCTGAAAGAAATGATATTCACTACCATCACTATAATGTTCACTAAGTCTTTTCCAACAAGTCTACCATGCAATATAATCAGACATAGCAACATTAAGCATGTTATTTTGATGCTTCTTTTATAATAGGAAATTCTTCTAGGAAAAAGGATGCAAGTGGAGTTACAAGAGTGTGTGTGTATGTGCGTGCAAATATTTCTACAAGTCAACATTCAAGTTCTTAGCAATGTAGGTCCTGACTTACCAGTCTGAATAAAGCTTCACCATTAATTTCATAAATCATGACCAGCAATAATATCAGTATAAAGATCACATTTAAAGAGGAAAACTACCAAGATACCTTCCACATGATGCATGTGGAAGGTAATATTTTATTTATATATTTATATATATATATATATATATATATATATATATATATATATATATATATATATATATATATATATATATATATATATATATATATATATATATAATTGCATTAGTGGTGGCAAAAACAATGAGTAATAAAAATAACAAATTTGATTATCCTGCAAAATAGAGAGCTATCCATAGTTTAAAAATAAGGCACATTGACATGTACTTGGCGTCAAATTTTGGATTACTTGCCACAAGCATGAGCCTTCAAAATCACAGGTAACAATAGGTAAATGTGTGTACAAGATACTGAAAAACTTTATTGCTAAAAATACTGTTAATGAAGCACCAATTGCTTGTATTTCACTTCAATCTGAAGTTATGATCTCACTTGATAGGTCAAAGAACTATTTATATACAATATTAAGTTTAGAATATCAAGGACTGTCCTTTTTATTGAAAATTTATCACAAAAACCAGTACGTGAATATTCCAGGACTACTGCTTACACTGTATTAAATTCCAATTTTACCCTCGGCACAAAAAATATAAAATCTCAAATTTAATAACTAGGATACTGTACTTACAATCTGAAGATTTAACAATCATTTATTTAAGCTTCTCTTCCTCCTTGGGTGTCAGATCCATGTATCTGCGAACTGAATTATCCATGACAAAGTGGACCCCATTGTCAATTGGATGAACAATGAATGGAATGCAACCCAAGCCAATAGCTGTAGTGATCCACTTACGGGTGGCAAGAGGCACCTTTGGTATGGTTCGAGCCATAGTGAAGAGTGAGGCTGCACACACACGATTAATGGTAAAGCCAGGAATGATGACCGATGCAAGGGCTTGCCACACCAGGGTGTCTACCGCAGCATGTGTAATTGCCTTCTGAGTGGCTCCTGGTTGCTGCAAAATAAAGTGCACTGCACAGGATTCACATTCCCTATATGTTTTTTGAAGAAATTTCCACAGTAATGAGTAATAGCAAAATAAACAATAGGTTATCAATTTTATAAGCTAAATTAAAAAAAACAATGCCTAAACTTACCTTGCTTATTTTTTTGGCTTTGTCATAAGTATCTGCAACCACATATGCAGATGATACTCCGTAGGTTGCTCTTACAAACCACAGGGGCGTTAATGCTCGAAAAGACTCTCCCACTTCATTAGCATAGCCTGAAATTACAAGAGAATACAAATATAGACAGGAAAATATCAGTTACTGTATGTATATGCTTGCATAAATATTATTGTACATAAGACAACTATGAGTCAGAGTAGTTTAAACAATTTAAATCTTGGAAACACAAATTACAGTATAACAATTTATAAATTTCATTATTAAGGTATATGTAAGGACTGTCTAATATTGAAATACAGTAGTGTTGTAAGCATTATATATTTAAATAAGGCTAACCTCAAAACTTGATTATTGAATACAGTTCGGTATTGGTATATACAACCCAATGTACTGTACAGTATATACCAATATAGTGCTACTTGTGGTGATCAGCAAATAATGGTACAGTAGGCCTACTGTATCTGGACTAACACTGAACAAAAACAAGAAGAGTTATGTCAGTTCATAGTATTTATACTACAGTAATTAACAAACAAATGCACACTTCATATGGATTAAATGAACGAGAGAATTAAACATCTGCATTTATAAACAAGTTTAACATTTGAGGTTAAATGTTTGCGTGAAATTATAGTATGTGTTTTACATAAAATGTAATCAGTGTAGAACAATTTCAGATTAAGAATACTTACAATGCTGATGGAGCAATTGTTTAATTTTTATTTTTAATTAAATAAAGGCAAGTAATGGAGAAAATAAAATTATAAACCGAGTGCACAAAAACAGGATGTGTAAAATACAAAACTACATGCCAAAATGCTCTGCATATTAGTAGCTTTATACAGTGTACTGTATTTATCTTACCTATGAATTCTCTACTGTTCAAGTATCATATGTAGGTACACTTGTATAAATAAAGTATATTTATTATTAAAAATATGTACAGTACACCTGCCCATGAATTTAGTTTTTCTACTATATATGCAAACTGTACAGTATACACAAGAGAAAGAATATATGTACTGTCCATCAACGAAAATAAAGCCTATATAATCTATTATATCAACACAAGGGGCTGTGATAACTATACTCACCAAGCAGACGGACGGGAGTGTCTCGGTAAATGTCAACCTCCTTCTCAGCAGCCATCTCGCCTATAAATGTGTCTAAGCAATACTTAAAAGCTCCTTTACATACTGCACATAGAGTACTTTGCTGTCATTACAAGCTATTTCAAGAGTACAAATACACTACAGTTGTGTTAAAAACTACAAGACAATACAATATATGTATACAGCAGATATAACAAATCAAAAATATTGCTCGACATTTTTTTTTGGTTTACAAGTGCACTACCAAGCATGGTACAGATATACGGAAGACACTCAGATTATGGACTTTCAGTATATGCCTTACTTAACCAAGCCCAAGACATGTCAGGAATATGTGAAGCAGTCCAGTGTAATTACAGGATGAGAGCTATGCTCGTGGTGTCCCGTCTTCCCAGTACTCTTTGTCGTATAACACTTTAAAATTGCTGACGGTTTTGGCCTCCAGCACTACTCAGTTTGTTCCAACCGTCTACCACTGTTTGCAAAAGTGAATTTTCTTATATTTCTTCGGTAATTTTGTTTAGTTAGTTTAAATCTATGACCTCTTGCTCTTGAAGTTGGTCTCGGGAATTCTTCACAATAAATTTTTTCAATTTACGTTACTATTTTGTATGTAGTGATCGTATCGCCTCTCTTTGTTGTATTTTCTAGTGTGGATATTGACAAGTGTTACCAAATAAGAAACATACAGATTATAAGAATTTATGAAAGATACGTCCTAAAATCAATATCTTTGCGAGTGCTTTTGCCTGAGTTCGTATCCTGGCTGGGGAGGATTGACTAGGCGCCAATCCTTAACTGTAGCTTCTGTTCACCCAGCAGTAAATTTGTACGTGGTTCTTAATGCGATTTGGCGGGTCGTATTCCAGGGAATATTAAATTAAGGACCTGCCCGAAACGCTTTACGTGCTAGTGGCTTTTACAAAAATGTAAAAATTCTTGTGGATATATAAAAAAAAAAAAAAAAATCTTCAAAATGATATCATGCTACAGATGTTGAAGGACAATATCTCTGGCAAGGCACTAGTATATATGTCACTTAATACTATGAAAGTACAGAAATTTTATGAATATTGATTACATACTGCAAATATAATTCAGTAACCATCGTGCCACTTACCAAATACTTACCGGTGCTGAGATTTCAGCTGTGTGCAGCTTCCCCGTCGCTGCTGAAGGCACACTGGCCGAGACTCACGAGAACTCTGGTGGCTGGTGTTGTCATCAACACTACGAGCCTAAACCGGTCCAGGATACCTTAATTTAGTTAATTTATTGTCATTTTAATTAATATTTCGTTTTGTCGTGTATATATACTCATATTTGTATATTTTAGTAGCAGCCTTTCTTGTTGACCTTCTTATTTTGTTATTTTAAATAAGTGTAAAATGAAGAAGATGAGGGAGGGAGAGAGAAGGCCAGACACCATTAATCTGTCTACATTAATCATGTCTACACCATTAATGGAAGGCAATTCCAGGAATCTGAGAGAGAAAGAGATATGGGAGTGGATATAATTCCCTCCCTAACACCAGAGGCACACATAGGTAGGGTAACATCAGCAGCATATGGGACGCTGGCAAACATTAGAATGTTGTTTAGAAACCTAAATCAGGACGCGTTCAAAGCAATAAACACAGCTTTTGTTAGACATATACTGGAATATGCAGCACCTGCTTGGAATCCATACCTTGTGAAACATAAAACTAAAATAAAAAAAAGTGCAGAGGTTTCCTACAAGTGCAAAAAGTGCCAGAGCTTAGAGGGTTATGATATAATAATAATAATTATAATAATAATTTTATTATTTTATTAATACAGTAATTTTACCTTTTATTTAGGTAAAAGTACAGTACATACATACAAAATGAGTTACAAGCAGAATGTTGGATTTCTAGATATATATTTGTTATATATATATAATATATATACAAATGTTCTTACATTCTTTTACAGCCAATAGCACTCGTAGCGTTTCAGGCAAGTCCTTAATCTTATTATGTTCCCCGGAATACGATCCCGCCAAATCGTGGTACCCACTTTACTAATGGGTAAACCGAGGTTACAGTTAAGGACTGACGCCCATGAAATCCTCTCCAGCCAGGATACGAACCCAGGACAAAGCGCTCGCGAAACGCCAGGCGAATGTCCGGCGCCATGTCTCCACTACACCACGGGGAAAGTTAGTATATACTATTCCTAAAGCCACTAATACGCAGTGTTTCAGGCAAGATGTGGGAATTAAAAAAAAAAGACCAATTCACCACAGCGTATTCAGTCTGAACTAGTTAGACTGGGTCATAACAGTTCCTCTACAATTTCTGTTGTTTATTATTCAAGCACAAACCTGATCAAATCATTTATAAAGGCCATCCCTGGTCATAACAATCACTATAGTAATGACCTAAACACATAGATGACACCTTGAGGTTATTATTCTTAAACTAAGGTGAAGTGTATGGTGCCTGAGAAGTAATTGGACTGCAGAATGTCTATTCTGGAAGCTCTCATTGAGTTACTTTTGAATATGTCACTCGATCAACTCACCGAGATGCACGGTTAAGTAGTTATTTATTGAAGAACACGTCCAGAAATCAAAATGGTGAGCATAATAGGTATTAGCGAACAGATTGAACTGATTTAGTTCTTAAATCGCCCAAACTGCCCTATTCATCTGTTTAAGCAGATCACATATGAAAACTTTCTTAAGATGCATGCACGAGAGAAAACAGGGATCGTCCTACATAGATAGTTTCGTGACGACAGATGCGGTGTTTCCCTGCGGTAGCCTCTTGGACCACCATATGCTGCTCTACTGCTGGGAGGCGGCGTCATGGCGCTAACTACCTTCTCTTGTAATGCTATTTCTCTTATTTTTTCCTTATTTTTTAGATATTGTTTAATATGTAGATGATACAAAATTAATTAGAAGAATTGTTGAAGACGAAGACAAAATTTGTTCAGGAACACAGACTGTAGGCCTCAGATTTGGTCCGAGAAATTCTTATTGAAATATAATACCAGTAAATGTATAAGGGATTTGAAATGTGGAGATGGGGACAAGAAACCGGCAAGTCAATATACTCAGGACGGTTTGCTAGTCTTCCTGGCTTGGAGACTCTTTTGATAATTACTTCAAGACTCTTTGCTACGTGAGACTAGTCCTAGAGGATTCAGCCTCGGCATGGAGTCTCCGCCTTAAGAAACACACCAGAAAACTTAAAAAGGTGTAAAAATTTGAACGAGTCTGGTCTCAGAACTTTATGAGATGGGGTACGGAGAAAGATTGAGCTGAAGGGCGATCATGCAGGCACAAATATAGGTGAACACGTGCGCACGAATACTCCCATGCACGCTCGCACCTGTGAACACACGCACGCACATATACTGTACACATACGTGTCCACATGTGTTGTGTACGTATGTACGTATACACGTGTATATACGTGCGCACATATGTACACACGCCCACCCATTGATTCTTTGCTACGAGATTTAGTGTCAGATTTAGGAGAGTTAAGAATGGAAACAAACTAAGAGAACTCTACCTATCTATTCTAAAACAGAGAAGAGCCAGAGATGACATGATCGCAGCATATAAGATATTGAGAGGAATAGCAAAAGTAGACTGAGAGCCTCCTACGACAAAGCAGGACGAGCCTTTACACACGTGGACACTGTAAACACAAACGTGCAAGATAATCATAAGGAAATACATTCAGTGCGGCTAGTAAACCAGTGGAAAGCGCCTGAAACGACTATCTGGAAGTATACAATCAGCAGGTATAGACTAGCACGACCACACCAGCAGACGCACCAGCAGTTGGGTGTCAAACTCCCTGAGGTGTGGGAGTCGACAACCACTCCTGGGACCGCCTCCATACCTGACGCACCGCCCATGCTTCCTGCTGGGGATTATTGGCTTTTTTCTTGTCGTTCAAACACTTGAATTCGTCGAAGTTTACGTGGAGCTTAGTGATGCATTCTTGAAACAAAATGGTACAATTTACATTACAAATGTGATAGTGGAAATGATGTAATGTACATATAGTATTTGTGAAGCCATGGTTTGAATAGTGAAACAAAATTAGGTTGGTTGAATGAATGTTAATTGTTAGTTAATATTACAAAGTTGAAGTGGTTGTAATGTCATTCAGCAGTGCAATAAAGTGTCAACAATATACTATACAACACGAACAAGTGGACTAAGTAGCCTAAACCGAGGCATATGACAATTATTAAGTGGCATACAAGAAAAATGACAGTTCTCCATATACTATAAAAGGTAAAACAGCATTTCACTAATCAGTACACATGGTGGTGATGCAAGAAGCCTCAGAAGGCCATAGTAAATATGTCAGTATAACGAGTCAAGGGACAGGCTGACTGTAGTCGTCTTGTCAGAGCCCTTCACTATGGAGTTAGTTTCAAAACCTATCAATCTCTGGAGGGTCCACCAGAATAGCTTATTAACCAACCAGCAAGAATACTTTAGGTATAAACATTGTTCAAGACTAAATTAAACTCCCAGCCCATATACACCGAGAAGCAAGGTACTCTCGCAGTGTATATATCTATGTATGGTTCTTCACTTGCTATCTGGGTTAATTTATTCAACTTTCACGATAATTAACGATTCCTTTCAAGTCTTTTTCTCCGTGGATATTAAATGTTTACTTGTGCAAAACCTGAAAGCAACAAAGAGGAGAAATTTCAATATTCTTATGGTAGCTACAGTGATTGTAAGTATATTTGTTATATTTACATAAATATTTCGTTTCAGAGAATTATTATACAAATCATACTTAATACATACAGAAAATACAAGAAGGAGGGGGTATACCGCGCTTCTCGGTGAATATACAACGAGAGGTTACTTTAGGCTAGAACAATTTGCACCACAAAAAAGCTCCCCCAATGGTGATAGACCTTAAGCCTAACACCAAAAAGTTAGTTATAAATAAATTTTACAATCATGTAAAAAAATATACCAAAGATGTTTTCTATTTTGAGCCGAAGTGTGTTAATTGGGCTGATAGAGTTCAATCTCACACCTCCGGACAGAAACAAAAGCTTTCCCCTACCCAGCAGAAAACGTGCGGTAGGTGTGCCAGGCACGCAGTAGTGTTGCAGCAATTGAAGACACGCGGTGAAGGTCATTACCTCTCGCATTATTTCTCATGCTTACGCTCAGTTTATATCACCACCCAACTTAATTCTAAAGTGCATTTTTCAGTTGGATTAGCTGGCACAGGATGAGGCGTGGGTGCGTGACGGTGTTTGTGTTACTATGAACGCGGCGGAAGTGATCTTGCAATGCAGGTTTGTCCAAGACCCGGTGAAGTGTAATGCCGGTCGGGTGCTTACCCAACAGTGGAATACAGCGAAGTGAAGAAATATAAGCTCTGTATGCCCCATTTAGCATGGCTGCGGCGCCTGCGATACTATATAGTGGACACGGAGGTTGTCCAAGAACACAAAACGCTTACACCTATCGTTAGTGAGAGATCAAGAGGCGTCTTTATAGGTATAAGCCATTCTTGAGAGCAGCAATAACGCTAAAATATCACACAAAGACGGAGTCGACGTCCTTAGGCAGTGATGTCTCCAGGGTATCCTGTGAGCCTAGCGCGCCAGGTGGCCCATTAAGACTTTATTATTGTTATTGTAGCGAAACACCACCACCAGAATAGACTTTTTAGTAGATGACGTTTCGCCTGTAAAGTCAGTATATAGACTAGTCTACATCATTGTTAGCACACTGTGCTCTTCACAGCCATCATCATCATCCTCTAATCACTTTGCCTTTTGCGTAATAACAAAAACAAGCGTTTAACTTCCGCCACTTGGCAGCTATGACGGCACACATTGTGAAGTGTGAACAGCTTGTAAATCGATTGTTTATACTGTCAAGTGTGATCAAGCCAACAGGACACACATTGACTACGTTTCTCTGGTCTTAGACACCACTTCAATGTAAACCAATTGGATTTATCCACCCCAAGTACTATTAAAAATAAAATAACAAAGGCAGAAGCTAAGAAAATCAAACTTAAAACTTTATACGATTAAAAAAGTAGACATATAAAAGTTACGTGGTCTATAAATTACAAAGTTACATGTAGCCTATTGTATAAATAAGTTACATGTAGTCCGTTGTATGAATAAGTTACATGTTGCCTATTGTATAAATAAGTAACATGTAGCGTATTGTATAACTGTTAGATGTAGTC